ATAGTTTGGGGCAATGAAGTTTAAGGTTGAATTATCACAAACGTCTTTGAACAAACTGAAAATATTATGTGGCCACTATTTGGATCCAACCGCGAGAAAAAGTTCCACAATCAAGTCACTTACATGAATTTAAGATCTTTGAAGTGAACCACACCGAGGTCGCGAGTTGCTTTGGTAAACAAGCGCAGATAGAACAAAAAATGAATAAAATTATATTTGCTTTACGGTTTTCGTCATGGGCTTGTTTGTTTGCGCAAAACTTTTTTCATGAAAATGAACTTTCTCTTTGAAAAAAAAAAAGTGGATTTAAAAATGACTGGTTACTTTGTCATTGCCTGCAGTGTTCAAATTCAATTTTAAATGGAATTTGCATTACAGTGCATGGAGAAAGTTATCTCTTCAGTCCACTTCCTTTGCTTTTAGAACCAAACTGTCAAAAATATATATTTTGCATTAATATGATCCTTTCGCCTTTGTAAGACTTAATTAACTTTTTCACCTTCTATAAACCATTGTGAACACAAAAAAAAAAATCACTAATATGCCCTGTTGGAAATTAAAATAACCATAGGATTTCGATTGACTTTCTTCTGTTATCAGTGTTATATCGGTAAGTTTCCGTTTAAAACAAAATATTAGAGTACAATAAATCGTACAGTTTTAACAAAAGAAATAGCTAATGTAGCTTTATAGTATACGTACTAAAATAAAGTAGTAGTAGTAGTATAATATAGTATGGCTTGGATTTCATAGATAAGCCACAAGTCTCTTTTTTTTTTTCTATAACCGTCAAAAAAGTTGAAAGGTTTATTGAAAACAGTAACAATCGATGACAAAGCGAAATTCTCTTTGATACCTTTCATTTGCCGCAATAGTTTTCCCGTAGGATTTCATAAGCAATCATAAAAGCTGTCTTTGTATAATATACTGAATGGTCTCTACAGAACGGGCAGCTAAAAAAAATGTTAGTCATCTATATTTTGAGCAATTTTGGTTGATTATTAGCTTAATTTTACTGATTTTATCATCAGAGCAGAGGGAATGGGTTCAAATCTTCAGAGTTTGAATCTCCTCACTACCCTGGCCTGTAATATTAGAGAAAAGGGTTCGTTGAACTTCTAGAAAGACTTTACTGCGATAAGAAGATTTAAAACCCAGTCCGTGTACTTTAGATAATCCGTTATCGCATCAATCTTACCCGTTAAGTTTTTTTATGTGCTGGTCTCGAAAACTGAATAGAGTGAGCTTTCTTTGGACATTAACAGCTCGAGATACGAAAGTCTTGCTCCCTCTCGATCTCCTAGTCGAAGTCAAATCTAAAGTTGGCTAATAATGTGCGCGATGCAGCCAAAATCATTGGCAGGGTGTGGTACTCCAAGAAATGGCTTGTTCAGTCAAGATAGACAAATACACTTCCAATCAGTACAGCCTTACGACTCCTTACGAGCTCCACGCAAACACAACCACGTCGTTTTACACAGCCATACTTTTTTGGGGGCCCAAAGGAAAACAAAAAACCCAGTTATCGATTTTCTTATCTGGAAATCTCAATGATTCCACCAACTCGTAAATAGGACCTGAATTTCATTTTTATCCTTGGATGGTCGCAACTAAAGAGATTTTACTGTATAATAAATTGAACAATCGTTTGGAACAATTACAAAGTCATTTTCCTTAGCTTAGCTCTCTTGGCCTCTGAGATTCTCAAAGCGATACCTCGGGTTCCCACCAGTGTTTAATTAGAGAAATTATGAAAAACAAGAACATGATCGAAATAATATTTTCAACGACTTCGAGATCGACAAGATAAAAACCATTGTCTTCGTAATTTATAATTAAAAACTCAGTGAATACCTCGACAGGATATTGGAAACTCGATGGCTTACTTTTAGAGAACAGGACAATAAAGGAAGTATTTGTATCGTGGATCATGATATAAAATATGATAAAATCCAGTTTTATTTCAAACTTTCTTGCGAAACAGTAAACTGTGTGTAATGGAAAGACTTCTTTAAAAAAAGTTATATCGTGCAATTTGTTGGAGATGGTTTTTACAGCGAATAACCTGCAGAGAGATACAACGTTCGAGGGTTTCGCTTTCAACAGATTATAAAGAACAAAAATGTAGCATTGTTTGTGACTAGAGCTAGCACTGATACCGTTAACGTCGAAATTTGTACTGAGTGTTTTTCTGCGAAAGATTTTAAGCGCACTTTCTTTCCGTCAGAGGGCATGTAAGTGTTGATAAATATATTTATATAAATTATATGTTGTTTGTTGTTTGGAGTGCTCCCATTCCACGAAACATTGTGCAAAAAGAAATTACGGAAAAATTGCACCTGAAATTTTCCTTCACAAAATAGTACTGATGCGATAACAATCCTATTTTTTGCATTACTTCTGAAAGGCAAAAACAAAATCGAACATACTGCTTATCTGATCTTACTGATATTGCAAACCATAAACATGTTTGTGATGTCAATTCTATCTAGAAAGTTACCACGATGGTTACTATGATGTAGTATTTACCTGTTAATCCTTGGGTTTGGGTACAAAATCAGTATCGTAATTTTCAGCGATAAAAAGAATGATACATCCCGGCCAACGATTATGGGTCTCTTAAATTACGGATTCATCGATTATGAATTTGGCACAAAATGAAAAAAGAAATACTCGTATTTACCTACACCTCTATTAATTACAGTTCGAGGTGCGTTTAAAAATTAATTAAGGCACCTGCCAATTTCATCTAATTTGGACTTTCTCACGCTACACAATAGAAACAAAAGTGAGCTATGTAAAGTCTGGTCAAACACAATTCGACTTGTAATTTTCTCTGTTAACGTCTGGAAATAAATCTTTGGCTGGGAGGGGGAGCTGTGATGCTCATAAAAGATGTTAGAATATTTGATTCAAGACATAAACCTCAAGTAAAGAAATGAATTCAGTTTTTGTTCTCATAACCAGTTGGGGTTCCAGAAAGGAGAGATTGGACACTCGTCAGAACAAGAATGAATCGTCAATGATTACGACAATATCTTTTTTCGTCTTTCTTCTTTGATATCCCTTAGCACTAGGAAGAATTCGCCTCTTAAGGAACGAGAAAGAGACTGGAGTCTAAATGTGTCAAACTTTATTGCGCTTATTCCATCTCGTTCAGTTCCGTCAAATGTTGGCAGTTTTTTCTGGAGTTGAATTATAAAAGACTGTATCAAAGTTCAGGAAAATAAAATGAATGCCGTTGTCTTGTGTTCGCGTGCTCCACAAAACGTCATGTGAAATTAGGCATTGCAACGTCGTAGTCGCGCAGTGATGGCAAAGAAATGTACAAAAAAGCGTGAGGCACGTGCAGAGTTGCTGTTTTGCCAATTATATAAACCTATTCCTTTTTGCGGTTCTCGTTGACGTCGCCGTCGTCGTTGCTAAAGCTCCCTATTGGCCAATTTTTTTTCCCCTTCCCTAGTAACAGACCCCGCGCGAGTTTGTTTTCGCGCAACACGGCGCAACACTCGCGCCTGAAATGTTTTCCCAAATGTCGCAAAAATTTCAAACGCCTGTTGCGCTAAAAGGCTAGCTTATTGGCGAATGGTCCCTAGTAACAGTCCCAGAAGTCTTTGCAACAGTTAACCAGGTTCAGTTTCCTTCTCGCTTCTCAAGGTGATGTTACACGGGTCGAATTGGCAACGACGAGTTTTTGCGCAACACAGCATTACAATGTTAGAACAATGTTGCAACCATTTGAATCAATGTCGCGACAATGTTGCAAAGCAGTGATGCGCTAGAAATCGTTGTTGCGAATCTTCCCGTGTAGCATCACCTTTAAGTGGCGAATGCGTCTTAAATCAAGCCCTTTTTCAAATCAACCTTTAAGGTGATGTTACACGAGACCATTCGCAACAATGATTTTTAGCGCGACACAGTGTTGCAATATTGTTGCAACATTGATTTGAATAGTCACAACATTGTTCCAACATTGCAACGCTGTGTTGCGCTAAAAACGTCGTTGCTAATCGTACCGTGTAGTAGGGTGCTCTTGAAGAAGATATGGCTAGTCCCCAGTCTTTCCTCAATAACGGTTCCCGCCAACCCTCACCTTGAGTGTGAGAGAGGTTTAGGAAGAGACTCGTACCTTGTAAAACAAACTCAAATGACGCTCTGAGATTTATGTCTGAAAAGACCTACATGGGCTAACAGCTACCCTTTCATATACTTCAACTAGTGAAATCTCTTTTCTTTTATATACCTGAGGCTTCAAAAAAGGACCCCTTTCGCGTGGAACCTCCCTGTGTAGGGCGTAAAAGGGAACATACTCCCGGGCCATAATGACAATGCACGATTCAGCACTCGTGGGGATACCCCCAAGAATATATGTGACGACGACAATATAAAAACTCATTTTAATTCAATTTAGCTTACCTGGAAATTTCCTTTTAACTCTTGCTTTTGCATCTTTAGGCTTGCTTCTTTCAAGCATTCCATCCTCGTAATCCTTTCTTATATCCTGTAATCTGTCCAACAACAAAACACATCTGCGGCGCTCGATGCCCTGCATGGCTACAGCGCTGTTTGATGTACTCTGTTGTTTGGCCACATGTAGCTTATGAAAAAAGAATCAAAGGGCAGGTTATTTATATATTGGCTGAAAATTCTGCTCGATGAATCGCTTTTAGCCTTGCAGAACGTGAAAACAAGCACGTGCAACACCGCAATAAGCTAATTCGTGACACAGACCGGATAAGAGATCATTAAATAATTAACAATGTCCCTTGATTCATTAGCGGGTACCATAATTTCAAAGAATGCGTTACCCCACGGTCTTCAAAATAAAATGCTTTGAAAGTGGGAAATTTCTATGGTTAAAAGTTGTCAAATGAAATAAAATTTTACTTCGTTCCATAATTAAAAAAGACAGTACGTTTTAAGCGCAAAACTTTTCAAACCGGTCCTTGCACCCTCGCCGAGTTGATTGATTTGAGCATGCGTGATATTCGCGAAATAAACAAACGTCCATTCAAATCGATAAACCCGGTCAGGAAAGAATTGAATTGAAATGTTCTCAGTGTAAAGGTATTTAAACGCTGGCCTTGTTACGGTTGATTTTATCGCGTATGAACATGTCGCTTGGACAAGCTTTCGTGACTGCGTTCACTTATTTCACGTTAACAACTGTAATTGTCAACTCGGAGATCTTCACGGCTTTGTCCCATGTGCAAGGACTGGTAAATATTGAAATGGAACTTTCGGACGCGCTAGAAGATTACATCGCCGAACAAGAACAGCGGTTAAACCGACTGAAATCTTTTGCTGAGGATGTAAGCGAAGCGATGCAACGAGCGAACACGGATAGAGATGGGTACATTGGACACCCTGTAAACACTTATTTAATGATCAAACGACTCGTGAATGAGTGGTCGGAACATGTTAAGTCTATTCAAGAGGAAGGGGACGCTGAAGGTATTTATTACGATACTGCAAATTTATTGACTAAATTTACCAAAGCAGTGTGCCAGTGTAAGGTATATTTAACAATAATGGTCAATGAATAGTCAATATGCCATTACTTCAGAGCAGACGTTGGGACAGTTCGGAAATGCGTATTCTAGTAATGTAGCGCTTTGGCATTTCATTAGCTTTCATTGGATGAAATCCCGCGGTAAAACCATGGAAATGTATCACCTTTGAAAGATCTTTTGGAGAGTAACTATTTTTCTCTTTAAGTATTTTACAACGCAAAATTTGCATCTTGAATTTTTACTACTGCGCACGTCAGTAAGTACATGGTGTATAGACAGTTTGACTGATGAGGGCAGGCGCTTTACGTGATCAGGTCAAAAGGATAATGCCCAGCTAAACATTGCAATGAATTATAATGCTTTAATTTAAAAGACAGTTTTGTGTTAACAGGAGACAGCAGAAGAACTGCATGACTTCAAAAATTAGGCCTGCCGTTCGTATGATATTGTTAAAAAGACTTATTTCAAGGTCTTTCTTTCCTGTTTTATAATCCTAGGGAGTAAATATTATTGCCTTCTGGCAGTGTACTATAAATTCCGAGATTAACTGACAACCTTCCAATTTCCGGTCACAGGAATTTGCGGTTCTCGTTCCCCACCTCTGTTCACAGGGTAACGAAGACGTGTGAATATTTTTTGTTTCTTCTGTTCTTTGACATGTTCACAATGCTTTCTTTTTAAACTCCCCAAAGTCTAGTTTAGTGAGTGCTGGATAATAGTGGGTGATAAGTGGCTGTAAGCTCGAAAAAGCGATTCACAATACGGCGAACGTATCGGAAAAAAGTTGGTCTTCAAGGCTATGCCAAAACGAGAACGCCAGCGCGTAACTACCAGGCGGCTGCAGAGAAAAGAGAAAAAGAAAAACAACGACAACAACAAAACTGGTGCCGTCTATAAACCGGTAATAATAAATGACGAGCTCCAAAGTACCCTGGTCTTGGTTTTTTCGTCTTTTTCGTTAACGGGCCGAGAGCGTTTTGGTTCATTGTCGCGGTTTCGCAGTTTAAGGACGTTTGAAGAGAACGAAAAAAGAAGGAGAAAATTCCTGTGACTAAGGAGGATGCAAAGTAGAACGGCTTTAGCCCCGTTTATACGTAGAAAACTTGAAATTGTCCCAGGCAAAGGTCGATGCTGGGTCACCCGCCTACCCGAGCTACCCTGGGCGAACCAAGTTCTCCTACATTTCTATACAAAACTTCGAAGCGTTTCGCCTGAATTTCATCCGATTACTTCGAGTCGTTAGAGGAGAAAACGACTCGAAGCAATTGGATGAAATTCACGCTACGAATCGTTTAGATGAGAAACAAAACGTTGGCTCTACTCACCTGGCCGGGTCACCCTTTTTTGATGGTAAGGTCATTCTCCTAACCTGGCCATCCATTCTCCATATCAACATTAACACTTTGGCTTGCTCGGCCGCGTAAACTCGGTCAATGCGAGACAATCAGATCATGCGCGAGTGCTGTTGACTCGGGAAAAAGGGTAAACCTTTCTCTCATATTAACGCTCGGTTAGTACCATCAGGGGCAGACCATTACTACATTCGAAGCTTAACCTGAATACTGCAAATTTTTTAGGTCTTCTTATTGACAAGCTCGAAAACTATCAGAAACACTTCCCGGGGAAAGATGACTTAGAAGGCGCTATGGCCGCTATTAACCGACTTCAAGATGTGTACAGGCTAACGCCTTATGATTTCACTGGAGGTAAATACGGGATTCGTTCGGACTCAGGCTCCTTTCTGTCGGCAATGGACGCGTACAAGTTTGGCCGCGGAGCGTTTGGGTCCGAAGACATGGAGAACACGCAGCGGTGGATGGCGGAGTCGCTAAGGCTTATGGATATGGAACCTGATAATCAGAAAGAAAAACCCAATCGGTTCTCTGTGCTTGATCATTTGGCTTGGTCCTCCTATCAGGTAATATTATCCCTGGGGTAAAGATGTGATCAGATGGATCATTCGGCTTAGTCCTCGTATTACGTAATATTATCCATGGGGTAAAGTTGTGCTTAATCATTTGGCTTGGTCCTCCTATTACGTAATATTATCCCTGGGGTAAAGTTGTGCCGTCCTCCTATCTGGTAGTGTTATCCCTGGGGTAAAGTTGTGATGGATCATTTGGCTTGTTCCTTGTATCAGGTAATGTGAATATCCCTGCAGTAAATTGGTGCTGTATCATTTATGAGGTAATATTATCCCTGGGGTAAAGTTGGAAAAACCCCTACCCTTTACCAAAGTACATCGAATACTGTTCACCTAACCAAAAGGTTATTTTTTTTTCCTTTCTGTGTAGCTTGGAGACATAAGGAAAGCTGTAAATTATACAATTGCAGCATTGAAAGTTGGTAAGCTTTAACATGTATCTAGAATAAACGTAAATAGTAAGAATGGAAACTGGCCGGAGGCAAACCAGGTGGCTATCTACAAGCGTGACTAGAAGCATATAACTGGCGTGACCGATCGAGGAGTTGGCCGAGGAGTAACCATAAACCGTAGCCGAATATGTTACCACTTAACTTGCCCAATGTTTCCTTGTAACTTCGTTACAGTATCTGATTAGTTACAGAAGCCCATAACCCGGAGCGTCTAACTTCCATACTGCGCCTATGCAACGGCGTTTTCATAAGTAGGTCTATTTTTAGATAAGCCTTTCCCGCGAATTGCTTTCGAAAAGCCAATCACTAGCAATTGCTTCATCAATGATAAACTTTTAATACGTAACTAGGACAACTCCTTGACATTGAAAAAAACATGGCGGACACACGTGAGGAATCTTCAGAGGAGTCTTCTGACAGTACTTCAAGCGACAATTTCAGTATTTACACGGAAACTAGCAGTTCAGAGCAAGATTTGCAAAACCTAACCAGGACATCTACTTCATCGGAGACAACGCATAATTCACGCAAAGGGAATTAAATCGAAATCATCTTCGAAATAGCCGACTGTGAAAAGGTCCAAGCGAGCTACAAACAGTCTAAACGACGATCAAATAGAGGAATTGACCTCGTGGAACAGTTATTTTTCGCGGGAAAAGCTTATCTAAAAATAAACTCACTTGTGAAAACGCCGTTGCACGAATTTATGGCAGTTGAACACTCCAGGTTATGGGCTCCTGTTAGTTACCACAAAATCGTAAGTCGGAGTCTTGCTGGTGACTCACCCCCTCCCCCCCAAATGCCTATATCGGGCGACAACGATTCGTGGATGCGTATTTTTTGGAAAAACTGAGGAAAAAATGTCCGTTTTCAAAAAGATCGGAATACCTGTGGACAGGGCCTGAAACTGGCAGATCCAGATCTTCAGATAAGGGGAGGCCCGGTCATACAGTCCCTGGGTTAAGAGGTGGCCCGGTCTCAAAATTTTTTTTTCGTCCCTTCGGGCCTCAGTTTGGACTAAAAATAAGGGGGGGGGCTCCCCGGACCCCTCCCCTGGACCCGCTACTGTGAAATGCATAACAGTGAAGGTCTTGGGAAATCGCAATACAGAGAATAGGCAAACTGATCGTTAAGAGTGAACACAGGTCAAGCTTTAACTCTGTATGGACTAGAAGTTGTGTCTGTTTTTCATTTCAGTTCCAGACCACGAGCGTTCGATGACAAATCTCCGTATCTTCATGGAGGCACAAAAACTGTTAGGAGAGAAACGATCTGAGCAAAAGGAACCTAAAAAGCGCGAATTCAGTTACCTCGCTACAAAACTTCCGCAAACGACGCTAAAATCTTTTGACTGGAATGTGGAAAGACGCATATACAAAAAGCTGTGTCGAGGAGACCCTATGCCACGCGTGAGTAATAACCCTCAGTCAGGCGATCTCATATTAGAACACGGGCATAAATGAGGTCCGATTCTGTTTCTTTTCGCTGTCCTTCCAAATTAGGAAGCACCCAGTGACAAGGGTTAATTATGCCGCGCTATTCGCCATCTTTTTAAAAAGCTGAAACGTGTCTTCACGTCAATTCAATTCCAAAAATAACGTTCCAGTTTTGTTATTTAAGACTTCATTTAGGCATGGAAAGTTTTTCCTGTTGTCTGTTGCTACAGATAGCAATAATGGAGATGGATTGAGCCCAACTTTTTCAAGTTTTAATGCTATGTTAATGCAAAAATCGCCTCCCCCATGTATTTTTTTATCTAGATCTTTTTCATGACTCTAAAGGAGCATTTAGTGTTAGAATTGACCTAAAACAGCGATATTCTCGCGACATAGCTCCTTTCACACTTAAAGTGCCAAGAATGACCAACATCAATATTCTCCTAACAATATCCATGTATAATCATGGGAAAGGGTAGGAGAATTAACAAAATGATCATCAAAGGAATAATCCTGTGATCCATTATCAAACTCTCTCAACTTGTTCTTTAAGGAAATATATGGAGCTCAGTTTGGAGAATTTGCGTTTGGAAATTGTGGCTTAAAGGGTTAAGCGCGCGATAAACGCGGTGTGGACGACAAGTTTTGCCGTCTAGAAGGTGTCGCTGAATCACGTCAAAGCTTTTTTTTACAATTTGGCTATCAAAACAAATGTCTCGCAGTTATCTATCATTAACGGAAACAGCGTCTCTGCAGAAATCTTTTCTAGTTGAGTCAGGCCACACCTGACTCCTAGATAACTGTGCATTACTTACTCGTTCCAGGCTCCTCAAAGCTACTCGAGGCTGAAATGTTTTTACAAGACAGGTCATCCCCTTTGTACCATCAAACGCTGTCCCATTGAAGTCGTCTTCACCAACCCCGATATTATGATTCTGCATAATATCATGAGTCACGCTGAAATCGACAAAGTTATAAAGATAGCAGAACCTTTGGTGAGGAAAATAAACGTTAAAGATATAATTGGTTTCTATTTTGCCAGATATTTACTTCATCAGAAAAAGTTTCGGATCATTATACGTTTCTGGGAAACTGCCCACCTACCCCTCTCCTAAGTCAACATTTTGCCCTAAGTGAGAAGTGAGTGTTAATGTTGGCTTAGGGGAGAGGTAGGTGGGCAGTTTCCCAGAAACGTATAATGAATTTTCATCCCTTTTTTTTAGCCCTTATCTTTAACCTTCCTTCTTTCGGTTCACTGCATTTTGGTTAAGTTTTGCTAATTTTTGTTTTGCAGCTAAATAGGGCGACCGTTCATAACCCTGTCACAGGGAAGCTAGAGTATGCAAGTTACAGAATAAGCAAAAGGTATGTCTTGATGTATACAGTGTTCTGTGTGACGGTGATGATAAATAATAACGGTGATGACGATGATGACGATGATGATGATGATGATGATGATGATGATGATGATGGTGATGATGGTGATTACAATAACGCTAAAAATGTTACTGACGATTGATGCTGACCATGGAGCTTAAAACGATGATGATCTCGAGAATGATGGCGACTTAGTCAGTGAGACAGACACAGACCACTCGGTAAATAAAGATCGGAGTTCTCCCGCAGCAGTCAAACATATGGCCTTCTGGTTACTAGTTCAGATGCTCCACTACTGAGCTGGAGTTGAGCGAAATAAGACTCTAGGGAGCAAAGGCCACTAAAGTAAGTTCATGTGACAAAAATTGGGCACACTACTCGCACTGGAATGTCGATAGGTGGTATATTCGCAATGATCATGTCTTGTTGACGCCTGCGATAGTGACGAAGATGATGTTAAAGGTGATGATTTATGATAATGATGACCCGGAGTCTCGGAAAAGTCTTCTTCAGTTAGCTTTACATACGAGGACATTGACAATGAAGGCTTTGACAATGAGATCGCCAAAGCACTAAACTGTCTCTAGCCAACTTCAAACAAGGCATGATTTTATCTTTTAAAGATTATATTACTGTAATTACCTACCTTCATTTTCAGCTGCTGGCTTAATGAAGGGCACGATGAGCTTATCGGGAGAGTCAACCGGAGAATGACAGCTTTGACAGGATTGAATTTGGAAACGGCAGAGGATTTCCAGGTTATCCCCTCTTTATTTCTTTCCTCTCCTTGTTTTTCTTCTGTGGCTATTGAACAGAACGTGTTGCGACAAAATTATTATTAAAAGTCGGGGAGAAGGGTGGTGGGGGTGGGGGTCTTAATGGAGGGGGGGCTTATTACAAAGATTATGCTATAAAGAAACTTAATGATAAACTTAATGATCATTCGCACATGAAATAAGCACCATTACCTAATGTTGTACGACATCGTGACACTTTGAACAACATGGCTACTCATAGTTTTTAAACTCTAATTAGGAAATAGCGCTGTATTGTTGTTTTGATGAGAACGCTGCTTTTTTGGAGGCATGCACTCTAAGCAGTACATTCTTTTTTTAATAGAACCGTATGGCTATGAGGTCTTAATGATATCTTGAGTCATTCCCAGTCATTCGTTGGTAATGGTGTTGTCTGTTTTTTTGCATAAGATTTGATGGTTGTTCTTGTGTGAGTAAAGTTGTTACTTATCATCTACGGTGGTTATTTTCATTAGGTCCAGAATTATGGATTAGCCGGGCAGTATGATCCGCACTTCGACTTTTCGAGGGTAAGTTTGGTCATGAAGTGCTTTATGTTTTTGTGATTAAGATTTTGGTAGCCTGACACCAGCAGACGTTCTTTTGGCTCGTCACGCAATCCTCTCCAATGGTTTGTGGGGCAGGAACGTGCGACATACTCCTTCGAACGTCTGCGTCCGTGGGAGGCTAGACACAAGGTCCCTTGGTGGGGAAAAAGGAAAAAAAAACTGGCGACCCTCTTACGTTTTCCCCTCACAGTCTCCTTGCGATTTTAGCCTTCTTCCCCCAGACGGAGAGCCTGTTCACAGGCCAAGGCTTAACTAATTTTAATTGACGTGCAAAGGCCATACAAAAGAGATTGTTTTTTCCATGAGCTCGGACTCCTTTGTTCTTGAAGAGAAGAATTTTGGGCATACCAAACAACTGTCTCAAAAATCGGATGCGGCTTTGATTGTTTGAAGGAAAGGGCGGGGCTGATTAAAATGGAGGGGCAACCGTCAAAATGCTAGGGGAGTAAGTCATATCCTCCCTCCATTTTAATGTGTAACCCTCTGCGTTATATTTTTAGATGAAAAAAAAAAAAAAGTATATATATATATAATACACAGGACAGTTTTTCATGCCAACATGAAAAGCTATCCAGTACAGTACGAACGGCAACACAAGTCGTTCACACACATCGAACATCATATCGGAGTAGCTGGCCGGTTGCATTCCTCGCTCCTTCGTATTTACTTCCCCGGTTTTACTGTCCTAATACCAATTCACACTGCAAAGAAGAGTGCCAAAAACCTATCCGATATGTGACGATCGAGATTCGAGACGCGGCGTAGCTTCACCCCGTTACAAAAATAGTGCCTAAATCACCTTTCTTATGTGTGAACAGAAACTCTGCCCGGTATAATGTTCGCGTCGACGCAAGAGCTATCCGGCATAGTGTGAATAAAGCCTTGCTGTTCATGAATAAATTCAGTCATTCAAGTGTTGTCAAACATGGTTCTACAATTGAACTTAGTAAACAGGTTTAAAGCGGCTGTGTCACGGCAGTCCAGTTCATTTTGTTTAATTTTGCAAATTACTCGCCTTCAATCGCTATGGAACTTAAAGTAAGCGAAGAAATTACATGTAAATGACAAAAGTACAGTGACTTTAAGAGACATTCGCCCTTTCCTAAGTCCTGACTTCGTTAGTAAACTTACTTAGGGTATTAACAATAAATGCCAAACCTGCGCGTCACATTTATGTTGCTGAGCCATTGCACTCTTTTATCCAATGAGACTCGTAGACTCCACGACCGGTTGACTTCTTCATGAAAATTCTTGTCTTTAACAGAAGCGATACCTCACCCAGATTTTTCTTCTGTAAATAAATCGGTCATGCGATGTGTGGGCATGGAAATAGCTGCTTCCGGCTTGTTCGCTCCATCCCTAAACAAAATGTTTAATAGTTTTCTAAAAGGTTATGTTTTAGCTGCATCCGAAACTGCTTTGTGCTGTATAACGTTGTGACTTGCAACTATTCGACGTGGCTGTTTCCATCTTGACTACAAACAAGCAATTGGAAACACGTCTTTGAAAAGCTGACATAATTAAAACCTTCGAGCTGTGTTATTGCCCTAATGCCATCATGGAACGCTTTGAAAACAAAAGAAGCGAAACAGTAGACGAGATGTATTTAAGGATCCCTTGAGGAATCCTTGCCATATATAAAATGGGCCATTTATCGCCATTTTGGTCGCGGTTATGTGATTAATTCAACCGGCGTTGATTACGGAGTTCACAACAACGACGACGACATTGAAAACGACACCAGTAAAATGTATTAGGTCCTTTAACCTTGATTGCGATTATTCCAAATCATTTAACTTGTCATTTGTTGGCGAAATTTCCTGGAGTTGAATTGATGGAGACCTCATTCAATTTCAGTAAAAAAAAAAAGGAAAACGGGGATTTCACGTCGTAGTCGTGCAGTGAAGGTAAAGAAATGTACCAAAAAAATATGTAATGCTCCTTCAAAATGGGTGTTTCCGTTATAAGCACTTTTGCCGCTTTTGTCGTCCTTGTCGCCGTCGTCGTAATGGCCGCATAAACTTCCTTTAAATCTCATAACCTAAGGAGTCAGGATGATAACCCTCATTTGGGTCCAAGTGGCCGGGAGTGGCGCTGCCTGAATTTATTAACTACCACTTTGTTTTTCGGTCGAGCAATGCACTCAGTCGATAAGGCGAGGAGCTGCTTTGAAAAGCCAACGTTGGCGCTCATGGGCTCACTTTCTGTGTATGTGCCCCTAGTCTCTCACAACCCCTGTCTTAGTCACTTTCTGTTTATGCATCCACCTTAGAAAGCGTTTTATCAAGGTCACCCTGAAATGAATTGGCACATTTGTTACACTTAATGTAGTAAAAATCCCCACGGTTTCAAGTCCCAAATTACCGGAATTTCCTTACCCCCTAAATCCCGAAAATCTGCGAACCCATTCTAGTAGCTCTATTGAAAATGCAACCCCTTTATAGTTAGTCTAGTCGTAAAAATGCGACCCTATCCAGCCGCACATCCCCATTAGCCTATTACTAGGAAGTGCTCCCCCCCGGGCGTTTCCGCGCATCCGTACAGCCAAGAGAGAGCCTGTTTTTGTATAAACAAGCTGTTTAATCTTTTTTGTTGCATTATTTGTTTAAACGGACGATAGACACCACTTAGGTGCCCCAGCCCCTCCCAAAGCGATGCCTTACTTCAGCTCGGCCCTAGTTCCCGCTCCGTTTTTCCCGCGGGCTTGCCGCTTTCCGTGACCTTTCTCAGATTGGGGTATTTAGATCAGAAGTGAGGGTTTCCGGTGTTGGTTTAATACTGGATTTAAACCATGTACTAAAACTTTCACGGTTATGTTTATTCACTAGGACCTTGCAAATTCCTCACTGGGTCAGCTGGGAACTGGAAACAGAATCGCCACAGTTCTTCTCTACGTATGTAATATGCTTAGCTGTTTTCGTGTATAGAGCGTTTTCTTTATCAAACAAGCTGGACAAATATCGTGCCCTTTTCTCGGCTAATCAGAAATAAACCAAAACAATAATGGCTTGCTGACGTGAGTTTTTCCTTACTTCGCGTCGGCTACATTTACTTGCTTCGACTTTCGATTGGTCCATTTTTTCGCTTACTCGGTATTGTGATTGGCCAAAGTGACAACCTCGCCTTGGTTTTACGACACTTGCTGAGAACTGTCCTCGTTACGCAGATATCATTTTTTGTTCGTTTGTTTTTAATTGTATTTGGGTATTAATTAAATAAAGTAAATAAATAAATAAACCATTCTAAGTAGTAGTCACTATCAAAATCAAAGTAAAACATTTTGATCCAACCTTAGCTACTTCACCTTATTTTCATCACATGGTAAACAACGCAGAGAACAATTATGGATCATTGGCCCATCATTGTTACCCAATGTATTGCTTCTGTGAAATATCTCAGTGCTCGTAAAATGTCACTTGTCATACAAAAAAGTCTAATATATAAAAAAAATAAGATGAGAATTCTCGCAAAGTGAAATAATGCTTTTTCTTACACCTTCATAACAATGGCCCTTATCAGCCATATTCTTAATTTTTTTGTACCTGATTTTATTTTTAGGCATTTTGTAGTTTGTATGTTGTACCTGTCTAGCGATTTACAATAAAATCGTGGCTGATCTTTTTACCATTCAATTTTTTTTTGGCAGTTTACTGATGTCGAGGCTGGTGGCGCAACAGTATTTCCTTATGTGGGTGCTAGAGTCAAGCCGAAAAAGGTAATTCCAACTGGGTGACTCGAAGTCATTCAAGGACTTCGTCCACGAAGTTACTACCACTTTGTACAGCATAACAAATAGTGCCACTGGAAAGTACTGCTTAGTAGCTTTCATTTGAATGGTCACACTATAGGATTTCATCCACAGACTCAAAATTTAGAACCACCTTGTACAGCATAATAAACAGTACCACATGAAAGTACTGCTCAGTAGCTTTCATTTGAATAGTCACACTTTAGGATTCCATCCACAGACTCAAAAGTTAGAAAAACCTTGTACAGCATAATAAACAGTACCACATGAAAGTACTGCTCAGTAGCTTTCATTTGAATGGTCTCACTTTAGGATTCCAAGTTAGAACCACCTTTCCAATACCATTCAACATAATTCTTCCTTACACCAACACATCCCGCGTAAACGCCTTCAGGCGTCTTCTTGTTGCAGACAATTTTTGCTTCTACGTTTAATCGGACTGCTTAAATTGTAACTCTTTAATTAAAATACAGAGCAAATATCTAACAAAGTACTTTTTTTTCATTCTAGGGAGATGCTGTATTTTGGTATAATTTACTTCGATCAGGAGAAGGAGATTTTAGAACCCGCCACGCCGGATGCCCTGTTTTAAAGGGCTGGAAATGGGGTAAGATTTGGTCGACCTACCCCTCCCCTAAGCCAACATTAACACTTTCTTCTTACTTAGGGCAAAAGGTTGTCTTAGGGGAGGAGTAGGTGGGCTTTCCCAGAAACGTGTAATGATCCCAAATTTGTTGACTAACTTTGTGGCTGGCGGTTTCCAAGACTACGGACCGCGAGAATTTCCTTATTTTCTTCAGGTAGAGTACAGTCAACTCTCTCTAAGACGGACACCTTTGGGACCGGCACAAAGTGTCCGTTTTACAGAGGTGTCCGTCTTATAGAGAGTCAAATAAAAGGATTAAAGAAAGGCAGGGACCAACTCTAGGTGTCCGTTTTACAGAGGTGTCCGTCTTATAGAGAGTCAAATAAAGGGAGCAAAGAAAGTCAGGGATCAACTCTTAGTGTCCGTTTTAGAGAGGTGTCCGTCTTATAGAGGTGTCCGTTGAAGAGAGAGTCGACTGTAGTACCAAAATCTCTTTCTTTCCGTTCCCTGGAGCGAGAGAGGAATGGGAAAAGAGAAATTCTGGGAAGCAGGTTGGAGTAAAACGAACGAAAAACACGAGCGCGCGTGAAGTCTCGTCCCGCGAAGAGGAGGGGCGGGGGGGAGTAAAGGGAGAGTGATAATAAGGGATTGATAGTCTAGCGGTTTTTAATTCATTGGAGTGCCATGAAGAAACGATCGCATTCCAACGAAACCTAGAGTGTCCGTAGTCCCCAAATTTCATTGAGGTTATGGAGATCTAGCCTGCAAACAGGCATATTTTGCCTTGCGACCGATGATACCATTCTTGGGACCAATGCTCTTACGCCAACTTTGACTTTGAAACTGACAGAAAGTTGGGGCAAAAACGCAAATCTTCGTCCCCACAGACAATTTAAACAATACGTTCTTCAGATTTATACAAAGAGAAAAGAAATTCGTGTGAAGTGTGTACTGATAGTCTGAGAAACAGCCGACATTTCACGACGCGACCACAGGTTTTCCCGCCAAATGACGTCTGAGCACCGTTTGCAGAAATTCCATACTGATTACGCGTCACTACCCAGATCTGGGTAGTGCTTCTGATTGGTCGTGTCACGAGAGAAATTTGCTTCAACCAGTCAGGAGCATTACCCAGATCTGGGTAGTGAACGTCAATGGTATGAAGTTTCTGCAGTCGTTGCTCAGACGTCATTTCGCGGGGAGACCAGTGGTGGCGTCCTGAAATGCTAGCCTGCGTGGCAGGCACTTGGAAGTAGTGGGCGAAAGAGAGATTGGGCGCGCGCGAGGGAGACGCGCGTGTCTCCATCTCGCGCGCCCGTTTTTTTTGTGCCCACTACTTCCAAGCGCCTGCTACGCAGGCTATGAAATGCCAGCTGATTTTTTAGGCTAGTGTACCGGTAATCGTGACTGCAGATTACTTAGAACTAAATTTCTATCTTTCTGGTTTTACTTCAGTTTCAAACAAGTGGATCCATGAGCATGGAAACGAATTCACGAGGCCTTGTTCCGTGTCACCTGATGAGTAAAATGCAAGGAGACGTTTGAGAAGTGACATAAGTTTTCAGTCCATAAACAATAGGGCAGGAAATCTTTTGGAGCTTTTAAAGCTTTTTAATCGTTTCTGCTGGTCAGTTTAAATTCGAACTGTGCTTGTAACAACAACAGATAAATGTTGCAATGTGCTGTATGCTTCGCAAACGTTCCGATTATTAAGGAGTCAAGAAAGTGTATTTTTATTTTACTTTCACAAACAGAAGACTAGAAAAACGCGCTAAGAATTGGTCTTATTTTAGATGGTTGCATCTATTTTTACAAATAAAGTAATATTTCACCCAACTAAACGAGTTGTTGCATCTTAGATTTAAGGCGGTGTTGAAAGCAATTTTTTCGCATCTTATTTCGCAAAGGGGCACCGCAAGCTGTCTTTTAAAGAGCTAGTTTTAACGAAAATCGGAGCCGAACATGCGGCTAAAATCGAACCTAACACACGTATACAGAATTCACAACTCCCAGTTCTTATTTAAAAGTAGGTTGAGTTTGATCGTCCGGGTGAACGTAGTCCTGAATAGGACTGTTGTTGTCGACAGTGACTGACGTTTCAACAACCTGTGCGGTAGTCATCTTCAGAGTCAAAGGGTTAGGGTTAGCGTTTGACTCTGAAGATGACTACCGCACAGGTTGTTGAAACGTCAGTCACTGTCAACAACAACAGTCCTATTTAGGACTACGTTCACCAGGACGATCAAACTCAACCTACTTTTGAAATGACTCCTGGGTTCAAACCTTTGACAGTTCTTATTTAGTTGATAGCAAAACAAAATCAAATCGTTTTAGCATTATTTAACTTTATTTCTGGCATTTCAAGACGAGCCGAGTACTGTCGGCAATATTACTACACAATTCAAGGCGAATTAAGGGAACGAGGTATAAATTTTACACAAATTTTCTACGACATAACCAAGGTTATACTTCCATTAATCCAGTCTCCCTAATGACGGTTCTAATTCTTTTTAGCGCACAAAAAACTCACAAAAAACAAACAATTAAATAAAAGAATATTTCTCTCACAGAGTGGTTTTCAAATGAGTTACGACTGTCGATGGTAGCAGGACAAAGAAATCACACTGACCAATCAGATCACAAGCGAGTAAACCAGCCAATCACAATTCGGAATAAAACAAAGACCTAGTATCCAGTGTAGTAGAGTAGTACCAAACACGGAAGAATGGCACCCGTTCACAAGCGCGGGAAAACAGAAACTCGGCGCCAAGCACAAGCGAACTTTGCTGGTCGTTTTCTTAGGCTGGCCGCGGAAAAATCGACAACATAATTTCACTTGGGACTCATTAGAAAACACTCCACGCATGCAAGTCTACCTCCCTTGAAGGAAAAAAGGGCAAAAAAATAAACCTAACAACATTTTTTTCTCCGCTTCGCATGGAGAAGTAACACAAACAAACACATTTACCGTAAAAACACAGTATTTGTTAACTAACCAAAAATAGTTAAACTCTTCCAAAACGTTAGAATGCCATTTATCCTATTTTTCTTTCAGAAGGCGTGCCTAAACCCAAATCCATTAAAATAGTTGGTGATAATATTATTTTCTGACTGAAGTATCTTGGTTTGAATTTTGAAGTACGACGCACAAAACTTCACTTGACACAACTCAGACTATCAATAAACGTTACATTTTCACAGGCAATCTTTTTTGCTTCACTAACATAAACAAGAAAAGAAAATTGGAAAACGGCTGACGTAATTAATTTTAGTCCTAAGTACGTATTTGCTTGGCAGTAAACCTGAGATAAAATACAAGATGAGAAACACGCTTTATCAGTTTTACCAGTTTTCCGAACATGCCTTTTCTGAACACCTCTCCCATCACTGCAAATGTAACTCCTATATGTTTGTGCCGAACTGTCTCACAGATTGTCATAATTTATAAGCTAGTAGAATGTTCGGGATTTCCTTTATTTGATCTCCTTGCTTTTTCGTTTTCCGAATATCCCGCTACTTCGCTTTTCTGATTTCCTCTCTGGTGTTGATTCTTTTCCGTAGCTCTCCTTGATACGCCTGATCCACAGATTCATGTCATCCTGAGGGTAGATGGGAGGGGAAGTTGGTAAGCCTTCCAATACATAGAATCCAAAAACGTTTCAGTAAGTCCCTCCCCACCTTTCCCAACTAAACCGACCGACCCATTGCCCTTGCCATAAGGGTCTACAGTGTATTATGCTGTACAAAGTGGTTCTAACTTTTGAGTCTGTGGATGAAATCCTAAATTGTGACCATTCAAATGAAAGCTACTGCGCAGTTCTTTCCTGTGGTACTGTTTATTATGCTGTACAAGGTGGTTGTAACTTTTGAGTCTGTGTATGTAATCCTAAAGTGTGACCATTCAAATGAAAGCTACTGCGCAGTTCTTTCCTGTGGTACTGTTTACTATGCTGTACAAGGTGGTTCACAAGGTTTGGGTCTGAGGATCGACTTCCTTAAGTGTGACAAACTCTAATAATTATTTGAAAAATTATCGCGAGAACGTTCCTAGATAAATGCAATAGAAGAAATTTGAATGCTTACGTCATCTTTTGCTTGGAAGAGAAATTCTTGGCCAGTGTTTGACCTGTAGAAACAATGACAAAAAATTCATTTATTAAACTTTGTCTTTATCGCCATTTTAGACAGTCCGCTAAAACATATAGAGAGAATGCACGAGGATTTTGAACTAGAAAGTTTATCAGGGAGAAAAACAACTTTGTCATCTAATTTAAGCCTAGGATTTTACGATATTCTAACCAAGAAAACATAAAATAATGAACTAAGCATAGCTTACCTGAATCTAAAGACATTCTTTCTCTTTGTGTAGTCAGTGGCTACTTCAACATAACTTTCCGCTGTTGGCATTGAATGCGCTGCTTCATTTTCCTGTTCCACAAAAAACATTCGAGGTGTTACAGCGGTGTTCAGTTGTGAAAAATTTCGCTTCACTTAGGCTTTGCGCGAGCCACGTGATTTGACAAACTGGAACAATCGGCGCCGTTTATACCGCGCTACGTGATTGGCTAAGAAAAAAACCCGGTCATTTTCTCAACCAATCAGAGGCTTAGTTAATTTCAATGTCACATCAGATATAGGCCTGGTTCAAGAGGACGTATTTCACGGGGGCGAAGGATGTTTTACCTCCAACAAGCAACGGCACAGAATACACTCTAGGTAAGAACGACGTTTGAGTTAAGAAACTTACCGCGCGAGCTGTCTTCTGATCTTTATAAAAATGAAGGACCTGGTCTTGAAGTATAACATAGAATTGTTTCCATTGCCTGGGTAAAAAGAACAAAGAGAGAATGATCAGAAACAGAATGTTTCATCGTGAAATCACAAGGTAAGTGTTGACGTTGGTAATGGAAGGTATTACCGGAAATAAGAGCTACAACTGAACTTCTGTGCAAAATACGGTCACAGGAAATGAGACTGCACTTTTAGTTTATCGTCTAGCGGTCTACCGTAAACACTAATGTTATGGTGGGATGACAAGCCAAGAAAGATTTGACGCAATTATTATAGTTATGGCCACTTCACCCGTAGACGTAAACTATTCACCCACAAAGCCAAGATGTTCAAAATAAATAAATAAAAAGTAGATGAGTACTTACCTGATTGGGGCCTTTCTGTTGGGAGCATCCATAGTTGGTTTACGATAAAGGTAACCTTCCATTTTGTCCTCAGTTACGCTCCCCTCAATATCTGCAAGAAATATAAGAACGCCTCGGGTCACATTTTCTGATGATCATTTAACTAGGCATTAATAATCTACTTCCGGGACTTGAGGGAAGGGTAAGAAAATAAAAAAAATAGTAGCCACAGTAAGCTCGCTTACCTTTTTCCTCTGGTGTAGACTCAACCTGATAACAAACAAAAAGAACACAATAAAAACTGGGAACATCTAAGATGGCCAAAGGTACTTCAAACAATAATGGAGAAAGGCATAAACTGAATGTACTAAAAAAATGAAAGTACTTTCCCATGGTACTGTTTATTACGCTGAACAAGGTAGTTCTAGCTTTTTGAGTTCATAAATATAATCCTAAAGTATTACCATTCAAATAAAAGCTACTGAGCAGTACTTTCCTGTGGTACTGTTTATTATGCTGTACAATGTGCTTCAAACTTTTGAGTCTGTGGATGAAATCCTAAAGTGTGACCATTCAAATGAAAGCTACTGAGCAGTACTTTCCTGTGGTACTGTTTATTATGCTGTACAATGTGCTTCAAACTTTTGAGTCTGTGGATGAAATCCTAAAGTGTGACCATTCAAATGAAAGCTACTGAGCAGTACTTTCCTGTGGTACTGTTTATTATGCTGTACAAGGTGGTTCAAACTTTCGAGTCTGTGGATGCTGTAACCAAGGTGGTTCCTGTGGTACTGTTTATTATGCTGTACAAGGTGGTTCAAACTTTCGAGTCTGTGGATGAAATCCGAAAATGTAACCATTCAAATGAAAGCTACTGAGCAGTACTTTCCTGTGTTACTGTTTATTATGTTGTACAAGGTGGTTCAAACTTTTGAGTCTGTGGATGAAATCCGAAAATGTAACCATTCAAATGAAAGCTACTGAGCAGTACTTTCCAGTGGTACTGTTTATTATGCTGTACAAGGTCGTTTTAAGTTAAGAGTTCTCTTGGATGAAAATTTTATCTGTGGCACTGATAAGAGTAAAGGGTTGAGGTAATACCGAGTGCGCAGGTGGGTTGGGGGGTGTGTGTGTGGGGGGCGCAGATAAAAACTCACCCCTGCAGCCACAGCAGACACGACTACTTCCTCTGTCTTCTGTCTCTCCCTCTCCTCCCTTCTCTTCCTTTCCTCCTCTTCCTGTCGCCTTCTTAACTCTTCCTCCTCTTGCTGACGGATCCTCTCCAGTTGCTCCTGCCTTTCTCGTTCTTCTCTCTCCACTCTTTCCCTTTCTTCCCGTTCGCGGCGCTCTTGCTCCATCTTGCGGCGTTTTCCCTCGCGAAGCTCGAACTGAAAGACCAAAAAATCGAATCTTTAACGATATTCCAGTCTCTTCTCCTGAAAAAAGTCACATAGGTGCAGCTGCTCCCTAAAATGTAGGTGTGACAACTAAATGATGAATCTTTCACCCAGGAAGAAGTGGTAATTTACTTCTCAACTAAACGACCTTATTCGCTCAAAGTTTGGCTTTGTTGAGGAGGATATCCAAGAATAGTCTCCATTAAATCAACAGAACCCACACAGAAAATTTTATGAGCGATCGGTTGCTTAGCAGCGAACGTCATACCCACATCACAGTTTTTTGAGTGTTCTTAAGTTGAGATCTGAATTGAGCTTTGTATCAGTGTCTCTTGGAAGACAAATAGAAATTACTAAAATGTCGTTACTTTACCGTGGTCAAGCGTTCCAGGGCAAGGAACCTTTCTTCTTGTGTGTTAACAAGTTTCTCAAAGTTGCTGTGCTTCTCCAGAAGTTGTTCCACTTCATTAAGATCGTCCTGTGCAAAACGAAAAATATCAAGAAAAAGGACTTACCACTTTTCGAATCAAACAACAATAGCATTTACAACAAGAGCACACAACAAATCAAACTAATGTAAACATGATAAAAGTAACTATGTATGCCTTCAAGAGTTAAAAAAGGAGGAAAGCAAACATATTTCGGATATTCTACAATTAAGTTAATTACAGGGTCAAAAACAACGATCATGTCGACTTACTCCGAGGTTCTCGTTTTTCAGGTACGGTTCCTGGGCGATCATCCATCCTTCCGCCACGTGAGCATCACGTGCAAACTGCATGACTTCGAGGACTGTTGGGCAAACGAACACATGAGTATACAAGATCACTAGAACTTTTTCTCAAAGATTGGACAGATGTAAATTGTTCATAAGATAGACAAGCTTGGCATTCAAGGACTCAATGGTTGCTTTGTTTCTTTTGTTGTGTGTATTTTGTGTTTGTCCGCAGCCAGACGTGAGTGAGAAAATAAGTATTACTGTAATCAAAAACTATCGCGTAAGGGCCTACGCGTATTTTCCCGCCATTGGAACCAGCTGCACGATTTCCAGCGCTTGGAGACAGTTTCACGTCTCCCCATGCTCGACTCTACTTTTGTCTCAGTTCCCATTGGTTCACTGAGTTATCGACATTTAATCTGATTGGTTAGATGAATTACGTTGCCACTAGTTTCAAGATATTACCCGGACAGATCACAGTAACAAACCAAGCTGTCTTACCTAACTGCAGATGTTCCCATCTCTTGTCCCATTCAAGTGAGAGCTCGTCTTTGTGTCTGTTCAACATGTCAAGTTTCTCATTAATCTGCAATTAGTAAGCTATGATTAGTCTCCCAGTCGATTCACGTAAAACCAAGTAAATTGCCTTTTTAACGCAGGTCATGGAAAAGACCCTATGAAGTTGACAGGGATATGCAAAACGTCAAGACAAAAATAAATATTTCTACCATGAAAGAAACTTTTACCTCTGGAGTAGCGTAGTGGTTTCTTGCGATCAAATCTTTTCCCATCTTCACTACGTCCTGGAAACTATCCTCGCGTGCATCGATTTCAACTTTCCTGGTCTGATGTTGTTCAATCAATACTTCCACGCCCGGTACATCCCTTGAACGAACGAACAAGCACGTAAATATTTAAACAACAATGTGCACTTCACCTAAACGATTTGTGTAAGACAAAGCTCGTCTTCAACTTAAGGTCACCGACAGTATACAACGAGAAAGATTTAAAAGGAAGATGAAAAGACGAGGGGTAACGAGAGTTAAGTGCCTCATTCGCCACTTTAAATACTAGGACGAAACTGAAGATAACTTTCTGGGACTGTTAAAAGAGCAAGGAGAAAAATTGGCAAATGGCCGCATTTCGGCTTCAGTTCCCTCGTTTCTAAAGTGGCGAATGGTACAGCAGTGACACTCACTTTGCTTTCTCGTAAGTTAATATCTGTTTTAACATGTCGTTCATCCATAACATCTGGTCTTGAACAGCTAACAAGAATCGGTACAAGTCGTCCGCATCGTGCAGTCGCTCAGTGCGTTGTTTCACGCGCCAGTTGAGTCGTTTCCATGCATCAACGACCTCATCTTCCTTAGCCTGGATTTCTTTGGCTTTGTCACCGGCGTACGAGCCTGAAAATAAAAAAAAAAAGTCTCGATATCAAGACGATTAGCCTCCTCAATTTTGGATCTGTTCGGAAGACGATATGAGACCTGAAAATTTGTTTAAAATTTCTTGCTTGCCTGCCTCTCTTAGGATTTTCGAACATCTAAAAAATGTCTCGATTTTTATCAAGATGAGGCTGGCTGATATTTTCGAAAAGGAATTCAAACCCTAGGAAACCGAACAGATGAAAAAATTCACCAGTTAAAAATACGTTTAACAATGCTATGTTTAAGTGGTTTTGAAAACGACAAGTTTGAAGTTCAAGCATGCTAAAAGGGACCACCCACCCCAGTTCATGTTTGGCCAAAGTAACATGTCACTTGACCAGGCTTTACATATCTGCCATGAGGAAATTAGAATGCGATGCCTTTTTTGAGGTGATATACTAACCGAATCGCCGGCACCCTCTTTTTTAAATATTTGTGTCAGAGCAATTCAGGTTAATAGGAAACGGCTAGTAGCTCTTCTTTTCAACTTGGCTATATTAATACATTATCAACCCACTGTTTTACCTGGTTGCCAAGTGGTGCTAAATCAGCCTCGTATCCTTGGTGAACCACTTGTAGTTGATGCAGACTGTTTAGATCGCGACCCAGATCATCTGTAAGGAGGTTTTCTTTCTCGTGAATCATGGCCAGAACTTCTTTGGCGTCATGGAAGAACTTATGTAGTTCACGAGCTGTCTCTAACAACTGAAATGAAAATTAAATAAAACACTTTTCAGTAAGGCACGTTTTTGTGACAAAGAAAAGCAACTAATTCTACCTTTAATCTTAATAAATTTGCGCGCAGCTAGTTTCAAGTTTTGGAGAGAAATCGTCAAACAAAATCCATACTCGTGAAAATTTAGCTCCCGAATTTTCGGGAATTTAAGTACGCGAGAGAAAAAGCACCAGTTAGGTGTTACTCTGAAAGTTTATTTTCTTTTATCGAAACCAAAAGTTCAATACGAAAACAACGATTTTTCTTGAGAAAAACATACTCAAACCAGTTTTCGATTTAGCTTGGTCAATCACAACACAGACAAACTGACGAACCAGTTGAAAGGAGGCATGTGTGCGTGGCCGGCTACGCGGGCGAAAAGCGCGGGAAAACGTGTGGTTACCGGTCGAGACTGGATTTTTTCTCATTGGCTGAAAAAGACCTCAGGTTATTAGCCTAAGCCAATCACAAAGCATATTAATTTTTGCTTACCTTTGTCCTGGTTTCAATGAGTTCAAGAAGGTTAGACCAGGACTCGTTAATCTGATCTTTCCACTCGGCGATAGTGGCCGCGTCAGTGTGACCTGTGCCAATAAGTTGATCACACACAGCATTCGTGGCTGCCACCTTTTCCGATCCAGTATTGGTGGTGTCTCGTGCGAAATCGCGGAATTTTTCAATCAGCAGCTGTTGAAAAGTTAATAATAAATGAGCATTATTTTAAGTTACAATGGAATCTCAGTTTCGAACCCCCTTTGGGATAGAAGCTTGATTCGACATACAAAGAGAATGGAATAAAAGGGGGTAAAATTACAAACTTGAAAAGGGAAGTCAGTTTTAGCTCGAATTATTAAGAGGTTCTATAAACTTAGGGCTCAAGAAGTCCGTATTCCACTGTGTAGTGGAGATTAAGAACAAACCATGGGTAAACAAACAAAACGATGCAAAAATGCTGATTTCAACGCCCGACAAAAGCGTAACCGCGGTGGATGCAATGACCAATAAGATCGAATACCAAAGACTATCATTTTTAAACCATAGGAGTTCCTTAGTACGTAAAGAAATTAAAAGTCCAAGTCGCGTATGCCCGACAACTTTCCTGGTATGATCGACTAAAACAGTGACTTGGTCGGAAACGTGTGCTATCTGAAGGTGATCGCAGGTGTTGTTCTGGCTACCACACCACGATATTTTAGAAATTCTTTTTCGTTTTTTTTTTCAAATCATTCTTGAAGTCACGCAACTAAATTGCATGAGCCGGACTTGTCAGTCACACCCTGGATATCGTCCGGCGGTATAGACTGTTTGAGACACAGGGTGGCAAAAAATCGCCCCTTCCCGCTTTTGTGCAATCAATTAAGGATAAAGCTCTAATCAGTGCGTCTTTCAAATTACGTATCTGCACAAGGCGAAAAAAAAAAAAAAGAGTACGAAAGCTGCACCTAATGCTGTTAATAGTTGAGACTGAAATATGTACCTCAACTTGGGCGAGGTCTTGTCCAATATCTTGAGAACCTGCCACAACTTCTTTCTCTGCAATCCATTGTTCCAGATCATCTATTTCTCCCTGCAGCTGGTAAAGCTTTAGAGTCTCGTCCAACTTGCCGCGCCTTTCCTCAGCCAAATCCTTGAGTCCTTCGTATAGTTTGTCTACCTGGGCTTGGCGGATCTTAACCGTCTCACTAAAAAGGCAAGGAAAACGAATAAGTTTCAGCTTTGTATTTACGTCAAATACGAAAAACGTAAGTATGAGGTTATGGGAGTTGTAAAGCCTGCTTTTCTAAGGAGAGGTCAAACAATTTTCTGAAACTCATTTACAATTGCCGAACGGACACAAATGCAACCCTAATTGCTGAAACGTGCGTCATTTCGCCACAAAATAAACTACTGAGAGAATGGGTAATAACTTTCGGCGCAAAGATTTCTGGGATAGGTTGAGTGAAAAATACAAGCAATGATTGGTCAATGGATGACTTTAAATACCATCGATCAATCATAAGTAACGCCTGTCCACCTATATGATCCACAAAATCCTAGCGTCGGTCTAAAAAAAAAATTCGGCTACGCCTCGTTTTATCAACCCTTCAAAGTGTGGGGATATGAGATGAAACACTCCTCCCCGTGTTGATGTGTTAATTCTCAGTGCTTAGATACCGGGAAAAGACAACCCCTTTCGTGTCTACATATTATTTCTGGGTGCTTAGATTTTAGATGAAAAAAAAAACGCCTTCTCGTGTTTGACATATTGTTCTCGGTGTTTGGATACCACATAAAACACTCTTTCTCGTGTCTGATATACTCATTACTGGTGATTGGAAATCAAATGAAACTTTCGTATTTGATGTGCGACGTCATGGTGTTTCTACACCACATAAAACACTCCTGCTCGTGTTTGATATACTACTTACCTCTCTGGGTGCTCGCTATCCACTAGTGCCTTAGCAGTGTCGCCAAGTTCATTAACAGTCTCAGAGTAATCAGCAATGGCAGCTTCTAATGTCTCGTGTTTCTTAAGCATTGCACTGGCGCTTGCCTCGTCCTTTCCTCGTTCATCACCCATCATATTCAGTTCTTGTTCACTCATCCAAGATTCAGCTTCCGCGGCATCGTAGTAGTACTGAAAACAACGAAGATATTTCGTTTTTATGGTTTACTTTTCCAATATTCATGACCAGCAAGTAACTTCTTCCACGAGACCATAGAGAATGATTTATAGAATGACACGCTTCGGACATAAATTTCGACTCGAAATAGTTGAATAGCAAAAAGCTCTTGAACGGAATAACTTTCCTTTAACGCTCGAAGTTACATTCGAGACTGTGGTCATCTTCCTACGGTGTGACCATTCAAATGAAAGCAACTGAGCAGGATTTTTGTATGGTACCATTTTTTTTTACCCTTTCACAAACTGAATATAATATCCGATATTTTCCGACTTTACTTTCACTAAAGCAAGTTACAAAATCACCAAGGATTCAAGAACCAATCAAACCTGTTTAGCCTGGAGTGACAGGTCAAGCTGAGCTTTGTAAGCATCCGAAAGTTTCTTGAGGTTGTCATACTTCTCCTGCAGGTCGTCTATTCTGGCGGCCACTTGTTCCGACTCTGGATGACCAGACTCCACAAGATCTTGTCCTCGTTTGCAGATGTTGTCTTTGTGCGCTTCATGAATCTTAATCTCCGCGCACAAGGTCTGCCAAGAAACGGTTATAAGTAAGAATTACCTTTACCAACAGCGCAATCAGCCAAAAATTAAGCGATAAGCGTTCTATGGGGCTTATTCCAAAGCCTGTTCATCGCTTAAAGCCGGGTCGGTTTTTGTACCGAAAAATAGTTGCAAGGGAGGGGAGGGAGCTTATTCAGCAGTTTTTGTTCTTCTTGTACCACTTTTCACTTTCCCCTGTGAGTTTTGTTTTAAGGACTAGAGTCTCTCAACACAATGCCTATGACTTTGATCTAATGCGATGGCGAGGATGCAACGAAGGTAAACGAAAATGCACGAAAATCTACCGAGATTACCCTTTCGTAGCAGTTTGTTGATGTATATATTCTTGTGCCGTAGATGCAACTAGCTCTGAGAGTCACATCAATTCGAGGCATTACCCATTTGTACTATTGTTGTTTCCATTTTAGAATCACATTTCATCTTTATATCTTACCTGGAGTTTCTTCTGTAGCGTCTGTACTTCAAACAAGTTGTTGCCGTAGTTGGTTGACTGGAGCATTGGTTCCTTTTCTTTTATCCAGGCCTAAAACACAACAACATGAGTACCATCAAAATCGAGATCTGACCACTAAAAAACAGAGACCAGTGCTTTCAATTTGTCGCAATCGCAGACAGGGCACTTTGGTAGGAAAGTTCCTCAGGTTTTTTCGTATCAATTGTTTTACTAGACCAGCGTTTCAGGTGAGGTCTGAAGTAGAGTCAGGGTTTCAGAACCCATGTCTGCACCAAGTCGATCTCTTTTATCAGTAATACGGGGTTAAGAATTGTCAAGAATCCTAAACCAAGCTTAGCGAAACGATACAAGCTGTTGACGCAGTCGCGAGAGGCTAACTTGTTTCGTTCGGAGTAGTACGGTAGCTCTTCCTGACCTCTGTTTTCATTGGCCTAAATAAGCAGTAGCTTCTTTTGTTTTTAGGGATAGGGGTATTGTTTCGTTCTCCAATCATAGACCATGTCTGGAGAGCTACTGAACTTCTCTTCGCTCGAAGGATTTTGAATCTAACTTCCCGCTAAAATGAAAGTCATGGGGCGATGCTTTACCGATTGCTGCAAGCTACAAAGACCTTTTGAACGTGGCAAAACAAAACGGCGCTACTAAAAAGGACACTGTGAAAGTCCAGCCGTACCCACCACCAAAGTAACCTCCCTGGATCATCAGTCCATTTACAGAGTATTAATATCCTCACCTCTTCATCATCACAGTCTCGGTTGAACTGGAAGTAGCCAAGGGTACGTTCAAGATCTACGCCCTTCTCAGCCAAAGGCGCAGCCATTGCTTCAACCCTACAACAATCAAGCAAAAGGAGTTACGTCAACCCGTTCGTTTTCAGAGTAAATAATGGAGTCTTGTAAGTACAGTTACTAAAAAGTCTGTCTCATGGCTGATAACAAACCTCTCTTCCATAACGATGCGCGTTTCTTCCACAGCATTGGGATCGAAATGACCAGCATCCACTAGATCTTGAGCTTGGCTGTTAAGCTGTTGCATTCGCTCTCTCCTGGCTATAATTTCCTTCTCCATCATCTGAAAACATCACCGATAAGTTTCACTGTTACTAGAGGGTTATGGTTATGCAGTACACTTAAATTCGGTTAAGCTGGATTTCCACTGTCGCGTAATTTTTACGTGCGCAATTGGGCGCGCATAAGGGTGGATTTCCGCTGTCGCGTAATTTATACGTGAGTACGCGCGTCAATACAATAGAGACAATAAATAAAAATTAGCGCGTAAACGTTAAAGTTGAGGGAGCTTCAACCATTACGTTAAGCGCGACCTTTCATACATTACCGCTATTATGCACGTTAAAATTATGCGATGGTGGAAATCCACTCTCAGACTTCGAGTAAGGCGCAAACGCGCGGAGAATCACCACAAGGAGGCGCGACGTGTATGCGAAAAAAAATAAGGGACCATAGAAACTAAACAACGACGATTGGCTTTCTTTGATGCTCTCGCGATGCAAAATTTTGATTGGCTCTTTCTTAAGGCAAAGGCCGCTGTCAACAATCGAGCTAGCAGCCATTTGGTTTCAGTTGGTAGATATGGCTTACAGACTTCAGGTATGTCCCGAAATAGAGTCGCTGAATGTTAAACCCATTTTGAGAACCCGTTCTTTGGAATGTCACGAAATGTTTCTTCTTGTGTTGCGTGACAACACAAAGAACGGCGGTTGGGTGTGACACACAGACACACACAAAAATAATGAAACAATACTTATATGACTGGCATGACTAGGGATGACAAGGAATGAACATCTATTTTTCCTTTAGAATACCTTATGCTTTTGATAGAGCCTTGTGGCCGTTGTCAGATCAGTCGCCCTCTCGTGTGTGACGGCTGTCTGTTCGATCTCTGTGAACCATTCCTGTATGTTCTTTACACCGGTGTTAAACTCCTCTTGTTTTTGTGCATCTCCAAGTTTCGTTCCCTTTTGTGTGGAAGCATCTGCAAGCTCCTGCCATTTGACATTCAGTTTCTCTAGACGCTCCTCGATTTCGGGCTTGTTTTCTGGCTTCTCTTCTGCGATGTTGTTGCCAGACTGCAAGAGGAAAGAAATTTAATTTAGCAGAGGTCGTAAAATCGTAGTTGGAGTTTGAAACTCGTGTCATGGACAAAAGCCACTTTTATGGGTCTCCTGTGTGAATGAGCGCACGCACAGGAAGTCCAAGGAGATGCAAATTTTAGTCTGAGGATGAAATCCTATAGTGTGACCACTTAAATGATACCTACTGAGCTGTACTTTCCTGTGGCACTATATGTAAGGCTGAACAAGGTCGTTCTCTTTAGCTTCACACTAACCTCACAAATGGTATCCAGTCTTTCCTTATTGGCCTGGATTTCTGCTTCAAATGTTCTGTGTTTCATGACCTTGCCCTGAATGTTACTAAGATCTCGGTACGTTTCCTCTGAGGCGATCAACAGACGCTCATTAAGCCAGTCGTACATCTAAAAAGATATTTACAAAATATCAGTTAAGTATAGGCGATGACATTAATACACCTCGGTAAAAGTGGATTAAGAACGTTACGGAAAATTAATAACAAACAACAAACAATTTAGGCAACATACATCTTCAGCATCTTGTATAAACTGCTGCAATTCCAAGGAATCTCTCAGTCTCTTAAGAGCGGCAGCCATCTTTTCATGGTTAGCAATTCTCCTGTGAAAGCAAGCAGATCCGAGTAAGCAGGGTAATTTGTGTTAAGACAGAACGAAGTCAGTTTCCCATCTAAGTGCCTCTTCACAAGAGTCCAGTCTAAATCTAAAATTTCCGATACGTTCATATGAGAGGACAGGCTGGCTCCGTTCCTGAGATCTCGGTTTTTCCAGCAAGATCTCAGTAAGCAGGCTGGAAAATTTTGCCATATGAACACTTCACCCCAGTTACCGGGAAGAAAGCAACAGGGCAACAGTGTAGCCCGGATGACATTGTCTTCCTTTGCCTGCTGTATTTTCCACATCATAAGCATCCCATTTGACAGCAGTGATACAGCTATAGGAGTTGCAAAGCTATGATAGGCACGAAAATTATAACTTTGTGTTTCGTCATGTTTGCTTCGTTTCTCGAATTTCGCGCCTGAACTCATCCCCAGAATCTTCGGCGTTTCCTCATCTCGGAAACCGGGCTGAAATTTCTGATATGAACCCAAGGCAAAATTGATCCCGGTAACCAGGCCAGCCCGCTGGTGTACAAGGCTCGTGAGAGAAAAATATTTATAAAAAGTACTACAGAAAAGTTGTTTCCTTGCCTTTCGTCAATGCTGCGAGCTTTCTCAGTAATTTTGTCAGATGCGTAGTGGTTTTCGTCATTCAGGCGATCGGCAAACTGCATCATTTGGTTGATCTTGTCATCATTTGTGTTCATTCGCTTGTCAAATTCTTCATGTTTCTTGATGAGTTCCTTCACAGCTTCAACAGTGGCCTTTGACAAATTGGAATTCAAAATTAAAATTGCGAGCTTCGCATCATTGTCTTATCTATGAGATTACCACTTCATTCTACGAGTCAGTTATGCAGTATGTGGATGAAATCCTAAAGTGTGTTCACTCAAACGAAAGCTACAGGGCAGTAATATCCTGTGGTACTGTTTATTATGCTGTACAAGGTGGTTCTACATTTTGAGTCCGTGAACGAAATCACACAGTGTGACCATTCAAATAAAAGCTTCTAAGCAGTTCTTTCCTGTGGTACTGTTTATTATACAGTATAAAGTGATTCTAAAACTTATACACTGTTAGAGTCTATGATTGAAATCCTACAGTTTGACCATACAGATGAAACCTCTTTCGTCAGTAGGCCACCGCCATTTTGTTAGTCTGCTTCACAGCCATTCTTTACGTCGTCACGCAACGCTCCTCTCCAGCGTTACGTGACAACACAAAGAACGGCTGTGGAGCAGACTACCAATTTTGTCAGCACATAAAAACATCGAATTTCGAATCTCTCTTGAACCAGAAGTTAAGAAGCACAGGTGAAACCATGTAAAACTTACTCCATTTTCTTCTTTAGACAGGAAAAGTTCTTGTTGGCCAAGAATGGCTTCACACTGCTTAGAGTCACGGATAAACAACTAAAAGAAAACCAAAGCATACAGTTGGGTTAGTAGTCATAAATGATCATAAAAAAAATACTTTATTTACACATACTTTTCAAACCCCTTGTTCCGGACATCTCTCTGTTCAGTACAAACAAGAAACTTCACTCATATTCCCTACTTCTGAAATGTGGACATTACAGAGTCCCTTCCCGCTCTTTTTTTTTTCTTCAACATCAAGAAGATTCGACATTGGCTTTCTTTCTCATTTTTTTTTTGAAAAGACACATTGAAGAAGCATGGAATTTATGTGAAACTGTGAAGTCATCATCTCCATACCTGGTGGTTCAAAGCTTGAATAAGCATTTTCTTTCTATTCTCCCACAAAATATGCACATCATTCCATCCAGTCTCCAAGTTATCAAGTTGTTCCTTCAACGACTGCTGTTGGAGGTCAGACTCGTCCTGGATCCATTTGGGTCCACTTGCCATTAGTTGTCTGAAGTCTGGCTCCCGACTATCGATCTCCTCCTTGAGGTCCTCATGTTCTTTCAGCATCTTCTCGGCGTCAAACAGAGACACTGGCATATCCTCTGATGCAACCTCGTTCTGAGTGTTGTTCAGCCTTAAAAAAAGAAAACAAGTTATGACCAAGTTTTCTCTTTTGGATAATTTATACTACATTGTATGTCCTAGCAAAAAGACTGCACTTCAGAGATTCACAAAGGAACACCTGGGCCTAATTGTTCGAAAGGAGGATAACTCTATCTTTTGGATAAATCTCTACCCAGTGAATAGCACAATTAGTTTAGGTACACACCTCCAAAAAAAAAGTCTCCCCAATTTAAGATAAATAACTATACCCTTGTCGTGTTCTACTGAATGTCTTTTAATTTCTTACTGTATCATTAACTTACCATATCTGGAAGTTATCGAGGTCAATTACAAAGCGCTGAAGCTCTCCAGATTCTGCTAAGGCTTCATCCCGTTGTTTTACCTAAAACAACACAGAATCAGCAAACTAGTTATAACCTGGGTAATAAGAAAGATATTGTGCTTCAATTTTGTCCTGTTAAAAATTCTATATTTCTTTTATACTGAGAATAAGTGTGCAAGGGGCTCTTTCTCGAAAGTCCCACTAACCTTTCGCGCCCAAAAAGCTGTTTTATATTTGCAGAGTTTGCATTCAAGATCAAAGTTTCAATAATTTTGAAAATAATGAGTCAATTAGTTAACGGAGCAAAATTATCCGGTTTGTGAGCTAGGAACTGTCCTACTGTTCAACAGGTTTTAATTTAATAATTCAGTTTAATTTAATAATACTTGGTGTTTTGAGAAATTACGCCGCAACCTCACATCCAAATGTGTGAAGACAGCTTCATTGTTGAAATTTCCCCTGTTAAACGAGGAAAGAGTAACTCACATTGTCCTTGAGGTCAATCCAGCCACTGCTAACCACAGTCATTTTTTCTCTGATTATCGGTTCTTCAGGTTCCTTTCAAAGAAATCGTAAGAAATTTAATTATAAAACAATAGCATACCAGATAAAACTTGAGGATCAAATCAAAGATATAGTCTTCTTCAGACCTAATGATTCAAAAAGGTTGGTAACTTTTGTATGCAATTTAAGTTGTATTCTCCTTCTTTTCTTTTCTGAATCTTAGTTTATGCTGTAGTTTATTTTGTAAAATCGCGTCTTTTGTCTAATGTCATGTCTACTTAAACTAATTCAGGGGAAGCCTGGTCCCCATATAAGCCTCAGACTTCCAGTTCAGGCTTCCCCATCACCGTCTTTTTCTATATATTTTTTCAGTAAACAACCTCTACTGCAACAAAAACAGAATATATCAATCAAATCAACTTACCCCTTGGTATTCAGAGCAAAGGTTATTAGAATCACTCTCAAGCTTGGTGACCTACAACACGAAAAGAAGAAACATCAACCAACGCCGTGGACACCAATGGTCTACTAACATAAAGAAACTTATTTTTCCTGAACTTTGGAGACTGAGGTGTGGTGATCCCAACAAAAATGTTTGGCCTTTAAAGTAATACAATTATTCAACATTGCCATTAACACTGATCATCCTTTGACCACTGGGGTGGATGGGACATTCATGAAGATTTCTTTCCACAATTTGTCATTGCTGTACTCAGGTCCCTGGAAACAAGTCCTAAATCCCTAGCAATCACTTCAGGGTATGTTAGCTTACATGACTACACTCTGCACACTGGCCATCGGAGGATGAAAGATGAGATTATTTCTTTATCTGCCCAATATCAATGACCAGCAAACTGAAGACGCGGTGTTAGCAGCGTGCAAAGATATCCCAATATCCCGAGGCTAGTGGATTTTGCTATCGGGTTAATGAATTCTGTTTCTAACTTGCCTGACAGGCAAGTGATGTTTTTTTGAGGAATTCGAATAACAGAAGAACTGTAAAATAAATTCTGCTAGTCAAAACGTTTTTGGGGCTAGTTGAAATGATGTCTGGGCTAGTAAATGCTAGCTTCAGCTTGCCCGAATGGCAAGCTGTAAAAATAGTTTTCTTTACACCCTGGTTAGTCACGCATAGATCCCCTCAGGTGTGGCACTGTCTCTCCAGCTGATGTTTGTACTCTTCTCAGAAGGTCTGTATAGCAACCATGATAAAGTGCTTCACAAACCTCACACTAACATGATGATGTAGGATTAGGACAAGTGACAGAGATAAGTTATGGACTTAGAAGATTAGACTACAATAGAATATCAAGCCCTAAGTTTCCATGCGGCACAATCTTGAGCACACTGTGAAGTTTAAATGAACCTTACCTTGTCTTCTAATGGTCCGAGGTCCCTCTGGATGCTGTTCAGACGTCGCTGTAAGATCATTACTGTTGCAAGATCTTTCATGTTTGTCACTTCCTCAACACTAAGGAGAAGGCTTGACTTCTCAGTAATCCACAGCTATAAAGGGTAGAGATAATGGATTAGATTAGTCTACTGACTTCTGATTTCAGTAATCTCTCTCTAAACAAACAGCCCTACACAACTCTAAGGTTAAGGTCTCGATTGCAGCCGTTTCTGGCTTGTCATGCAACACTCCTCCCAACCTGAGGAGCAACATCGTGTGACAAGACAAAAAGAACTGCGAGGGAGACTACGGTTGGCTGGTCTAAGCACACTTTCCAAATATTTTCTCTAACAAAAAAACTGCAAGGAAAACACTTCTGTTGGCTGGTTGATTGTGGTCAAAAACAAGAATTTGCAAAAATACAGAAAATAAAAATACATAGAAATAACAAAGACAACTCAGAAGGACTCTTTGCCATGTTTACAAAACCTAAATTAGTCAAGCTCCCATAATGTGATTAGCTCGCAGTGCTTGCATAATTTAGTTTTAAGTTAAAACCAGAATTAGCTTGGGCTGTGGTGTGTGAGGCAAATCTCTAAGAAATCTCTTCTCCTAAACACTATACAAAGTGAGAAACAATATAATTAAGAGGGGATAAATTTTGGTAGCTTGTTTGTTTGGTTTTTTGATTTTTCAAAGTTGACCCTTTAAGCCCTAAGAGTGATCAGCATCAAATTTCTCCTTGTAATATCAATGCTTTGTAAACAGGGTGGTCATGAGAATTAGAGACATGATCACACAAGATGAATTTGCTTGATATTTTATCAACTTCTCCCCACTATTTCTGTAGGAAACGAATAGGGCAACAAATGAGAATTCAAATTTTGATCTTAGGGTTTAAAGGGTTAAAAGCTAATGTCATATACCTTGGTCTCAGTAATGTCAGCATGGAATTGCTGGAGTCTGAGAGCTTTGTCCAACTTGGCCTTCTTGATGTCTGCAGCATTTCGTAGATTTGCCCATCTGAAAACAAGTCGTTACAGATATTCAATTTTTTGAAACTCTTCCTGTGAGAAATTTTGTCAAGGAATCCTTTTCAATTTCAAAAGAAAAAAAAAAACAGGGTGGAGAGAGGTTTGAAAATACTTCAGAGTCTTAAGTCTGGTTTTCATAAGACCAGAAAATCCCCGATAACTGGAAATTTGTTTCTCCAGGTTTTGCTGACTAACGAGAACAAGAAATCCAGGAAAGGTCAGGAACAAAATCAAGGAAATCAGAAGCATTTCTCTAAGTGTCTTAAATTTCTGGAAAGGACACAAATCACTCTATTTCATTTCAACATGTCAGAGATATTTTTAGCTTAGTACCAATTTCTTCATGTTTTGGCTCCAGTCTAGACCCTCAACAAACAAAAATGACATCTGGGACAGACTCTGGAGTTTAACAACATATTGACAAAACTTGGGATGGTTAAAACTCCCTGATTGTCTGGGATTTTTGTAACATACACAAGAAAAAAATACACTACTCACTTTGTGTTGAGACCATCAATTGTGTCTTTGATTTCATCAGAGTTGATGTGACCCTTGTCGACGAGCTGTCCACCAAGATCATTAACAACACCAACACGCTTTTCATTGGCATTCAACTCCTGTGATCAATAATCGAGTCATAATTAAAATGATAAACATTCACAAAAGTTCTAACATAAAAAAAACCTGGCTGACATGAAAAATAAACCAGATGTCTTAATAATTTAGAGAAACATTAACATTCATTCATTTCATAATTTATTAAAACACAATAAATTTAAAAAAATATCTGAGACAATAAAATGGTGATGGCAAGGAAGCCTATACAAGAAGCCGGGGGCTTATGAACTATAGGCTTCCTGAAAATATGGGGTACAACATGTAAAAACTAATAAGATAGAGTTCTGATGTTTCTGTGACCACATGATGCCATTATCAAGGAATTGGGAATTAAATAAATGCGAGTTTGAAAGAGATTATGAGTTACAAAAATGAAGAAGGGCTAGACGCATCTTTTTTCAAACTCACATTTATTTATTCCCAATTCCTTGACGATGGCTTCATGAGGTTGCCGAAACGTCAGAATGGCTAGTTAACTGGTTAGTTTTTACATGTTTATAAATCAGATGTCATTCTACAAACCTGTTGGAATCCCTCGAATCTTTGCTCAATGATCTGGCATTCTTCCAAATCCATGCTCTTTTCAACAGTGAGAGCTGCTTCAAGTCTGTCCTCCTATAAGATACAAAAGATAAGAAAATTGATGTAAGTCAAGCTTGGATGACAACAGTTCAATAACAAACATAACTTTACACCAAGCTTTTCAATATCAATTTCATTACAAGAAGTAATCATTGATTACGGATCCAGCTTCGTCACTTATGGAAAAATTACGGAAACAAAATCAAGTCACAAGGACTCCAGTTTCCCAGCCGAGGTGCCCCTGATAAGATTAATAGGGGTGGCTAATTTGAATTTGCCCGTGAGAGCTTAAAAATTTCTGCCTTGGTGCCACAGGAACACCAGATTGGGATGCGTTCTGATGAATGCGACAGTGTGACCTGGTGGTAGTAGAGGCACTAGTACAGTGGCAGGTGCAGGATAAGAAATTACATTAACAAGCATAAACTGAGTTAAAAATACAGTCAACTCTCGCCTTGCGGACACCCAGCTATAATGGACACTCCAGTAATATGGACAGCAGCTAAATCCCAGGCAAAAATAAATTAAAGACGTTCCAGCGAAATAAACTCCCACTATTAACGACTCTCGCTAATGAGGACACTATAAGTCGAAGTCCCTATTGTGTCCACTATAATGAGAGTTGACTGTAATCCTAGCAGCAATCTAGATATATGTCCTTTCCACAAGGAGCAGTCCACACTCTGCCCAACAAAACTGTCCACATGATACACAATCATGCATCAAAGCACTGCACAAGGTACCCAATTAATCACCCCAATCACATTCAGTACCACCAACCTTTTCATTAATCCAGCTGTCCACAATGTAAGCATCCCGGTTGAGCCGATGAAGTGAGAGAGCATCCAGCAGTTTGTGTCGGCGGTCTGCTCCTTGTAAGCGCAAGTTCTCATAGCGAGTGTCAACACTGCAAAAGAAGACAAGGATTGCATCAATGGGGAGGTCACCCACTGGAGACCAACCGGACTGAAAGCAGTACGAAATATTAGGGTCCTTAAAACTTGCAAGGGCCCTTCATTCCTTCACTATTCATAACAGCAACCATTCATAACATCTAAGCTACCATATCCAGTAAAATTATGTTCTTTCTTAAGTGGGTGGAATAATCATGACCTTCCAGGTGAGTGAAGCCCTGAATAGGACTGTTGTCCACAGTGACTGACGTTTTGACAACTCGTGCGGTAGTCATCTTCGGAGCCAAAGTGAGTTGTGACACCTTCATCAGTTGATGGTATTGCATGATACAACACACTTTGACTCTGAAGATGTTGCCGCAAAGACTGTCAAAATGTCCGTCACTCTCAACAACAGTCCTATTCAGGATTTACTCGGCCAGATGATCATATTCCACCCACTTATGAAATAACTCCGGGGTACAAACCTTCCACTGTCTAAAAATAATGTAATTAGTTTATAACTTACTTTCGGCATCTATCGACCACCTCAGGCGATGTCTTGTCCTCATCACCAAGCTCATCCACTTGGTCATGAAGGCCTTTGATCACTGATGCATAGTTTTCAATGTCTTCTTCAATGATCTGTTAAAGATAAAATCATTTACAGATTATTAGGGCATAAGATCAACATATCTTTTTGGCAAGTGGTTTGTGTGGAGACTCAACACTGAAGATGTGGTTGTTTAACCCACATTAATATCAGAGGGCATAACCTCCACACTGCTCTCCTCACACGGTCTATAATACTGTAGAGGAGAATTTGTTTACTAAGCAGCAATTTACAAAGTGAAATTTTAAATTTTTGATTAATATTGACTTTGGCCACGTTTAAGAGTGAAAAGTCAAGCAATACTGTACCTTATGCTTCTTCAACAGGGTCTCAGCGCTAGCCTCATCATAACCAAGATCATCATTGGCAACAATCCTCTCCATCATGTCCAGCCACGACATGATGTCATTGTAGTCAGCAATAAACTGCTGCAGTTGGTGATTTTCCTGGATCTTCTTCTTGCGATAAGCAGCCACATCATTTAAGTTTATCCACTTGTTCTGTATACTGATCATTCGAGACTGGATAGTGTCAGATGAGTAATGTCCAGAGTCCACAAGGTCTTGGCCACTTTTCAGTACTGCCTTTGTGTGAGTGTCGCGTTTGGCCATGTCTCGTTCCACAGCCTAAGAAAGAAAATCACCAATGTCAACATTACTTGTTGGTAAAAAGGGAAAGCTATGGAGGACTCTATTATGTTCCTGAGGTGCTGTTTATTATGCCTTACATACCAGTTGTTCTCTTAACATTACACAGAAAATAATATATTTTTATCTTCTGTATTTTCCACCTCCCTTTTCAATCTTGGGGTATTACAGACCAAAATGCATATTCATATGGCTAAATTTTGCATGACTTTGAAAGAAGAGCACAACTGTGTGGCTTAGTGGAGGTGGGTGCCCCGGATGTCCAGGGACTTTTGCCACAGCCAGCCCCTAGACAGAGTTATGCCCCCATAGCTGGCAAACCCTCGCCCTCCAGCCATGAGCCCCCACACCAATGGAACCATGCACCTGTCTCGCAGATTTATTAATGGAAAACTGAAAGGGGGCAGGAATGGGGGTAAAAGAATGATCTAAAGGCTGAACGAAGAGAGTGGCCACCAGGAAAACATTGTACTGAGCACATGGAGGTGATGCAAGCAAGACTGACTGCGCTTGAGCCCAACGACTGACTGCTGGCCACGCCCTCGCCCCTCGTTGTTAACTGTGTTAAATCAATTTAACTTCATTATATAATGCACTAACCTCATGCTTGGTCAACAGCAGCATGGCACTATTAAGATCATGTCCATAATCAGTAGACTGCAACGATTGAGTCTTTTCAGAAACCCACATCTCCTCCTCCTCTGCATCGCGGTAGAAGGTCTGTAACTTATGGGACTCATCCAGCCTTGCACGCCTAGCTGCAGCCAGCTGCAAAAGTTCGTTATAAGCTCCTTCTAACTCAGCCTGGTGGTCTCTGATCTGGTTTTCATCAGGTTGGTAACCTGCAATGAGAAAATGAAAGGTTTAAGTTGGTAATCATGGATGTTTACATAAATCTTGTTCATATACTGTCCAAAAAATGAATAAAGAGTTTGTAAGTGTTTTAACCTATCAAGCCTCAATATCAACTTAATATCCTTGTCCAGTGAATGGACCATTTTATATAATAGCCAAGAATTTGATTAAACTTGAACACTTGAGAAAACTTCCAAACTGTATGTGATAAAATACCAGAATGCAAATAGTACCAGTAAATATGTAGCTAAAGAGGTGTCATTTAAAACTCATACCATAAGATTTCCTTCAAGACTAAAAGTATAACAAACAGTAATACAGGAGAGTACATTCAGTAGCTTTCAATGAATTATCAAATGATCGCACTTTAAATTTTATCCACAAACTTGAACGTTAGATCTGTCTACTTACTGTCTCTATTGAAATGAAAGGGTTAAACTTTGGAAAGAACTTAACACAAACAATTCTTACCATCTTCCTCATTGTCCAGCTGTAAAAACAACTCGGCCTGTTCATTGACATTCTTTACTCTGTCAGCTTGTGCTGCTATGTCTCCTTCCACAAGACTGTGTTTCTGCAGCAAGTCCTCAACACCAAGCAAGTGTTTGCCATAATCTTCTGACAGAAGTCCCATCTAAAATAAAAACAAAATCATAAAGTATAAATCAATGTAAGTTTATGTTTATCTTCATCCAGGTACTCTACTGGCCCACAATCTTGTATGCTACTGGTAGCCAAATCAAGCTTACTGCCATTACTCTGATAAGATGTCATTACTCTTTAATTCTGTCAAACTAAAAACTACAGAAGAGTTCAAAGAGTACATGACCAAAATTTTATTTGAATATTTACAACATGTACTAACAAAACAAAGATTAAACCAAAGATGTTCTTGGAAAGTTAAGTAATGGTCGATGCTGACACTTAAAACAACCCCAAAAAAATTTTCCAGTTACATGTATTATCTTCCACTCCACTACTGCAAAAATTACCCTTAGAACAATGAAACAAATTTTGTGCAAAAACCCATATATACCAGCACTAAAACTTGACTTGCCGAGAAAGGAGCTTAAAAAACTTGTACATGTTAATAGAATCAGCCTGTTTTTTGAGAATACATTATCTGTATCACTACCTTAATTTCATCCATCCAATCGATGGCATTGATCATCTCCTGGAATATTCTCTGCAACTTCATGCTTTTCTCAAGTCGAGAACGACGGCGCTTCAGCAACTCAAGAAGTTGTTCCCATAGCTGCAAGATCAAGTCTTTCCTGCAAAATAAATAACACAAAACATCATTTTGGAGACATTTCATGAAATGTTATAGAGAAAGTGAGCTCCATTATTTTTTTAGAGTAAATTGCCTTTTAAAAAGAAGAATGTGAAAGTAACATACTAAATGTAAAAAAAAATAAAGCCAAACCTGGACTGAACTCTGTCAGATTCATGATAGTTTTCTTTGTGTAGTTCATCAGCAACTTGAACAATGGCGTTGATACGTTCTTCATATGCCTATGAAAAGTAGCATACCATCACTTGTTACTGAATTGCCAGTTCTTATAAACTTGAGAGACCATTATTCGCCCATCAAGAGTAAATGAAAATTATGGAGAAATTAAGTTAATCATACCATGATATCAGTTTCAATGGCCTCGTGTTTCTTGGTTGCTGCCTCAACTGCTGCTATGTCATTTCCAAAGTTGTCTTGTGATACCAAGCGCTGGTTTTCATTCAGCCAAGTTTCTCGCATAGCAGCCTAAAAGTTGAACAACAATGACCATTCAGTTGTTGAGTTCAATACAAATTAACCCCAAAATTGGTGCTCTTCTAAAGATTAAGAACTGCTAATCTAATCAAAGTGGATTTCTTACAAAACCCATTCCCTGATCTAAAATAATAGTGAGTTCAACAACAATATCTACCTTTCTGTCAAACTTTGCAGCCAGCATTTCAAGCCTCTCTTGTCTGTGAAAGGGAAAAACAGTAAGTATAAAAAAAATCACTGTTTGCGAGAGAATATTCATTGAAGGAAATGATGCAAGTAACTGATCAGTGTTCTACCTCATGAGTTCTTCTCTCAAAGCAAGCTCCCTTTCATGTTCAGCTCGTTCCAACGATTCCCACGCCTACATGTGATGGAAAAATAATGTTAAGAACCAAATTAACCCTTTAAGTCCCGATATCCATAAACAAATTCTCCCAACTGATCTCTGTACATTTCCTTACAGAATTAGTTGGGAGAAACTGATAACAGATCAGAGATTTTTCTCTTTGTGATCATTTTATTAATTCTCATAACCTCATCTCATAATAATGTATGGATATTGTTAGGAGAAAATTGATGTTGGCCACTATTGGGACTTAAAGGGTTAAAGAAGCATTAACAAGATATATAGTGAGTAAAGCTAGAAATATCATAATAAAAAGAACCTTAGCTCTAGCTAAAATAATATTGATTAATATCAAGAGTTTATAATTGTCTGATCTACAGTACCACATTTTGACATCTGTAAGTACTATAATGAAAATGCGATAAAATTTCAAAAATGTAAAAATAATGTGAAAGGTTACAAAGGAAAATATAAATATAATAACAAATTCTAACTTTTTTAATTAAAAGAATTTGGCATCGTCATTTACACAATACGAGTATCTAAGTAACTGTTTTTCCTTGTTTTTTGTTTTGTTTTTTTTTCTGATCTACAGACTTGACAGTTTGCAAGTGGTGTAAGAGCTGCTTGTTTCACTAATGTACTATTGTCACACTGTCCATTGTACATCGCTAACCATGTTTTTAACATAACAGCTAAAATAATATTTAATCAAACTTGCCTTGAACAATTCAACACAATGTAATGCTCTCACATTGCATTCAACGTGCCTAGTCACTAAGGGTTGTCAGAAAGTTTTGAAGTAGACGGCTGAGTTGTTAAAGTAAGCAGCCAGTCCAGGGATATTCTATATTAAAAACGCCATCGGTAAAGAATTGCCAAACAGAGTAGTCGGCCGATACTAACCAAGTAGGCAGTGATTTTTGCCAGCAGTCAGCTACCTCTGACAACCCTGTGACTGTGTTTAAACTCAACAACAAAATGAAATAGCATACCTTATTGATGTCACTCAATGCCTTGTTCTCCGGAGGTGTGTACATCTTCTGATGGTTTGCACGAAGCTTGCTTGTAAGGATAAACAGCTGAACCTCAAGGTTGCCTTTTTCAACAAATCTGAGATCAAAGCAATAGAAGAAAAAATTGTTTCAAACCATGACTTTTACATGATTTTCTGTGGTGGTGCAAACTATAATGACAATGATGACAACAAGAATAAAATTGATTGGATATAGAAGACACTGATAGAGAGTGACGTCAAAGGTGTGATTAACCTTTCGACATCTTGACAAAGTTATGGCAAAATTAATTGTCACTCTAACTTATAAGTCTGTTGAAGAAATCCTATGGTATTACTATTCAAATGCAAGCTCTTTTGCAGAACTTTTGAATAGTACTATTTAAATCTTAGGAATTTACAAAAAAATAAATTAAATTTTTTGTGAATCTTTTACTTTAGCAGCTATTGGGAGTTAAAGGGTCAAATGTTAATGTCCTCACCTTGGAGGCTTCTCTTGTGTCCTGTACTGATTGAACTCCAGCATCTGTTGCTGAACACCAACAAGTGTGTTGGCAAAATTTCTGTCTGACAGCTTTACGATGGTGATCTGTATCCATTCCAGGAGATCTGTGGCTTGTTTCTCATATTCTTCAATCAACTCTGAGTTTTCTTTGATGCGTTCAATTACCTGAAAAATAGAATTTTAAAGGAAGTTGTAAAAACCTTTACTGAGGAACATGAAAAAGGAAGGCATTGTATGACAAGCATTTAAGCCATTATCAGAGTCAATTCTGGACACAAGTAATGTACAAGTTTAATTTTTCCATATGTGCACAAAATTCTGGGGTGGGGCTATTCAAATGATACCAAAGTTACTGAAGTGGAATGGTTATGAAACCTGTCACATCTTTCTCTCTCTAGTTGGGGGTCACGCCCATGGCAGCCAGGGGAAACCCCTGGCCCTCAGTCCTCATTGACAGCTCTGATGTTAGTTTTAGTCCATTATCCAGATAATACTTTCATCCAACACACAGTAAGCTTCATTTACAGAGAGACCAGCTGGTGAATCAAGGGTCATCAGATAAAACTTAGGGGGACCACAAGCCAGGATCAGGGTAGAAGCATAATGAAAAAGCTGTGATTTAAGTTGATATACTACTTATATAACAGTCCTTTTACAGTTCAGATGATCTTGCAGTCCTTTTCTAATAAATCATGAGTTCAAGAAATGATATAAGACACAAACTGACTTACCTTGCCAATTCTGCTGCCACTGACTTCGACAGTTTTCATTTTGGCAAAGTAATGATAATAAGCAGCCACATATGTCATGACCGACTTCTCATCAGGAAAGTCAACGTTAACATCTAAAGAATACAAAGAGCACAAGATTTGTAAGCACCATTCCAAGCATTAAATCAAAATATATTTTTTTTCTACAACACTAGCCTGTAACAGGCTCTTAGTCAATGTAGACAAGCAAAAACAGAGAAGGGGAGAGCCTTAAGCAGCTTTTTAAATACTTCAGTCTACCCACTAAGTCCCATCCACTCCCCAAAAAAACATTTCTTGCATCAAAATGTGCGATGTAGGAGGGTTGCACACACTTGCCATGTTTGTCTGACTCTGCACATGCACCATGCAAAGCCAAGTGATTGACAATAGTGTAGATATAAACTTTCAAAACTGACCAATGGTAGGGTATACCAGGAACTGGTATACCAGAATAAGGTATTAAAAACAATGCTTACAGGGCCTGCTTTCCCATCTGTCTCCAGCCCCCATGCGGTTTTGCGCAACTTTTTACAGTCTGCTATAACAACTACCCTGGAGCCTGGAACAAGCTTCTACATTACCTTCTGCTTCCAGCAGTTGTGGGATCTCAAGCTGAGTTTCTGCGACTTCAAATGCAAGATTTAAGTTCTTCTCAGGTTCACTCTTGGTGAGTTTGTCATACTCAATCAGGTCAGGTCTAAAACAATAACAACAATGCACTGAGCAAATTGATGAATTGAGGCTTTGACTGTGCCCTAAAATTGCTGACAATAACATTACAAGACCGTATGATCACATTAGTTTTCGAAAGTACATGTACCTGTGTCTGTGAATGACTGCATTGAATGCCAGTCCATCACGCCAGCTTGTGGTGAAGTTTGATATTGTCACATTGCGATACCTATATTTTGTATCCAAGAGGATTATGCACATTAGTACAGAAAATCACAAAAATCTTTGTCATTAAAGTACAACCTATGACAAAATCCACAAAGTGGGACCTTGAAAAAGTTTGGTTCATATTAAAAAACCACCAAGGCATTACATTTCACTTGCCCCAAAACAGTGTTTATTTCGAGAAGAAAATATAGCAAGTGACCAGTTGCACCAGTAACTCCCTCCGTAAGAATACCTTGCTAGTAAGGAAACCTGAACAATATGGACTACAGCTCAATCCTGGCAAAACTTACAAATAATTGATTGCAAAAAAAGACTCCTGAGTGTTATCATCAGCTCAAACTATTATGGACTTGCAGAAACTTTTTCAGGTACTGACAGCACAACCTTCTCCTTCTAACTACCCTTAACCCTTTAAGCCCCAATATCCACATACAAATTCTCCAAACTGATCTCTATACATTTCCTTTAAGAGTTAGTTAAGAGAATTTGATAAAAGATCAAAGTATTTTCTCTTAAGTGATCATTTTATTAATTCACATAACCTCATCTCATGATAATGTCTGGATATCGTTAGGAGAAAATTGCTGTTGGTCACTATTGGGACATAAAGGGTTAAAACTGGATCGTTTTGTTATTTTTAAACATACCCAACTGTCTTGGATTGACACCACAGCAACAGAGCGTCTTTAGCAGATCTCTTCTCCTTTGTTTCTCCTTCTATGGTGATATCTGAAATCTAACAAAACATATGTGTGTTACTATCCACCTATTTTAATCTCCCATTTAATCACATTACACTGGCCAAAATATTTCTTTGGTTTAGGATCATTACATTTAGTACCTGGAATCGAAGGATGATCGTCCATATCAGACCTAGTGTGATCTTGTTATTTCCATCGACAATATCATGGGCGCCAATGTTCTCCAGATGGACCTAATGAAACAAATATCATTAGAGACCTTTAGATTCTGAGAAATCAAGAGAGGGCTTAAAGAGGGAAGCAAAGAAAAAAGGGGCAGGAGAAGAGACTGTGAAAGTGGGAGGTACCCCCCCCCCAATCTATGATAAATCCATACTTTGGTTTATCAAGCCATGTATTCCATTTTTTGGCTTGAAACCTTTGCAAACTTTAAAGAATTCTGCTGTTGTAAACAGGGCTTATTGACTGAAGAGGCTTGAAGAGCGAAATATATCTCAAAACGTTTAGTTCTTATTTTTACAGTTTTTACATTTTCTAGATTTTTAGTTTGTTGAATGAGTAAAAAGACGTGACATCTTCTAGTTCAAGTTAACAGGGCTTGTGAATATTATTATTATTATTACTATAGGAAGGATTACATTAAACGGTACCTTTTGCTTTTTTAAGAAGGTCAGGGCTTTGTCAACATTTTCAAGCATGTGAATTCTCATTCGTCCTTTAGATGGCTTGGGCTGTAAATCAAGAAGATGAGTAGAAAAATTCAGTTAATTATCAGACTCGCCAAGAAAAGTACATTACTTTGCTTAGGAATGGCATAAAAAATAATGCAACATAAAATTAGGGTATTTCAATTTTTTACACGAAGCCAAACCCTTCTCTAGAAATTAACATTGCAACCAACACCATTAAACAAACTTGAAGATAAGAGAAAATATTTCAAAGAAATATTTTTCATGTCCAAACCATACACGTCTATAGTAACATCTAACAGCTGTCAAAGAAAACAGCAGGCATTCTTGTCTTCCAAATACATGTTACCAATCCCTCTCTTCATTATTTTACAGCTTAACACCTTTTGAACTTTACATGTGTCAATGGGCTAAGACGGCTAAATAACATACATATAATACAACATGACAGCTACAATATCATTATCTTTGTATCTTGGGTCCATCAAACCTTGAATCTCTCCCATTATTTGCTTCTCATGGATAGATTTTGCAAGAACTATATTGAGAATTTTAATCATATTTATTGTGGTTTTCCAATTGTTTTGCACCTGGTGCCATAGGGGAATCTGATGTATCAATTAAGGTGGGTTTCTAATAGCTCCAGCCCAGAAATCTTTACTAGATCATATAAAAATACAAGCAGGTTTGAACAGCAGTAATTTGCATACTTATTCTTACCAGTTTTTCACCAGACAGGATCTCGAGAAGAAGAATGAGTTTTTTGCCATCCTTAAGATCATGATAGAGGTCATTAACCCTTGCGTTAACACGCTGAAGATGTGAGTTGACCCACTTTGTGAATGTTTTCTTTTGTACTTTTTCTCTTTCATCTGCAAATGAAGATATCGCCATATGGTTTGCATTTATACAGATAGAAATCAAAATATATCAGGGTTCTCATTAAGTGCCATCAACCGGCTAAAAAACTGGGCAATTTGAGGTCTGAGCCATCTATTTCTTGGGGTAAATGGATAAAGTGAGGGAGTGAAATCCTTAAATTGCCTACAACACTTGATTGCCAAGCCGCCTACTTTTACATCCTGGCTGTCTACTTTAAAACTTAATGAGAACCCTGAGGTATATCCTTCTAAAAATCTAAACCGATAACCCTCATTTAGGAACACTGAAAAAAACAGATCAAAATAATAATCTTTGGGCAAACCTCCTAAGGCATCAACTTCAATAACTTAGTTATAGGGTCTATTTGTTTAAAAGGCAGATAATGTCATCCGACAAATAAATCTCTATCCGGTGGATAATGCAATTGGTTTCACTCAAACTTATCCCTGGATAGTGATTTATCTGGTGGACAGCACTCAGAAATGTTGTGTGACAATGAACAATTTAAATATTTGGAAATGTTTATTTAACAATAAACTCAGTCTTAACCAAACAATGTAATACAACTTCAAGAATTCATTATTAATATGTTTGCTCATAAATATACAAAAATTATTAAAATCAACGTATTAAGTGTAAATATGGTCAACACTGCGTAATGGGACTGGTATAAATAAACTTGACCGTCATGCTAGATAAATTAAGAAAACAAACGTTTAAGCACCAGGGAAAATATTTATCGATCAAAATCTGATTACCTATTCTCGAAAAAACCTATTTTCACACGGAAAAAAATTCAGATGGAGCAAAAAAAGACCTGAGTTGTGATGAAAAGTCGATCATGCGAAGTTCCCATGAATTTCCCGTGACCAAATGTTAAAATTAGTATTCAAGACATTTTTGCTTTACTCAAACCTGCTACGAAAAAAAATATCTTTATTGAGAGAGAAAACAAACAGGCAAATAAACGATAAGAGTTTTTGCAGAAAGCGAAGTTTTGTTTTCGTTCGCATACAAAACATTCTCCAGTCAAAACAAAAAGAATCACGCAATCCTTGGGACTACACCTCCGCAATGATAAAAACAAAAATATTCGAGAACATTTCGACTCTTTGAGCATACACATATCTATATAATTCGCTTTTCTCTCCTGTCTGGTCTAATGACAATCTACACTAAATTAACGTTTAAACTAATCAGGAAGCCTGAAGCATTATGCTTATATTTGATGAAATCAGATGATCGCAGATGTAATATTCTATTTCCATTCTTTTCGGCTCATTGTAATCAATTCTCCTCGCTTTGTGTTTATTTTTACGTACATGCAGTAAGCATTGTGAATATTTCTTGCTGATTTAGGCCATGTATCAAACTTTAAATAGAGAGCTTAAGAAGAAGACAACTGGTTATACAAAGAAGTATGAGCTAAGTATTAAAAATATTACTTTGCGATCACGAAATTCAATGTTTGGTAATAAATAATTTACCCCTAGCATCAAATTCTTGAATAATAAAAGAGCCCTCCTGTAGACAGACATGCTTACTATGAGCAATAAAAACCACGAGGCGATTTTAGAAGTTGAAGCCGATTTTTCTAAGTCATATAACGGCTAAAGAATGCTTATTTACTAACCAGCAAGTACTTTGATTCGAGATCGTTCAAACAGCCTCGCTGAACTCTGCTGCTCCATCCACTGATCTTCCTCGGCGTCGCGATAATCTGTCGATACTTCACCCATTGTTCCCATAGACTGGATGAAAGCCTAGAAGGTAAAAAAGTGAAAAGTCAGGACGGACTTTCGATTAACTACAATAAGTTCGAAATGAAATCGAGTTCGATATTTCATCTTGATGAAGGTATGCAGATAGACGCAATACAACACCCTACATAACATCTATAAATACTTCGATAAAGGAACACACAAGTCTGGTGACATAGCAGTTACTTAGCATTAACATTCAATAAAGATTTACGATGTTATCCAGCTTTAACTCTATGTAAAGACGATTTATGACTTGTTTTCAATACAGCAAATCCTGGATAAACTGATGAGCCACAAAATTATCGCGTTTCAAGGCCATACCCTCCGACAATTCGAGCTACTCGGGGTCAATTAACGTCAGTGAGCTTTCAAATCCTTGATCTAGAAAAGCGCTTTCACACTGCATAGAAATTACAGGGGAAAACAAACGTCCTAAAAAAGCGAAACAACTGTGAACTGGGAGAACTATCCAACGCCGCAATCCACGCGACACCTTTTGCCTTCCCCGCCCTGCACGAAAACCACACCGTCCAATCAGAAAGCGCCTAATAAAAGGAACAGCCAATCGATGCGCGTTTTATAACGAACAAGTCACGGCCTCTCAGTGAATACAATTATTCCCGGGAAAATGGAAGGTGTGTTTTGGAAGGCGAGAAAGGAAACGCAATTTACCTTCCAATTAAAGCAATTTTAAATCATTCCACTGTTTGAGGTAAGTTAAGTAGCTCTTAAAGTATAATTTTGATCTAACAATTGGTCAATAAAATGGTGTTTACACGCACTAAAGGCTTTCAAAACACAACACAATAACCTATTAACTCAGACGAGATGGAAGTTAAGCTGGCCAAGACCAAAATAGGAATCTCTCGGTTGAGTGAGCTAAAGATAACTTAGTCTGTGTATCTTTTTGTGGCTTTACTATAATGTGCTGCTACACCATGTAGCGCCAATTACCAAAACATGCAGTAATGAAGCTAAGTTTGATCAAAGTAGCATCTCTCCTCAGCTCTCATTTTCTTGGCTACAGTTCAGAGAATTTGCTTATGCATCAAAGATGATGCCAGCGATAAAGCCCGATGTCTGGAAATATCAGGCTATCTACTTGACAAAGAACCAAATAATTAATCTACCCATGCATCACAAAGTTGCTCTGGCAATGATAGAGCTGATTTTTGGAAACTCTGACTATTCAAATTGACCTTGGGAAAGAAAATAGAGCTTGAAATGTTATCAAGATTCAGATGATGTTTGTTAGCAAATCAAGTCAGAGTACAAGGTGTGCATTAGAGCATTGAAACTACAATCAAGGACACTCAACTTGGGTAACGCCACTCTGATACCTGCCCTAATGTTGGTTTCTATTGGTTTTTTGGTGGAATTATCCAATATTGAAAGAGAGAGGGAAGAGGATGTCGAGCACAGCACGTCAACGTTATTCCTTCAATTGACCCAAATTCTAATGTCATGAATTGTAACTATGGCAACGAAGCACTGCAAGTGGCATTTACAATGAAGATAATGATGAGGCAGTTATGTTTCATTGGCCTCAAAGTATCAGTTTATATGCTTGTTTTGCTGAGCAAAAACAACTCCATTGGACAAGGCAAAATGCAATGTCCAACCCTCGTAAAAGAGGCTAAAATTTGGCCTGATCACAAGTTAAGCCTGGTTTCCATATGATCGTCCGGATTATCCTGATCGTCCCAGTTGTCTCAAATAATGTTCAGATGATCAGGATGATCATATGGAAATGCAACCAGCAAGATCAAAAATGACCTGGACGTTTGAGACGACATTGATTGCTTGGATAGAGTTGAGTTTTATGTGGATAATTGTGTAAAATTTGAAGCGAACATATGGAAATGCTCTCAGATGACTAAGACAAAAGAGACAATCAAAGGCTATCCAAGAAATCATCACTGTTATTCCAGTAATCAAGAATAAATTTGACCTGGACACTGCTGAAGTTGAAAAAATAATACAAAAATATTCGCACTGGATATGGGCACTATTTGAAACTAGAGAAAGTCTTTACATCAAATTCTTGATATGATCGTGGAACTCTTTAAGCTTGTCGATGCTTTAGGGGAAGAGCATGGCTACCTTTATTGTCCATGTGGAACCATGATCTTGAAAAGCAAAAAATTGGATATCAAACACCTCCCCTCTTCTTCTCCACAAAACAAACAAAGACCAAAATGCATCATTAATTTTGAGAAGGAGAAGGGACTCCTTATTTTCCATCTTTTAAGTCGAAGATTGGACGAATAAAATCATACCGGTGAGGGCAGGGGAAATCAAGCTAATGCCCTTGCAACACTATTAAGAAATGAATCTATGAATCAAGCCAATTACGGTTGTAGGTCAGTTGTTAAGCTATCACGAACATGACAAAAGCTGTGGAGAAATCTTATTTGTAATAGCCTGTGAATAGGCTCTCTGTTTGGGGACAAAATAGCAAGAAAAGGGAAGGGAAAGTTCCTGCTCAACCAAAGGCCTGTTCACAGGCTAATTTGCAAGCATATTACTTACAATGTACAACAAAGTTGCACCATGTAAATCAGTCTTAATTATATTAAATGAAACCCACATTTATGTGTCAAAATGTGACACTTACAAACCAGGCTGTCTGAAGATTACTGTATGACATATTCTCACACCTGTTCCATTAACTGCATACATCTGTAGTTTAACCGGACCTACATTTGTATAATTATTTAGCGACTGCATTTATGATTTCAAATGCAAGCTTACGTTTGATATTAGTGTAGGACACAAAAATTGGGTTTCATCTGATAAACTATTGACATTTTAAATTCAGAGCTTCGAAACTTCAGCAGCAAGTAAATCAAGTCAACAATGGTAGTCTGTGGCTTTGTGGCTCTGTATTTTCATTTTAAATGCATTTTATCAACCATCTTTCAGTTAATTGATGTGTACATCAAACTTATTTCTCCTCACAGAACCTTTTAATGTTAGCATCATTCTTACAAATCCTGGAAATTACTTTCTGGGAATAGGAGAACCAGAAACCTATTCAAAAGTGTCCCAGCACATGAACCACAATATCAAAGATTGTTTTGTTAGTATTTTGTGACATTCAGACTTTTTGTTCTTTATAAAGAAGAGTGTTGTGTAAAACGACCGCCGTGTAATCCATTGGAAGTGTTTTCAAATTGTGATTTACGTGCGTGTTGAAAAAACTTCGATGAGAAAGCGTACAATGCAACGCTTATGATCAAATGTTCGAATTTTTTCATGCGTTGGAAATACCATCAAATATTTCAACACGAAGAAATACACTTATAGAAATATTGGTTTATCTGCAAGTTACTTTTCATAAATTAGGAAGATGTGAAAATTTGGTCTTGCTGATGTACAAGCGTAAAATCAAAGTATAAAGAAATATTTAGCATGGGAAGTTGGCTAGATTGTAAACGGAGCACTGGAACGTAGTGGAGTTGTCAATTTCACTCATCAGTAACAAAGAAATTAGCAGTACCTGCGTGTTTCTATGAATGGGCGGGTTTGAACCGTGGAAATAAATTTGTATTACCCGTTTTAAATTCAGTTTTTTGGTAGCGTACAAGTAGACCAAGAAGAGGAACTAAGCTTTTGAACTGTGAATTTTAGAATTCAAGTGAGACTTGGATCAGGAAGAGCACACTCGAGCTAAATGAATGTAGTTTTGGAAATTTACTCGCGCGATGCAACAATACAGCAAACTGTAGCGAATGAAAGGTTTATGATAACATCAAGTCTCGTTTCACACAATCAGATTCTCCAGATGCCAACACGATGCGAACAGGGAAAAGTTAAGAAAGACTAGCCTTGAGCTATATTCTGCCTGGAACAGAAAATAGCTTTTGATTTCTGTCCATCAGAAGATTATTTCCCGTGGATCTAGACTGTAAACCATGGAAGAGACAAAGCAGTTCACAAAAGATTATGCAAAGGGTGGATTTAAAAGCATAAAACATTACTCATGCGAAAACAGTCGTCCATATTCCCAGATATAGCCGTGCATGGAAGGTTTGATTGGAAACAAATCCAGTGAATACTACCTTTTAAACCTCCACACGAGAAAAACGGAAAAGAAAAAGTTTTGATTTACGTTTGCGGAAGAGCTTTTGCAGTTTCTCGTTGGAATAACTAAAAGGTTCAGAGGTTGAACGACAAATCATCTCAATTCACAATGTCTTGAACTCAAGTCTCGATCGACGGTCTCGAAAAATCCACACTCGTCACGCACCAGCAAGTGACATTTCAAACACACAGCCAAATCAAACCCTGATCGAGAGAATGAAAGAATTGGAAGCTATCCGAAACAAAAGCAAAACTCTAAAGAGCGTTTGACGTTGCGAATGCTGTTGTATGGGTGTGGAAGACCTATGAAAAATCACCTTCCACTGACCTTCATAACGTCGGCGTCGCGCTCCTCCATCTTTGTCGAGAGTGGTTCAAGCCTGTGGCGACTCACTTCTAGCAGATCTGTGCTCGCCGAGTCGAGCGGATGTTTTACTTCCACGGACATGATTCAAGCTTCTCGATCAACCGTTCGATTCGTTGTAACTTTCAAAGAAACTACGGCTGTGAGACACGCGAGAATGAATCCTTGATCAAGACACAGTGAGACGCCCTAAAACTGGGCCGGACTCACTCATTTGAAATTCAATATCTTTGCATACATTATAGTGGTCTTTGTTTATTACAAGCGAACCAATCAGAAACGATATTAGTCACGTAAAAGGAAAGATCAATCGTCCAGAACATTCAACGCTTTCTCTTGAAGCTCGTGGCGTGGAAGAATTCAAAGCGAAACCATTAAAACAATTCCATAAGGAAATGATCATTATCGTGATTGTCTCAGTGATTAAAAAAATTCCAGTTCAAGTTGTTGCAATCTTCATCTGTGGCAAAAAAATTCATTCGACCGTTTTTCATTCTCGGAAAGATCAACCTCCGTAAGGTTTCATTATTATTACTCACCGTTCTACTTCCCATCTTTTTCAAATATTAAGGCATTCACTTATGCTTCTCTTTCTGTAATTGTTGTAAATGTATGTCAAAGGGGCCTAACTCAAAAGCTAAACATGAAATATGCAAAATAATCTTCCTTAGTTCTCAAAGCTAGCTTTTCCTCCGAAAAATGGGTGGGGCAGACAACTCTCACTGGCCCTTTTGTTTTTCTCTGTAATTGTACTCGTTTCTGCTCAATTTTTCCTTGTTTTCTTCCTTGCACACAACTATCCGAACCCCGGAAGCAGCTATCCCTCCCCTGCCCCACCCAAGGAATGTCACATGGTTTAGCAATATGGAACAGGGTACCCAAGCTGTAACATACACTACTTCTAGAAGTATGTGCTATTCAAAAATATAGTAAAGCAGGTTAAACACTTGATTTTCTCCTAAAAGCCTGTTTACATTTTCTGTGCACTCGTGGTAAGTCTAGTTAAACACAAGTCTAGTGGTCTCTCTGTGACTTAAGATATATGTTTTCTCCTGTACCTTACTTGTACACCCAAAAGCCAACTCTTTGAGTTAATCATTTTTTTTTATTATTATTCCTACCATAAATCCCGTAGTTATACTCTCAGAATTTACAGTCGTTTCAAATCTTAAACCTTTTTGCCCTTGGGGGGGGAAAGGACTCCCTCAGGGTGACTCCCTATAGTGGCATATACAGGGAGGCTCTGCCTCAAAGGGGTACCTTTTTCAGGCTTCAGGTATATGAAAGGGTAGGGATTTCATAAGTTGAAGTTTATAAAAGGGTAGTGAAATCTGTCGTTTGGGTCTGTAAAAGGGCTCAAAAGGGCTAACAGATCCATTTCATGGCTGCAAAAATATCTATAAAATTAATGTTCTGGTGTTGTGATTTATTTATATTTCAAAGACATTGCATTTACAGCAGTCAAAAGGGTTGCATAGCTCTAAGCTAGGCATGTGAAAGAGGTACCATTTCTCAATAGCAGGTAAACAAAAGCCAAAAGGGGTACCTTTTCCATCAAAATTGGTATATTAAAGGGTAAGGGGTTGGACCACGGGGGGGAACCTCCACAAATCTTGAGCACCCTTCCCCCCTTAGCCATTTTGTAACACAAGTTATAAGTGTGAGTGGTGAAGATTACACTTTTTCAAAAAATCTCCATAACGCAGAATACCATAAATTTTAAAACATGTATTTGTACTGATCTAAAAATGTGTGCTTTCCCTATATTTATTTGACTGTGACAATTTATCTTCTTTTTCACATTTTGTTTGGGTTATTCAAAAATGCCTTAAGGCCGTTCATTTTCTCCTTCCCCCGGGCAAAAACAGACGTCCTAATGTTTAACATTGGATTTCTTTTTAAGCTTTAATGGATTGGGATATTGTGGGTTTTCTATGACACCTTTACCAAACTTAAATTCTAGAAACTCTCGAACATGATTGGGGGCTGAGGCTTTAATCCCGATGAAGTCAATAGTCTCTAGAGGCTTGAGATAACTAGCTGGAAATTCCCTGTCTTGTCTGTGAGTTTTGAACCATGTTCTTTTAGTCATTACGCCATCTTTTTCAAAAAATGGAAAAATATCCACGTGCAAATGGTTGTATTGACTGTATTGGATTCTGTAAAAATCTCCCTCTGTGGCTTTTTCCCAAGTATAACCTTTGTCATCAACAAACTTTGTCCCACTGTTTGAGTGTTTTTCTGCTTCAGCTAGATAAGAACACTTGCTAATCTCGTGCTGAAAAATTCCAATGTCCACATCATAATCCCATGGAATAATATCACCGTAACGAGCAGCGCCCAGTAAGCTCCCTCCCTCTAACCAGTAGCGTACGCCTGCTGTGTTTAGAATATCAAAGAGATAACGAGCAGTCTCCCTTAGGTGGTCAAGGCAACAAGGAGGTGTCCATCTTGACATGTACAAATATTCTGGCATGTCATCATAAACAGTGCCAAAGCATCGTCCTGTGTCCTTTGCACAGCCATACCAACTGACCTGTCCAGAAGGATGAGCAACTTTCTTCACTCCAAGTTTACGGTACATCTCAACTGTTCTTGTTTTTACATTGTTTTCAAACTTCCATGTCGTGTGAGCATTGGTAAATAATTTAAACCCTGGTGAGAAAGACATCTTATGGAGAAGTTTTGTTTTGATGTGGTGCAATGATGCTTGTATAAATACACTTTCGGGAAAGGGACGCATGTATGGTGCACTGAGACTATGAAGAAATGCCGTTTTCAACAAAATCACTTGACTTGGACTTACAGAATCGCATGTTCTGTAATAGCTCCCTGCTTCTTCCTCAGAAACTGAATATTCTAAAGTCCAGCGCTTGACATCAAAAGCAAGGTTGTTGCACTGAATGGCCTTCTTTGTCTTAACTGGCACAGCAAGAACTTTGACTTGAGGCTTGATGCTTGCCATGGCCTTTAATTCAGAAAGCATCATAACTGGCAAGCTTGTGGAGTCAAATCGGACACTGTCTGGCACAAACATGACGTATGGTGTAGTAATATAATTCTCTGGCCTTCCAGAAGATTGCTTCAGATCGGGTTGTACTTCCTGTACAACCAACTGAATTTTGCCATTAGGTAATTCTAAAGGGGGGTAGGGTCTTTTTCGTGATATCACCACAACATGGATATTTGGGAAGTGATCCAGGATGGAGCGAATTGTACGTGGAAGGTCATTCTCGAATTCTTCGAATTCAAGGAACACAACTGTCACCTCACTTTCAAATTGTCTGCTTGGCTTCGCCGCATTCTTTGTCTTGCCGAAGGCAATTTTCTGCTTAATAGCAGCTAATCGGCTTTGTTCGAACCACTCCCCGTTGATGTTTTGCACATGAGACACGTAAAAAAGGATCAAGCAATTGCAGATTATTGCACATACCAACACAACTTGACACTTCGTTATTGGCATCGATCGTTGAATCGTGTCTCGCTGAGTTTTGACACAAATATCACGCATCAAAGGCCCACAACCTATTACACATAAATACCACAGGTACAGTATACACGACTTTTCTATAAATATTGATTGCATTCAACCCATACAAAACCCAAACAATATTTGTGAATGTTTTCCTTCATGTTCACCCGCGAACAAATGACGTGAAAACGACAAGGCGTTACTTGTGGAAACAGAGAGATTGAGCTCTAGTTTTTAGGCCCACGCGTTCAACTAGTCAACCAATCAGAATATGTTTTGTCATTTGAAATCTTAAGTTGTCTGATCTTTGCCGATTAAACGTTCGAACGTTACGATCGACAGATTTTAGATTTCGGCAGTCCCCAATAATTTGCAGATTTGTCCAAAATACATTTATTTTTTCGTATTAAGTGTTTGAGAGATTCAAAATGGAAGTAGCTTTCGATGTTAATGAGCTTGAAGGTATGAAACGCGCCGAGCTTCAAAAGCTTTGCAAAAGCATTGGAATCAAGGCCAACAGGAAGGTAGGCGATTCTTGTACACAAAGCAAAGACCAGTCAGTTGTTGTATATAGCACATGGATTGAGTTAAAACAAAGAATGTGCTAGTTAACTTTGTGTGAGAAGTCCTTGGAATGTGTTATAAATTCCTATCACCTATGGCTCGCTCCAGAAAAGAATGCTTTTCTGCGCGTGACAATTGAGTACATTTTTAATTTTATTGTAATGGTTTGTATATAGTCAGCTACCCTGCGAGCGGGGGCCTTTCGATCTTCCTAGATAAGTCGGGAAGAGGAAGATCGAAAGGCCTCTGCTCGCAAGGTAGTAGTCAGCGAACTTTTGGATGCATTTACCGGTTATTATTGTTACATTTCCTATATATCATTGGTAGCCTGCGAAAACATCCGTTACGTCCCCAGCGGCGAAGAGCGAGGAGAAACGGATGTTTTCGTGGGCTATATATATGGAAGTTTATAAGAAAAGTTTTTGCGTTATCAGGCAGGTTAGAACTGATATCGCAAAAGAATTTTCAGAGTTCTCATTGACAGTCTGTTTTAAGCTAAGAAGGCAAGTTTAGGTGACAGAGAGTTTTAAAGAAGCTGAATCCATCTCAAATTGGAAACCAAGACTGACATGATTTTCGTTCTCCTTATTTTGAAGTGCTTTTAATATCATAACAGATGTGAAACACTTTGAACTTGACAATATGTATCTATGTTGTTAATGTAGCTGCAAGCTTTACTCACTGGAGGCTTAATACTGTTTTAATTCAGTGATGCATAATACAGTTTAAAACTGTGGTTCTATTCTGGTATGTTGTTGAATTGTCATTTCCCGTATTTTTTTAATCTTAGAATGGACAGCTTATTGATGCACTTAGAAAACATGCAGCCCAGTTCTCTCGTAAAAGAAAAAGGTATTTTTATTGTGAATGGTTTGAACACTTGGTGTCAGATTTCCATGTAATGCCATGGTGTACATTTCTTATATGCATACATGTTTCCACTCTATTCATATCAACTATTTTAGTGAAATAGTATGAAATTGCTGTGTGCATAATAAAATGTTTGGGGTTATCCGGAAATCTTACCAAACACTCTGGCAAAAATTTCTCTATATGAATGATAAATAAAATATTATTAATAAGCAGTCAAACTATTAAGAATAAATTAATTATAGTAAGTATTTAATTTTTACAACTAAGGCCTGGTTCAGACGCCGTACTTTTCATGTGCCGAACCTAACTGAGTAAGTTCGACTTTGGAGCGACACTGGCACGACATCTGATTCAGACGGCGTACCGTGTGTCGAACCTAAGTTAAGTTCGACAAAAGTTCGACAGACTATGTCGAACTTAACGCTTTTGCCGCACCAAACTAAACTGCCGTACCAAATTGATTCAGACGCCGCTCTTTTGCCGTACTTAATTCATCGGTTAGGTTCGGCACATGAGTGGAGCGGCGTCTGAACCGGGCCTAAGGAAAGATGCTATCTTAAAATCTCACATATCATCTTCTTAGATCATCTGTTGCTGAGAAACCCCAGAACACTTCTTGCACAGTTGTTGATAAAGAAGAGAAAACGGATAAGCAACCAGTTGTTGATGACAACGATAGTTATAAAAAACAACTTATGGATCAACTTGATAAGAAGGTTGAGGAAAAAAGTAAGTACAGGCCGTATCATTAATTTTGAAGAACTTTTTCCGTCCAATAAAATAATTTCATTGATTGACCCAACAAATCAATTTGTTTATTTTTTCAATCTTATTTAGTGCCAACCGAGTGTAAAATTCCGAGGTTTGTCCAGTTTGCCAACAAAGTCAAATCTGCCCAAGAAACCAATAAAACACCAGGTAAGTCAGTTTCTCTGAAGGCCTGTTGTGCTAAAATTGCATACAAAAAATTGGTATTCTAGTTATATTTTTGATAACATTAATTCTATCCTATAAAGATCTGATAATCATTTTCCTCTTTGTTCTTCTAGCTACAAAGTGGAGCAAAATTCACAATTCACAGTTTGAAAAGTGAGCATGTGATTTTTATGTTTTTAAAAGGATAAGTGTATGCCTTAACAATATTACTGTAAAAAAAATTTGAAAATTATTTTGTATTTATTGATACCAACCAGGTTAATGCAGTCATCTATAGGCAATCTAGTTAGTATTAACTACAGGTTTGAAAAGATACACTCCTTTTGAAGCAGCTGTTAATAAAACCAGTGTTCTCCTTATCAGGCAGTAACCAGCAAAATTTATCACTTGAAGCAACACTTCTTACCAACTGCTTGGGCATTTACCAATAATTGAAAAGCGATTGATTTGTATTATACATGAATATAATTTTGGTTTTTGTTACTAGGATGGACTCTATTGATGTCTATCTGGAGAAAAAGAGGAAAAGAGTGGAAATGTTTAACCAGTCAGCCAAGAGAGCAAAGGTAATCAGGATTATCCTATGATTTTTGATACAGAGTTAAGATTAATGTTAGTACAAATATGATATCAGACAGGCAGTGATTTTGTTATCTTTGCATCCTGCGTCCCTGATGCATAAAAACCCCCAAAGACACAAAATAAAAATATAATTCATAGCATGCGTGCGTCCAGTAGGAGACAAAGATTGATTGATTCATTGTTCTGAACTTGTCTTTTTGTAGAAATCTCCTGTTTGTGTAATTTCTGTGGAAGTTATTATGGCTGTTGTTTAATGATGCATTTTTTTCTTTTAGCCTTTGTTCTTTAAAATAGACAGACTATATTTTAATTTCAGTATACTGTAAAACAGAGTTTTTGAGTCTGTCTTCAGATTAACTGTCTGGTTACATTCAAGGCCCAAGCAATTTCAATTTCGGACTTGTTTTTTTAAACTGGGACTCACTGGTTCTTGCCTGGGACTCATGATTATTCTCAAGATGAGTCCCAGAACTCACTATTACCATTTGAAACAAAATCACTGGACAGGGCTTGAAAAAAGTCCCATCTGGTAGTCCAGGACAAGCACATTTTCTTTCTGAGCAAGTAACTTTTTAAGCTAACCAAATTATTCAGACACTAAGATAAGCTAGGAGTGGCCCTGTGGGAGCAAAATGCAAGAACAGCTTGCCTAAAGGACAAGATTGAATGCAAGTTTTTTGTAGCCTGCATAGCAGGTGTTTCCATGCGGTTTCGGTGTAAAGAATGAGGAATGAGAGTCAAAGACAAGTAAAACCAAAAATCATGTTCCTTGGTCATTCTTTGCTCCGAAACCACAGGGAAATGCTTGCTATGCAGGCTAAGTTTTTTGAAGCCCTACAACAGTAATAAAGTTATAGAATATTATTAGTAATGGTAACAGGAATGAGAGTCAAAGACTGCGTGAAAATGGCACAAGTAAAACCAAAAATCATGTTCCTTGGTCAAAATTTCTTTAGGGCTCTTTTTAAACCACAAGGGCTAGCAATGAAAAAAAAAAAAAAGCCATTTGCTATGCAGGCTAAGTTTTTAAACTGTCCCTGAAACAACAGTAGAACCAAAGATTTATAGAATATTATTAATAAGGTAAGCATTCATTTAATTTCTTGCAGTCCATAGGAGTCAGCAGAAAAAGTGGAGGCAAAGCCTCAGCGGAAGCGAGCTTCAAGCCCTCTGTTACAACTCCTGATAAATCAAAAGCATTTTTATTTGGATCTCCTGCGGCAAAGCCATTTTTCCAACCATCAGACCAGAAAGTTACAAATGAAACAGCAAGCACTGCTAGCCGAAAAATACTCAAGTTAAAGTCCCCTAAAATCTTCAAGCCCGTCTCACCTTCGTCTGCCATGGCAAGCACAAAACCACCAAAGACTCCAAATACCCACAAGACCTTTTCTGTAGCAACGGCTTTGGAAAATAAACCAAAGACACCAGCAAATTCTGCTCGCAAGTCAACAGGGGTAACGCCGTTCAGGTTAGCAAACAAAAATTTAGAATTTCCAAAAGATATTTGAAACTTTGCAACAATATTCTCTTGGTATCCACTGTTTTTGACAGGATTGTCGGTATACATGTACGTTACTCTAGAACATTCCAGACACAGAATTAATCCTGGCTTTCACTCCCAAAGAAGCCGAAGTAAAATTTTGAAGAAAATTCCAGATTTCTTGCAAAATGCTGCAAAACAAATAGTACTATGTGAAAGGACTGCTCAGAAACTTTCATTTGAATGGTCAGACTACTGTCGCAGAAATTCAATTTGTCAGGGATGTCAGCATCCAAAGGGGATTTTATATCACAAAGAGGATATATTATTGCCCAGGAAATCTGTCTTTTTTGAGGAATTGTATCGACATAATATTTTGCTCTTAACAGATTTTTGCCTGCAAACGTGCCAGCCACACCAACACCAACCCCTAAGAAGAAGTTTGATCTCAAAGCTAGCCTAGCAAAACCACTTCCTTACAAGCCTCACACAGGAAAACTGAAACCCTTGTCAACTTATAAAGAGGAGTGCAGACCAACTCTTACTGAAGCAAAGTTGAAAGGTCGTAGAGTGGATGTCAAATCTACAAAGGTCACCTCAAGGTAACAAAATACGTGACAGCCATATTTTAAGTATTTCCTATGCAGCAACATTGACAAATCTATCTAATGGCAATAGATTTTAAAAGTTTGGTAAATTCAATTTTTTTAAAGTGTTCTCATAAACTTTTGTGTCCCAAGTGTGGTCATGGCTTCAGCTGAAATTCTGACCATTATTTTGTAGATGTCAGAACAAACGCAGTTCATTCTCCTAAGTTTTTTTGGACCCTGCACAAGCGTTAGTTTGGCCTGGGTTTCAGGTGGCAACCTCAAGCAGTCTAGTGCTCATCTAGTAATCAAGCTAACAGGGCAGTGGTTCTTTCTGACCATTATTAAACATTGAAACAGGATGGGAGAGGACAATAATTTTTTGCCAATCTTCACCTTCCTTGAAACAGATCTTTTAGTAAAACATGTAGACAAAACATGCCATTAATAGTCCTGTCACATTTGTCACACAAACTTTTGCCGTCCTCTTCTTCCTACCGTTCTGTTGCATAAACTCACTGTTATCTCTAAACTTGCAACCTTAGACTACATTTTGTCATAAACTGGGTATTAATTTGTTATATCATTTTTTTTCCTCAGGGAACAACGTCGCATGAAAGAAAACAAAAGCAGAGAAAGCAGAAAGGCAAATGCTTTAAGCAGACGAAGAGGACTTGCTTGTTAATTAAACTAAGTTTGTAGATCTATGCAACACATTGCTAATACTAACAGTATTTGTTTGAAATTATGATTACCGGTAGTGACATTTTATTTTCCAAGATTTTTTCACAAAAAGGTACTTTTCGGCCCGTTAGGTCACTGGTGTATAGGGGTATTTTAGGGTTCCTTCATTGTCCGTTCAGTCCTAGTTCCTGGTAAAAAGGGTTTTTAAGAAGGCTTTCTATAATAGAATAATACTGCTTTATGCCTTATAAAACTAAGAGTTTTTTATCATTGTTATTATGATCATTATTACACACACTATAACGATCTGAATGTTACTTGAATGTGATACTTTTATTTGAAAGAGTACTGACAGTCAAGCTTTAAGTTCATAGCCTTCATAATTTTGAAAGCTACTGAGTAGTAATATTACAAGTATGAAAAAGGATAAACTCAAAGACTGCCTTTTTGGGTCGTAAGGAACTCAACTGCATTTACTAAATGTACAGTTTAAAAAAAGTAGCACTATTTATATCCTTGGTAATAGATCTGTAAATATTGTTTTGTTTTAAAAGTTGTGGTATCTAACAGTCCAGTTAATGTAAATAAATACAAAAAAAAACTATTGACTTCCCATATTTTTTAAAATGCAAGAGGTACTAATTTTGTGGTTTTGCAAATTGTGCTTTTCTTTTGTCCCTTGTGCTTTTGGTGATCATGCTTCGCTAATGATCATTAGGGATGTGGGAAAGAAACTACCGTATTTATTCAATTAACCGCCCTGGGCACTTATTAAATTTTTGAGACTTTGAGCGCTTATTGATTTTCACCTTATTATGATTTTCAAACCAATAAATTTTCTAACAAAACCCAAAGATGTAGTATGTTTATTTTGCAACAAACCAATAAATAGATGTTCCCAATCAAACTCTTGAGTGAATAAACTAATAAAAACCCAAGAGTATTTTACAGAAACCTTGCTTTTGTTACTTCTTGGCGTTTTATTAGCATGTAACAAAGCAAGGTTTCTGTAAACTACTCTGAAGAAAACTCCTTCTTCAGGGAAGTCTCTAATATTTTAGAACTTATTCACTTTCTATTTTAATCTCATTGTCACTCAAGTGGGTGGGGGTGGACGCTCATTCTAGGCTGGACACTTATTAACTTTTTCTGCCTTTAGGATGGGCGCTTATTCAAGGTGTAGATAATTCCAGTTCGGGCGCTTTATCAAATAAATACAGTAGCCGCTAAGTGACTTTTGATCTAGTTTTAAATTCAACATTTATTTTACAAGCACATACTAGCTAGTTTGAAAGGAGAATCTAGAAACTGATCATAAATCACTTATTTATTCCCAGCACTCGCCTCAAGTTTTTTAAACAGGCTTGTTAGAGACTTCACTGACATTCAAGCAGAAAAGCTAATGTTTCACTAAAGGTGATAACAGAGAGAGAAAGTGTGTCAATGCATTTTGTTAGAAAAAAAGGTTGTTGACAAAAAACTCAGAAGCCAAATGTTGTACTGAAAAGTTTGATCCATAATGAATGTGGGCTTCGAGCGAGTCATCTCCCAACCACCTTCCCCTTCAGCTTAGCCTGCAAAAACATCCATTTCTCCACGCTCTTCGCCACTGGGGACGTTTTGCGCTGAGTCGCAGACGTTCCTCCGCGCGAAACGTCCCCAGTGGCGAAGAGCAAGGAGAAGTGGATGTGTTCACAGGCCACCTCAAGCTGAGCTGTTAGATGAATACAAGCAATTGAGGGGTTTTAATCTTGCCCTTCCTCCAAATTCTTACTTTTTCCTGCAAAATATATATACATCAGGTGGTACTGAGAATAATGACACTGACATTAATCCACCTTTTAAATTTTTGGCAGAAGGAACAGCTGAAGTGGGCAACCATTCAACAGGACCACCGAAACTGTGATGTTGTCTCGACTGCCTGCCAAGATGGCACCCTCGACCAGTCTTTCACTAAGTGCTTTTGCCAGTGCACAAGCTTTCTCACTCCTGAACAGCTTGGAACCTCTGGAAATCTGTGACAGGGAGTCAGAAGGTGGCAACAATCCAGGGGATTTTGCACAATGTCTGTTTTCATCCAACTTTATGTCAACTTCTAAAGGACTACTAGTAAGATGATGTCTTTGTTCCTCAGTCAGGTTTTCCTCATCAGGTACATGCTCTCCTTCACCTTCTGATTTCTCTTCATTTAAACTAGTGGAAACCGCTTCAATATCCTTGTCCCCCTCGTTAGCCACCCCCCTGTCCCGTCTGGGAATTTCATCCCATTTTGGAACAGGCAACCCAACCTCAAGAGCAGATGCCCTCTCTTGCATTCTTTTCACAATAGCTTTGACATCAATATCCGGTATTATATCTTCCAAGAGAAGAATGACCTCTTCTTCACTCAAAACCTCCCAGACACCATTAGAAGCAAGGATCAGAAACTGATCTGATTCTTCTAAAGTTAGACAATTTACAGCAGGAGTCTTAATGACACTGGTCTTTAAATTTGGATCGCCATGATTTCCTAGGCCTCGAGTGCTTTTCAATACTCCGTTGACCAAGGCCGTTTTATCGCTTTTAGAGATGTCTCCTTTCGCTTTCCTTACCCGGTGCCTTTCCTTCTTATCCTTGGGACAGTGGTTGGTTGACAACCGTTCAATAGACCCATCCCCGCGGCACAACACCGCTCTAATATTCCCCGCGTTCGCAACGTACAAGTTATTTCCTCGTAGTAAGCAAGTAAGCGCCGAACACCCGCTCCAACGATTGCGCGAATGCTCTTCAACGCCATAGAGTAGAATTCTATCCATTTCTTCAAAGGCATCTTTGAAAGCCGTCACAATTTCCGCATTGACAGTTTCATGTATCATGTTGGTGTTGTAAATTGCCTCGACTTTTCGCTCCACGATTTCACCCAGGTAACGCGCGCATTTCTCCGCAGCCATAGTTCCAGAATACCCGTCATAAACAGCAAAAAATCCGCTCTGTGGATCGTTGCAGAAGCAGTCTTTAAACGCATATCGATCTTCCATTGATGTTTTCCAACGCGCGTTCTCGTATTGGCAAACGCCAAACGCAAGTGCGCAGTTCAACGGTGTTCCGTGTCCCTGTAAGCTCGGTTGAATTTGAAAATATTCATCCAACATTCGAAGAGTCGTACTTGTGCCTTCGATGTCAGCTTTAAGAAGCTCGTAGGCGAGATTAAGCTTCTGAAGTTTCTTCATCGAAACTGGATTCTCGGAGTTCGCCGCTTCGTTCAAGCGCTTCATGATAGCTCGCCTTCGTTTGACCAGCTGTTTCACGCTCGAAGGCTTTCTTTCCATACTAAATCGAAACATTTCCAGTGCGTTGTGGAATTCTTGATGCTCTTTCAACTGTCGAACCTTTATTTCTTCCTCGCATTTCATACAGACAATGGTGATTTCGGGCTTCATCATCGGATTAATTGTTTTTATCGGTGGAAAGTGCACGTCCGAGCTCGTTTCTTCAGGCGGAGAATCTTTCAACGTCAATTTAAAATCTTCCTTTGTCCACGGTTCTTGCATGGTTAAAAGGTGTCTAACTAAATTCAATCACCCACAGAACTCTACGACCACAAAGCCATGCACAGTCGAAAAGAACATTTCCTGGCTGACTGTCTTCTTTCCCGAATAACATTTTCATTCTGCAATTATTAACGTTGCTATGGTAACCTTAGAATGATGTAGCCGAATGTTATACATGTAGCGAATCACGCATCGTTTTGTATTTTTAACAGATAATTTCAGTGGTTTCACCCCTTCCTTTTTTCACTCTTTTTTTAAACATCCACTTTTAGCTTAACTAATTTCAAACTCGGCAGATACCACAATTTCAAAAATCATAGTAAGTAACACAACCCCTGCGTGACAGGACAACAATTACTGTTTAATACTTAAGGTAATACGACAGGAAATTAAAGTTAATTTACAAGCCTAATTAATTAAATGAAAGAATTTGAAAAAATAAAATACATAACAAATAAAACAAAGTAAAAAAACTCAATAAAATAATCTAAATATCAAAGAACAGTGAAAAAAGTAAAATACAAATAAAACTAAAAAAAGAATTTTGGGGGGGAAAAGCATGCAGGAAATAATGAGGAATTTCGCAAAAAAAGAAAACCAGCAGCAACAACAACTCTATGGTTCTATTGGACCCCCTCTCGCTTGCAGTCGACGACAAAGACTTTCTCAAAAGTCCTTCGCTTCTCATTTCCGGTTTCGCAGAAAACGTAACAAAAGTCTCCCACGCGCTAGCGCTTCACTTCGAGAAAAATTTTCGAGTTCGACTCATGTGCTTGTGGGCAAGTCTATCGACGACATCGACCACGAATATTTCGTTCGGGAAGCTGGTCGCTCTTTATACTCCTTTAAAACCTAATTCGTTGGTATTATAATGGTTCAAATGTCAAACTTTTAATGTTCTGAATGCCCGGTATCAGGGTATGTTAACGCTCAAATAGTGAGTTTGGGAAGCCTGTGCATATAACACGAAAAAATTTTCGCTAGTCAGTGTGGCTAGGCTAAGGCTAGGCTAGTCTAGAGGCCTTCGGGGTTGGTGGGGTTGAGGGAAACAGTAACAGGAGTCCTTATCATGGGTCTTTACCACTCCAGTTTGTAAGGGTTTAAACGGAATTTAATTGATTATTACATTATTATTGAGTATTTTATTGAGTATTAGATAATTTTTTTATTGACTATTAGACAAGTAATTGTAGTTAGGTGTCCCCAAGTAGTGTACATTGTATGCTATAGACTTTGACACTATAATAAAGTTCTTACTAACTTACTTACTTTTTTAATAGTAAGTAAGAAATAGTTAGGAGCGCGAACGCAACCCGACAATCGTGACGAACTGGAATCCCGGATGTTACGTGAGTGATTCACCAGGTGTGACAGTGATATGTGTATCCCCGTGATATGAACGTGGATATTACGACACCTGGATGCAACAGCACTCAATCATTGCAAAGTCAGTAAACAATTGCAGATATTTAAATACATCGTCGCTTCCTAAGAATCGTTAGAAAGCAAATACTTGAACGAAAAACGTACGGCGCACGCTACTTCATGGCTACAAGAATTTTCTCTCCACTGATCACCAGAATTCGGCGAAGGATTGAACGCGTTGAGGGAATTAACTTGTCGGAAAACTACACCAGGCTAGAGCTTCGTGAGGATTTTTCCGAAATAACTATACATAACCCAAATCCTGCAGAAAATGCAGATTATTCAGAAGTATCATCTAAAGATGGCAACGTTAATACCGTTGGCGTAGAGACGGCAAATGGCCATCCAACGTCGGCGGAGCACGAAAATTTTGTCATAAAAGACCGCACAAACCATTCCAAGACAAAAACGATCGCCTTTCTGGGAATAGCATTAACCATAGTAGCGTCTTTATTATTTTCTGCAAACTCTCTGATGATTAAACTAGCTGAGAGCATCCCAAGTTTGGAGGTTGGATTCATGCGTCTGGCATTAGGCTTTGTGTTTTCACTGCCAGTGGTGATATTTTTCAATGATAAACTTATCTATCCATGGAAAAAGATCTGCTTTTTACTTCTGCGAGGAACAATTGGTGCCACGGGGATGAATTTAAATATTTACGCCGTAAAGCATATGCCTTTAGCTGATGCAAGAGTTATCATTTTTACCTCCCCTGTGTTTACAGTTCTTCTTGGCCGCATTTTCCTCAAGGAAAAGGTGACCAAGTTTGATCTGATGGCTATGGTGCTGAGTTTAGGAGGGGTGGTCTTGATTGGGAGACCTTCATTTCTGTTCGGGTCAATAGGCAAAAGTTCTAGCTCGAAACAAGTCTGGTTGCCCACTATTTTGGCCCTTTGTGGGGCCTGTAGTCAAGCATTTGGCATTATCATGACACGCAAGATATCTCAAGAATTGCCTGCTAGAGTGGTAGTGTTTTATTCAGGATTAGCTGGAACTGTGATTGGTCTATCAGCTTCATTGATATTTGGCGGATACAAGTACCCCGACTGTGGAACCTATGACACCTTTTACATCATAGGCTCTGCCTCTGTTGGCTATATTGCACAGTTAATTGTGACAAAGGCCTTGAGTATGGAGAAAGCCTCTGTTGTTTCCCTTGTGAGGACTGTTGGAATTGCTTTCTCATTTATCTTGCAGTTGACTGTACTCCATGTTGCTCCAAATGGGCTGAGCATTGGTGGAGCTTTCCTTGTGCTCCTTTGTAATGTTGCTATTTTCCTGAAAAAGTATTTGGATCAGAAGAAAAAGGTCAACCAGTCTTAGTTAGATGGCTGTTAAATAATCAGATGGCTGTTAAAATAAGCAAGGAGCTTGCAGTTTGAATGTTCAATTGAACCTCTCCAGAGTGGCCACCTTGAGGATAGAAGAAAGTGAGATGGCCTTTGCGGAGTTGTCTAAACAAGAGTCCAACAGCTGGGACAAAAAAGTAGCCGATGTAGAGAGATGGCCGTTAGTGGAAATTTAACTTTATTCACCTTACACCCTTAGCTAAAGTAGCTAGGCAAGACTCAGGGAGATCTGTGGCCAATCTGTGTTTTGATTTTCCAAAATCAGAAAGATAACAAATATTGTAGGTAATTGCCTCCTGATTTATAGAAAACTGAATTCATAAATTTGATTTCAGAAAGAAGAAATCAAAAACTGAAACCCAAAATCACAAACTGTAAATCAGAACTCATAAATCAAAAAAACTGATGTCCAAAATGCCCCCACTGCTGGGGTGGCCTTTTGTACATGCTGTTATCCAGAAGTAGTACAATAGGAGATGTGCGACATGAAGTTCACACTGGCAGGTTCGAATTGACTGGTAGGGGAATTCTGAATAGTTAAGTAGGGGCCTATTTGCATCAGTGCAGAAAGACTTTGCTGGTTAACTTTTGTAGTAGAAACAGTTGGGCTATCTCTAGTGATCATAGCAAATCAGACGCCCATGAGTGGGGCAAAAGAAACTGTCCCTCCCAACACATTCAGCGAATTTTGCAACATGCACCAAGCTAGGTTGTTGTAGCACATTAGTTTAATGGCGTTTTAGATAGTGTAGTTTGATTATGTTTCTAGCATGAGCGGGCTGCCTGTGGTTGCACCTCTCTTATATTATTATTTTGATAAAAGATGGCACCCTTTAATAACTAAAACTCAAAATACAAATGGTATTTAAAATTAAATGAAATATCAGGCCTTTTTTTGGGGGCAGGGAGGTATGCATGTCCCTAGTCTTTCAAAAACTGTTTTTGTTTGAGGTTTTTTTAAAAGGATGATTTTTATTGGCCACCAAAATATTTATTTAGTTGGCGTTTGTCTCAAAACATGGCAATTTCTGGTTGGCTTCACAAGGCTTTTTTATTTTGGGGATATTTCCATTTGTTTATCCATGTCCCTAGGTGACTGTTTTGCATATTGAAGAGTCTTAATTATGTCGTTGGGCAGATCCAACAGGGGATTTTTTAATGGATGGGGTGACCTTAAGAGCTACAAATTTTTTGAGCAAAACAAGAAAGTTACAAAGTATCGAAAAACTAACATAACATTTAAATTTATTTTAAAATTGTTGTCCTATGTTTGTTTTGTTTTCAGGCAGAGCCTCATCTTATAGGTCATTATAGAAAGTACCCCCGCCTCTGGCCTGGGTACTGGCACAAAATGGGTTTGAGTTCACGCCTTGGATTCTGAATATGAAACCCATTGTACATGATTGCCTTATTTCACCCCTTCAGACACCATTTTCATATGTGAGCTTAGAAGCATAGATATACAAAGGAGTGGATTGCCTTGGAATTAGAAGGGTGCATGAGGTGACCCAGTGCCCACTTCCGGGTTCAAGTAGAAAGGTCTTAGCTTGACTGAGGGGCATGAATAAAGACTTCACTTGATTGATTTTTTTATTGTCCAAATTATTGAATCAATCCCCACACAAGCTATTCTTCCCACTATAGGCCTAGCTTGACCTGGCTCTTCTTCTGTCAACAAGTTTACAGTTGAGGAAATCCACAATATTTCCATCAAGTGGCACTTCCTCTACCCCCCACTCCCACCACCACCTCAGGCAAGCAGCATACAGAAAATATGTGGCACTCTGGGGGAATATTAACACTGATTAATGCATAACATTGGCAGATTTAGGGGAGGTGAGACCCCAACCCTCCCCCCCACCACACCCAAATTTTTTCTGTGAAATTTTTATATTATTATTAAAGAATTCCAAGTATAATAAACAGTATCTTATAGCTTGCAAGTGTCCTGGCCTCCATTTCTGAATTTTGTGGATCCTCTTCTGCATAAGGAGTATATCACTGTAATTCCACATATATTCACTTAGTCTTGTTCCCTTTTCTGATTTAACAATTTTTTGATGAAAATAACTACATTACAAAGAAGGATAAGAATTGCGCCACCAATACTCAGTCCATTTGGGATAACGTTTAAAAATATTAACTGGAGGATGAAAGAGAAAACAATTCCAATCGTGCGAACCAATGAAATTACACTGGCTTTTTCTAGTTGACACGCCTTTGTTGACAGTAACTGCGCAAAATAGCCGAGCGTACCTGAAACAATGGCATAAACAACATCATGAGTTCCACAGTCAGGGTATTTAAATTCTCCAGAAATCAGTGATGCCAACAGGCTAATGACAGATCCAACAAGAGCATAATAAAATACCACTACTCTTGTGCTAACTTCCTGGGATGTCTTTCTAACCATGATAATGGCAAATGCAAACATAACTGCTGAGAGAACTGCAAGAATAGTAGGCAGCCAGACCTTTTCAGAGGTGGAACTTTTCCCCAAAGAGCCAAACAGGAACGAGGGTCTTCCAATTAACACAACGCCGCCTAAACCTAACAAAATGGCTATCAAATCAAACTTGCTCACTGATTCTTTGAGGAAGATCCTACCCAAAAGCGTTGTATAAACTGGAGATGTATAAAATATCACCCTTGCATCTGCCAGTGGCATGTGCTTTACCGAATAAACCATCAAACTCATAGCTGTAACTCCAGTCACACCACGGAGGATAAGAAATCTCGTTTTCTTCCACGGATGAATAAACTGGTCCTTCAAAAATATCATGGCTGGGAGAGAGAAAACGAGTTGTAATGTCAATACAGTGGAAACGATCTCCAAGCTAGGGATGCTTTGTGCAAGTTTAAAGAGCAAAGAAGATACAGACAAAAATAACGTGGAAAAAATTGCAAGTGTGACCCCAAGAAAGTGGAATATTTTTCTCTTCGGAGAACTGAGGGATGGTGCATTCACCGTCACTTTGGTCGCAGTGTTTTCGTTCGATACTCGGGCATCGTGGAGGTATTCATCGCTCGTCGATGTTTGATCTCTGTGATGCAGAATGCTGAGATCTGCGGTCTCTCCGAGCTTCTCCGGAAAGGTTGCCTAGAGGGATTTCTGTGTCGTTTTCTAGCAGACGTTCGCTGTCATAATTCATGCCACTTCTTCGAAATCTGTTTATCAGCGGAGAAAACAACTGACCAGCCATATTCTGTGAACTTTTAGTTTTCAGCTGTAATATTCTTGTCTCAGTAAGGTTACACAATCACGACAAATAAAGTACGCCGCTGCTAGCATTCGAAACATATCTTGAAACTTTTTATGTCGCCTGTCACGCATCACACATCGTTTATGCATGGCATTCACATGGGGTCACGAGGGCTGGGTCAAGCTCCACCCGTGTGAAAAATCGATCGGACAGCCAAGGAGAAACATCCTCTGTTGAGGAAGCTGCAATCTTGGACAAAATAAAATGAAACAGCGAACCCCCATCCCCGCCAAATCAAGGATGAAGCTGCACAAAAGGCAAAACGCTCCATTTTCCCATCCTTGATTTCGGGGGGGGGGGGGAGGGGTATAAATTTCCCATCTATTTTGTCCAAGATTGTAGCCTTTGTAATGCCCTGATTGAAAACAAGACACGAATAGCGCTTATGGCGTTTTCAAAAAACACGTGCAAGCAACGCGAGGCCGAGCGATGGACGAGAAAAAATATTGTGATGTCAACCGAATTGCTGGTTTTCACTGTCACGCCATTCAAAATAGATCAAAATAAAAATCAAAACCGTTCAATAAATAAAGTCCAGAATCTGGGAAATGAAAGGGGGTAAATATGCAAAGACCCTCGCCAAGATTCAGGTCAGAGAAAAATTTCGTATACGAGATATTCGAAGAAACGTTTTACCCAAATTTGTAGAGATTTGTATGGAGACGCCATGCTGGTGCTCATCCGGATGAGCTCCAACATGGCGGACGGAAACCAACAGAAACATCTGTTACCGAGTTTTGCTACAAAAGCGTGAATTTATTCTTCGAAGAACTCATAAACATTAAAGTAATTCTTTTTCTAATACATGAACCGTTTAGATAGGAAAATTCCCAGAAATAAGTCATTTTTTTAGCCTACATGACAGCTCCCTTGGCCGTTATATAAATGCCGCGTCACGCAAAAGCTTAGAAATTCAACGGTACTCTATCACAAAACCAAGAACCCTTTTGAAGCGAAAATTTGCATCAAAATTAATTTTCAGCTGCTCTAATACATCACGAAAGTAAAATCTCGGTAGGATCGATAGTTTTGTAGTTTGAATTTTAGTGACGTCAAGTGAAAACCAGCAATAATCGCAATCTCTAAGCTATCTGCAAGTTTAACCAACAGACTATGGTAAAATCATTTTCCGTTTCGTTTCTGTTGATGTGGTTTCTCGCCGATATTTGATCGCCGGCATCTGTGGAAAATTAAGTAGCTGAGAAGGACTTCTGTGTCGTTTTCTAGCAGGCGTTCGTTGGCATTCATTCGTCCTTTCGATTCCGAAATCTGTTGATCAGAGAAGACTCTTCTCAACAACTGACCAGCCATATTCTGTAAACAATTAATTCTCAAAGGATCTATTCTTTGCAAATCGTTCCTGAAAATTTTTTCGTTTTGGATTTTTTTCAACACTACTAACAGTATTTGTTTGAAATTATGATTACCGGTAGTGACATTTTATTTTCCAAGATTTTTTCACAAAAAGGTACTTTTCAGCCCGTTAGGTCACTGGTGTATAGGGGCGTGTTAGGGTTCCTTCATTGTCCGTTCAGTCCTAGTTCCTGGTAAAAAGGGCTTTCAAGAAGGCTTTCTATAGAAGAATAATACTGCTTTATAACATAACAAAAGTAAATCGCGCGCTCTGATTGGTCAGTTAGCCACTACCATTTGCCCGTGGGTACACGCTAAGAAACTGAGCTAGCGCGGTAAAATTTAGGCAAATTCAATAAATCTCCTCTCCTGACGGTAAAATACACCGATGAAACGCACAGATGAAAAGTGGAAGGTGAAGAAAATACTAAGCTGTCGTTTTGAAGGAAAAAAGACAAAAGATCAAACGACAAATTTGCCCTGGATGAATTAATCACTGTTTTCCTCGCGGCTAGAATCGGCAGGAGGAAAATCGAGCGAGCGAAGATTTAAGGTACATTTTGTGTGTTTTTTTATAGAGGAGAAAGTCTGTTTGAAATGTAAATTTATCAATTACCATTGTGTTATTGACTTTTTGGTCAAGCTGATGCTAAATTCAAGCAAATATTTTAGGAAACACGCTCAAATTCGAGACAGCTTTGTTGTGAAGTTTTCATCGCATCGATTAACAATTTTAGTTGAGTTTAAACGGGCACATAACGCTGGGTTTTCAAATAAATTTTTCAAAAAATAACTTCTGTGTGTATTATTTTCTTCCTCAGTGTTCATTCATAACAGTCGTTCAGGGAACAGTCGAAAAACAACAGCTTCAGCGCCGACTGTGTGTCCGCGAATTTCAGTTGACTTTCATAGCTGGATTTCCCCAGACAGATTTCGATACAAAGCTAGTTAATTTCTTTTTAAAATTAGTGTTACCTGTTATTCTAAAGGAATTACTGTCAAATCTTCTCATTTCTACTTTACGTTTATTTCAAAAATTGTCACATAAATAAGCTTGATAATTATTTCATTTATTTAGTTTTAGCTTATTTTTTAGAGTCTTTTTAGTTGGTGTTTATAGTTGCAGATATAGTTTTCCCTCAAAGTTTTTACCCTAATATTAAGAGCAAGTAGACAGATGCCATTCACAATAACAACAAAAAACGTTTTGCAATTTACCTGAAGACGGAGAACGGCTGATTCAGCGAAAGAAAAACTCAAAGGCAAGTTTTTGAAAAACATAGAACATGATTTGTTTACGCGCGGGCAGATGGCAGCATACATGAACTCCGACCGATGACTCAACTGAAGGCAAATGGAAAACAATGTTTTTCTCTTTTGATTATGTTATAAAAGAAATGGTAAACGTTGCAGCTGTGCAACCATGGAGTTATGGATGCACTTGGGAGGTTTGCTAAGCACTCAAGAAGCTAGAGTCGCACTCGGCTATCGCCTCGTGCGACTCTTACGCTTCTTTCGTGCTTAGCAACCTCCCGCGTGCATCCATAACTCCATGGTTGCACGCTGCACGTTTACCATTTCTTAATTATAGAGTACCGAAGTGATGACGTCATAAAAATGAAATTTGTGAAATTATGGGATTTGTTAAGCTATTCTGAAAGAACAACGTCCAAGACGCCTACTCGCCAAAAATTAGCAATTTGGGGCAAATTGTCTCTGAGATATTAGCCCAGTTATGCTGTGACGATTCCATACAAATCCTTCTAAATTTGGCTTGGTTCATAAGATTAGGAACCAGGTAAGATTTAGAAGGATTTGTATGGAGTCATCGGAGCATAACTGGGCTAATATCTCAGAGACAATTTGCCCCAAATTGCTAATTTTTGGCGAGTAGGCGTCTTGGACGTTGTTCTTTCAGAATAGCTTAACAAATCCCATAATTTCACAAATTTCATTTTTTATGACGTCACACTTCGGTACTCTAAGCCTTATAAAACTAAGAGTTTTTTATCATTGTTATTATGATCATTATTACACACACTATAACGACCTGAATGTTACTTGAATGTGATACTTTTAATTGAAACAGTGCTGAAAGTCAAGCTTTAAGTTCATAGCCTTCATAATTTTGAAAGCTACTGAGTAGTAATATTACAAGTATGAAAAAAGATAAACTCAAAGACTGCCTTTTTGGGTCATAAGGAACTCAACTGCATTATGACTAAATGTACAGTTTAAAAAAAGTAGTACTATTTATATCCTTGGTAATAGATCTGTAAATATTGTTTTGTTTTAAAAGTTGTGGTATCTAACAGTTCAGTTAATGTAAATAAATACAAAAAAAAAACTACTGACTTCCCATATTTTTTAAAATGCAAGAGGTACTAATTTTGTGGTTTTGCAAATTGTGCTTTTCTTTTGTCCCTTGTGCTTTTGGTGATCATGCTTCACTAATGATCATTAGGGATGTGGGAAAGAAACTACCGTATTTATTCAATTAACTGCCCTGGGCACTTATTAAATTTTTGAGACTTTGAGAGTGGGCGCTTATTAGATTTTCACCATTTTCAGCAAGTGTAGTATGTTTATTTTGCAACAAACCAATAAATAGATGTTATCTAACAAAACCCAAAGATGTAACAAAGCAAGGTTTCTGTAAACTACTTAGCCTGAGTATCAGGCGTTTCTGGGGAAAAGGGGAAAAATGGAAGCGAAAAAAGAAGAGAGGTGACCATCTAAAATCTCCTCTCCCCCAGCCCCGTAGGAAGGCCTGATACTCAGGCTATAAACTACTCTGAAGAAAACTCTGTCTTCAGGGAAGTCTCTAATATTAGAACTTTCTATTTCAATCTCATTGTCACTCAAGTGGGTGGGGGTGGACGCTCATTCTAGGCTGGACACTAAATTAACTTTTTCTGCCTTTAGGATGGGCGCTTATTCAAGGTGTAGATAATTCGAGTTCGGGCGCTTTATCAAATAAATATGGTAGCCGCTAAGTGACTTTTGATCTAGTTTTAAATTCAACATTTACTTTACAAGCACATACTAGCCACTTTGAAAGGAGAATCTAGAAACTGATCATAAATCACTTATTTATTCCTAGCACTCGCCTCCAGTTTTTTAAACAGGCTTGTTAGAGACTTCACTGACACTCAAGCAGAAAAGCTAATGTTTCACTAAAGGTGATAACAGAGAGAAAGTGTGTCAATGCATTTTGTTAGAAAAAAAGGTTTTTAACAAAAAACTGAGAAGCCAAATGTTGTACTGAAAAGTTTGATCCATAATGAATGCAGGCTTCAAGCGAGTCATCTCCCAACCACCTTCCCTTCAAGCTTAACCTGCGAAAACATCCATTTCTCCACGCTCTTCGCCACTGGGGACGTTTTGCGCTGAGTCGCAGACATTCCTCCGTGCGAAACATCCCCAGTGGCGAGGAGCGAGGAGAAATGGATGTTTTCACAGGCTACCTCAAGCTGAGCTGTTAGATGAATACAAGCAATTGAGGGGCTTTAATCTTGCCCTTCCTCCAAATTCTCACTTTTTCCCGCAAAATATATATACATCAGGTGGTACTGAGAATAATGACACTGACATTAATCCACCTTTTAAATTTTTGGCAGAAGGAACAGCTGAAGTGGGCAACCATTCAACAGGACCACCGAAACTGTGATGTTGTCTCGACTGCCTGCCAAGATGGCACCCTCGACCAGTCTTTCACTAAGTGCTTTTGCCAGTGCACAAGCTTTCTCACTCCTGAACAGCTTGGAACCTCTGGAAATCTGTGACAGGGAGTCAGAAGGTGGCAACAATCCAGGGGATTTTGCACAATGTCTGTTTTCATCCAACTTTATGTCAACTTCTAAAGGACTACCAGTAAGATGATGTCTTTGTTCCTCAATCAGGTTTTCCTCATCATGTACATGCTCCCCTTCACCTTCTGATTTCTCTTCATTTAAACTAGTGGAAACCGCTTCAATATCCTTGTCCCCCTCGTTAGCCACGCCCCTGTCCCGTCTGGGAATTTCATCCCATTTTGGAACAGGCAACCCAACCTCAAGAGCAGATGCCCTCTCTTGCATTCTTTTCACAATAGCTTTGACATCAATATCCGGTATTATATCTTCCAAGAGAAGAATGACCTCTTCTTCACTCAAAACCTCCCAGACACCATTAGAAGCAAGGATCAGAAACTGATCTGATTCTTCTAAAGTTAGACAATTTACAGCAGGAGTCTTAATGACACTGGTCTTTAAAATCGGATCGCCATGATTTCCTAGGCCTCGAGTGCTTTTCAATACTCCGTTGACCAAGGCCGTTTTCTCGCTGTTAGAGATGTCTCCTTTAGCTTTCCTAACGCGGTGCCTTTCCTTCTTATCCTTGGGACAGTGGTTGGTTGACAACCGTTCAATAGACCCATCCCCGCGGCACAACACCGCTCTAATATTCCCCGCGTTCGCAACGTACAAGTTATTTCCTCGTAGTAAGCAAGTAAGCGCCGAACACCCGCTCCAACGATTGCGCGAATGCTCTTCAACGCCATAGAGTAAAATTCTATCCATTTCTTCAAAGGAATCTTTGAAAGCCGTCACAATTTCCGCATTGACAGTTTCATGTATCATGTTGGTGTTGTAAATTGCCTCGACTTTTCGCTCCACGATTTCACCCAGGTAACGCGCGCATTTCTCCGCAGCCATAGTTCCAGAATAGCCGTCATAAACAGCAAAAAATCCACTCTGTGGATCGTTGCAGAAGCAGTCTTTAAACGCATATCGATCTTCCATTGATGTTTTCCAACGCGCGTTCGCGTATTGGCAAACGCCAAACGCAAGTGCGCAGTTCAACGGCGTTCCGTGTCCCTGTAAGCTCGGTTGAATTTGAAAATATTCATCCAACATTCGAAGAGTCGTACTTGTGCCTTCGATGTCGGCTTTAAGAAGCTCGTAGGCGAGATTAAGCTTCTGAAGTTTCTTCATCGAAACTGGATTCTCGGAGTTCGCCACTTCGTTCAAGCGCTTCATGATAGCTCGCCTTCGTTTGACCAGCTGTTTCACGCTCGAAGGCTTTCTTTCCATGCTAAATCGAAACATTTCCAGTGCGTTGTGGAATTCTTGATGCTCTTTCAACTGTCGAACCTTTATTTCTTCCTCGCATTTCATACAGACAATGGTGATTTCGGGCTTCATCATCGGATTAATTGTTTTTATCGGTGGAAAGTGCACGTCCGATCTCTTTTCTTCAGGCGGAGAATCTTTCAGCGTCAAATTAAACTCTTCCTTTGTCCAGGGTTCTTGCATGGTTAAAAGGTGTCTAACTAAATTCAATCACCCACAGAACTTCACGACCACAAAGCCACGCACAGTCGAAAAGAACGTTTCCTGGCTGGCTGTCTTCTTTCCCAAATAAAATTTTAATTCTGCAATTATTAACGTTGCTATGGTAACCTTAGAATGATGTAGCCGAATGTTATACTTGTAGCAAATCACGCATCGTTTTGTAATTTTAACAGATAATTTTAGTGGTTTCACCCCTTCCTTTTTTCACTCTTTTTTTAAACATCCACTTTTAGCTTAACTAATTTCAAACTCTGCAGATACCACAATTTCAAAAATCATAGTAAGTAACACAACGTCTGCGTGACAGGACAACAATTACTGTTAATTTACAAGCCTAATTAATTAAATGAAAGAATTTGAAAAAATAAAATACATAACAAATAAAACATAGCAAAAAACCTCAATAAAATAACTAAATATCAAAGAACAGTGAAAAAAGTAAAATACAAATACAAACCTAAAAAATAATTTTTGGGGGAAAAGACAGGAAATAATGAGAAATTTCGCAAAAGAAGAAAACCAGCAACAACAACAACTCTATGGCGCTATTGGACCCCCGTCTTGCTTGCAGTCGACGACAAAGACTTTCTCAAAATAATCCTTCGCTTCTCATTTCCGGTTCCACATGGCCTGCGTACCAAGCGTTTCTGTGTAGTTTGGAGCAAAGAACGAGGAAAGAGGAACGCGCGAAAAATGGCGCAAGTGAAAGAGCGGGGAAGGGGTGGTGAAGCTGTTTCCTTCCTTCCCCTCTCCCCTCTGTTATTTTTTCGCTCTAATTTCATTCTCGCGCGGCCGAGCCTGCGTAGCAAGCGTTACGCTTGCAACTCAGGCTAGGTTCCGCAGAAAACATAAAAAAAAGTCGCCCGCTTGCGCTTCGCTTCGAGAAACATTTTTGAGTTCGACTTGTGCGTGTGCTTGTTCGACTTGTGCTTGTGCTTTTGCTTGTGCTTGCGGGCAAGGCTATAGACGACATCTCGCCCCATGTAAGGGAATCCGGATTCCGAAATCCAGGAATTTTTTGCTTGTGGAATCCGGAATCCTGGGCTTTGGAATCCGGAATCCGGAATCCGGAATCCAGCACAAGGAATCCGGAATCCTACTGAAGATTGGAATCCAGAATCCAACTTACTAAAGATCCACTCCAGATCGGATTGAGCTACTCGCTCGAAAGAAAAACCAGCCATGGAAAGCCTCCTCAGGGTATATGCCTCAACGTGATGACATACAGTTTAATATCGGCATATCTGGTGTCAAAACCATACTTCACGAGCTCCATATGAAGGTCAAGGTCACGGTCAGCAAGGGAACCCTTGCTTATGAGCGGCTGGCAGGATCACAAAATTTGGGGGTTTCCGAGGGAATACAGCGCAGCCTTTTTAAGGTATAAATTGGATTGTTGTGAATAGCTTCAACCTCTGGCTATGTTTGATTCTCTGTTGTTTACTCACTTCGCTGAACTTAAAAATCAAAAGCGATTTGACCTGGCGTAGGACCTGAAAAGGTGCACCTGGGGTGAAACTTTTCATGAACGTTCCTGGTCCTCGTGGTTCACAATTGAAAATAAACGTCTACTTTCAACATTTTACCAAAAAAGAAAAAAAATTCACAATCTCCTAGTCCCTTATTTGGTCCTAGTAGTTTCGGTGAGAACAGTTTCGTGGTTTCCATAACCTTTATTTGAGAAATAAGCTAGGTACTGTCAGAACCGTACCAATAAGCTGTCACTAAAGTAATCACGTGCAAGGACGCGGTGGGTATCTTTTTCATTCATCCCCGGCAATGCTGCATGAGTTTTCGTTTGTGTCGATCTGTGGACTGTAACGTGGCGGTAAGCAAGTCACAAACATGAACGAAAGATTGATTTTTTTCTTAATCATAATTGGAGAAAATATCGTATAACTGAGCGCTATATGGTTATAAAACACTAAAAACGAGCCAACGCGTCAGAAACGCTCAAGTCTCTCTTGATCTCTCAGTCATCTCAGACTCGGTCGAGGAACAGAGGGATTTTTCATGTTTTCTTTCTCCTGTTGTGCTCCTGATTAAGCCTCGTTCATTTTGAGGTCGCTTTTGGAAATTAGACCGTTCTGAGATCAGTTTTATAGTCAGTAACTTTTTTTTTTGTTTGAAATGGATCCTAGAGAACCCAGATCATCTCAGAGACCCAAATCTCTTATTGACGAAGCCGAAGGCGAGGTCTGGTCAAATCTGATTATTGCCTGTCAGGAATGTGACAGGCGATGAAAGAGCGCATGCTCGAAATAAATCCTCAATTTTCGACGTGTTAAACAACGAATTTGATAGAGCCGTGACGTTTTTTTCTAACAAAACGTGGTTATACGCACATCTTAAGTATGAACCAACTAATTTTTGGTTGTTTTTGTTCTTTTTAACATCAAATTCAACGTGACAGTTAGTTTGAATTTCATTGTCATTGTGCTCGCTAAAGCATCAAAGCAGTACGCGTCAACTTCTACGCGAGAATTTTTTACCCTCTTCAAAAGTCTTTATTGACAGGGAGAGAGAGAGTTTTAAAAAGTCTTAAAAGATAAGATAAAAATGGTTTTCCAAGTTTTATTGAGACGGAAAACTACTCTTTAGTGAACAGAACCAAAGACTTTGCAAAGAATGAATTGCACACGCCACAGCGTATTTTTATTTGGCCAGTTACTAATAAAACGAGAAACCAGGCAAAATGAGCCAAAACGACCTAAATGATCCACAACGATCAAAACTAATAGACAAAAGATCCACAACGACCCAAAACAAGTTCCACCCTCCTAGGAACGTCGGTTAAAATTGATTAAATAATAAATATTTCACTGCTTTTTACATATCTGGAGCGAAGGATGATCTGTATGGTCTTTTTATACAAAAAGACTTCAAAACAAAGGATAGCAGGCGAAATCTGGGCGTTGCATGCATTTTTCTATCTGCATGGCTGAAAATAGAGTTCACAAAAGTAGATTGAGTGAAAAATAGAGTCCTGAGTTCAGTCTCACTCTCTACTAATCACTAACCAGCTCCGAGATCCTCCATCCCATGGAGATTTGGATTAGATTAATCGTAGGACAAAACTTTAAATTGTGATGTCGGTGTTTCGCTACGTTTTTTTGCGGTGATGCGGTGCTTGTTATTTTTTTCTGCGGTGTTGCGGTGTAGAGAGTCCCCCAATGTCTCCCTCATTATTATACCATAAACCCTTACGGAACTGTTATACATTTCTTTCCGCAACTTTGTAAATCGATAAAGAAAACATACTTGTTATGCCTTCTAACAACGTCTTTCAATATAGCAAGATTCGAACACGAAAACGAAGTGCGAAGAAAAGCATTAAAACCGGAAAAAAAAATGGAATCCAACTCTTTTTGGAATCCGGAATCCACAGCATGGAATCCAGAATCCAAGACTGTCCTGGATTCCCTTACATGGGGCGAGACATCGACCACGAATATTTCGTTCAGGAAGCTGGGCACTCTTTATTCTCTTTTAAAACCTGATTCGTTGGTATTATAATGGTTCAAATGTCAAACTTTTAATGTTCTGAATGCCCGGTGATGAGTTTGGGAAGCCTATGCATACTGAACACGAAAACATTTTCGCTAGCTGGCGTGGCTAGGCTAGTCTAGAGGCCTTTGGGGCTGGCGGAGGAGAAGGGAAACAGTAACAGGAGTCCTTATCATGGGTTTTTACCACTCCAGTTTGTGAGGGTTTAAACGGATTTTAATTGATTATTAGATTATTATTGATTATATTGAGTATTTGATTTTTTTGAGTATTTGAATTTGTTCATGCTTAGCGTGCGTATATCGAGTTATGGATGCACGCGGGAAGTTTGGAGAGCACGAAAGATGCGTATTGAGTTAGGCGATAGCCGAGTGCAACTCTAGCTTCTTGAGTGCTCTCCAAACTTCCCAAGTGCATCCCTAACTCGATATACGCACAACTAAAAGCATGAGCAAATTCTTTTATAACATAGCTGACAAAAATGCTTGCTTTTTGTTTAACTGCAAAATTCTCGTAACGCACGACACAATAACAAACGGCTCTATTGGCTGATTACGAACACGCCACAATCGTCTAGTTTGAATGAAAATATTCTTTCCGTAACAGTGAGAAAGAAAATTTGCTTCTTTATTCGTTAACGATCAATGGAAACTAAGCAGAAACAAAGGTAAAAGAGTCTTAAAGTTCACCTAAAGTTAAAATCTTCAGCTATCCTCCGCCGACATGTTCGTGGGAAGTCGTGTAGTATGGTTTGGATTTGCTATAAAGATGTTTACGTTTTGCTCGGCGAAATCCAGAAAACCTGTTTTTAGCGAAGACGACTGTCATCCTTGTTTAAACTTATATTCATTTACGAACATTGGCTGGTCATTACGGCTTCTTGAGTAGACCTGGCAGCAGTTGTTTTTGTGAGTAATAAATTTATGTCTTCTTGCGTAATTTGTGTTGTTATTGCGAGAGAAATTTTCCTGCTTCAGTCGGATTGTCCGGAGATAACAAAGTGCATAACAAATTTAAAAACAACAATAAAAACGGAAATTTTGCCTTTAAAAGTTGTTGATGACCAGTTGGTGTCTGTTCTGTTCCCAGTGAATGTCTTTCAGCCAAAATTTGCTGCAGCTCCTCTTCGACAAATTTGCGAAACGCTCAACTTGCGAGTTTTTTTTAATTCGGCTTTATTTTTGCTGCTTGTTGGATGGGGACCTAAAAGGTCAATGCCGATAGAAAAATTGGGCAGTTCTTCGCTGGTTTCTTCCATATTTTAAAGAGAAGGAAAAGTGCACTGCAGCTTAAAAGACGACAACTTTGCAGCCGCAGGTAAAAAAAAAATGCTCACGTCATCTTATTTACGCACGGGCGTGCGTAAATAAAGATTTTGTTCATAGCGGCTCAATAGGACTTATATAGGGCAAGCACGCGCGCCATGTTATAATTAACAAATAGATTCCATGTTGCCGTGCGTCTGTTCAGTAATAGATCACAGATGACGTCAAAATGTCGTAAAAACAAAGAAGTGGCACACGAGCCGCAGGCGAGTGTGTCACTGTTGTTTTTACCACATTTTGACGTCCTCTGTGATCTAGACCTGAAGATGGACCCATTTGTTTCGTTGCAACATGGAATCTATTTGTTTTATACAATGATCAGAAAAGAAAAAGACCGATACACATACCTGCCTCGAACCGCTTGACCTTTTAAGGATTTGTGCTAGTTTAGGCATTTTTTAAGTCCCAAACCCAACTTTTCATCTTGGTTTCTTCTTTAACTTACTTGTGTACAGTTTCTTCGAAAAGTTTTTCACCGTCTTTTCTTGCTCAAAGAAGAAGAATAGCGAAAACATTTTGCAAAACAGCGAGTCTCTCGTAGCGAAGACACACGATGGCAACTGTTGTGAAGATTTCTTGTAGTTTAGGCATTGTCAAGTAGTCAATAGCTTTTTTGGTCTCCGTTTCTCCATTTTTCTTCTTTGTAAATAGCTCCTGTTAAGCTTTTTCCGAAGCTTTCACTTGCCTCAATCCGAAATAATCTCACAAACATTTTCAAAACCGCGTGCCATGTTGAACAAAACAAAGAAAACAAGTTTCCCGTGACGTCACCATGTACACTCTTTTTTTATATAAGAATGTTGTTTTTCCGGCCCAGGCTGAATATTCTTATTTTTCTGCCGGTTTTAGGCTGAAAATATTCTTGTATTATTCTTAAATTATAGCTTATGACATTTCCGTTTTAGAATATATTGGGGTATCAAGTATAGTTAGTGCAGGTTTTTGCGCCTTGTTGGCAAGTTTTGCCGTTCGGAGGATGGAATAAGTTGAAAACATAATTGTGTGGTAGTTACAGTTTTTGAACACACAAAATAACATCCTTTTCAAAACCTAAGCCTGGGGTTTATTCTTAAAATATTCTTAAAATTTCGCAAATTTCAGCCTCGATATTCTTATAAAATATATTCTTATAGAAAAAAAGAGTGTATCTGTACTCTAATAGATCATGGCCAACGACCAATCACAGCGCGCGTAGCATCCACATCATTGTATAAATTATTATTGATTATATTGAGTATTTGATTTTTTTTTATTGAGTATTAGACAAGTAATTGTAGTTAGGTGTCCCCAAGTAGTGTACATTGTATGCTGTCGACTTTGGCACTATAATAAAGTTCTCACTTACTTACTTACTTCTTTAAAACTTCTTTTAAAATAGTAAGTAAGAAATAGTTAGGAACGCGAATCGTGACGAACTGGAATCCCGGATGTTACGTGAGTGATTCACCCGGTGTGACAGTGATATGTGTATCCCCATGATATGAACGTGGATATTACGACCACCGGATGCAACAGCACTCAATCATTGCAAAGTCAGCAAACAATTGCAGATATTTAAATACATCGTCGCTTATTAACAGTTATTAGAAAGCAACTTGAACAAGAAACGTACGGCGCACGCTACTTCATGGCGACAGGAATTTTTTCCCCACTGATCACCAGAATTCGGCGAAGAATTGAACGCGTTGACGGAATTAACCTGTCGGAAAACTACACCAGGCTAGAGCTTCGCGAGGATTTTTCCCAAATAACTATACATAACACAAATCTTGCGGAAAATGCAGATTATTTAGAAGAATCATCTAAAGATGGCAACGTTAATGCCGTTGGCGTAGAGACGGTAAATGGCATTTCAACATCTGCGGAGCACGAAAATTTTGTCATAAAAGACCGCACAAACCATTCCAAGACAAAAACGATCGCCTTACTGGGAATTGTATTAACCATAGTAGCGTCTTTATTATTTTCTGCAAACTCTCTAATGGTTAAACTAGCTGAGAGCATCCCAAGTTTGGAGGTGGGGTTCATGCGTATGGCATTACAGCTTGTGTTTTCACTCCCAGTGGTGATATTTTTCAATGATAAACTTATCCATCCATGGAAAAAGATCAGCTTTTTACTTCTGCGAGGAACAATTGGTGCCACGGGGATGAATTTAAATATTTACGCCGTAAAGCATATGCCTTTAGCTGATGCAAGAGTGATCCTTTTTACCTCCCCTGTGTTTACAGTTCTTCTTGGGCGCATTTTCCTCAAGGAAAAAGTGACCAAGTTTGATGTGATGGCTATGGTGCTGAGTTTAGGAGGGGTGGTCTTGATTGGGAGACCTTCATTCCTGTTCGGGTCAATAGGCAAAAGTTCTGGCTCGAAACAAGTCTGGTTGCCCACTGTTATGGCCCTTTGTGGGGCATGTTGTCAAGCATTTGGCATTATCATGACACGCAAGATATCTCAAGAATTGCCTGCTAGAGTGGTAGTGTTTTATTCAGGATTAGCTGGAACTGTCATTAGTCTATCAGCTTCATTGATATTTGGCGGATTTAAGTACCCCGACTGTGGAACCTACGACACCTTTTACATCATGGCTGCTGCACCTGTTGCCTATATTGCCCAGTTAATTTTGACAAAGGCCTTGAGTATGGAGAAAGCCTCTGTTGTTTCCCTTGTGAGGACTGTTGGAATTGCTTTCTCATTTATCTTGCAGTTGACTGTACTCCATGTTGCGCCAAATGGGCTGAGCATTGGTGGAGCTTTTCTTGTGCTCCTTTGTAATGTTGCTATTTTCCTCAAAAAGTATTTGGATCAGAAAAAGAGGGTCAACCAGTCTTAGTTACGGGAATCAGATGGCTGGCTTTAAGTCCCAATAGTGACCAACATCAATTTTCTCCTAACAATATCCATACACTGTTAAGAGATAAAGTTATGAGAATTAATAAAATGATCACCACAGAGAAAATTCCATGATATGTTATCAAATTCTCTCAACTAATTCTTAAAGGAGATGTATGGAGATCAGTGTGGAGAATTTGTATGTGGATATTAGGGCTTAAAGGGTTAAATAATCAGGGAGCTTGCAGTTTGAATGAAGACTACAATTGAACCGCTCCAGAGTGGCCACCTTGGGGATAGAAGAAAGTGACCATTAAAAGAGATGGCCTTTGTGGAGTTGTCTAAACAAGAGTCAGCTGGGACCAAAAAAGTAGCCGATGTAGAGAGATGGCTGTTAGTGGAAATTTAACTGTATTCACCTTACACCCTTAGCTAAAGAAGCTAGGCAAGACTCAGGGAGATTGGTGGCCAATCTGTTTTTTGATTTTCAAAAATCAGAAAGCTATCAAATACTGTACGTAATTGCTTCCTGATTTTTAGAAAACTGAATTCAGAAATTTGATTTCAGAAAGAAGAAATCAAAAACTGAAATCCAAAATCACAAACTATAAATCAGAAATAATAAACCAAAAAACTGATGTCCAAAATCCCCCCGCTGCAGGGGTGCCCTTTTGTACATGCTGTAATCCACAAGTAATACAATAAGAGATGTACAACGTGCAGTTCACACCGGCAGGTTTGAATTGACTGGTAGAGGAATTCTGAATAGTTCAGTAGGGGCCTATTCGCATCAGTGCAGAAAATAAAGTTGTCTCTAAAAATTGCATGCAAAAAGATTTTGCTGGTTAATTTTTGTAGTAGAAACAGTTGGGCTATCTCCAGTGATCATAGCAAATCAGAGGTCCATGAGTGGAGCAAAGGAAACCGTCCCTCCCAACACCTTCAGCGAATTTTGCGGCATGCACCAAGCTAGGTTGTTGTAGCTCATTAGTTTAATGCCATTTTAGCTAGTGTAGTTTGATTATCTTTCTAGTGCCAGTGGGCTGCCTGTGGTAGAACCTCACGTATATTTTAATTTTGATAAAAGATAGCACCCTGTCATAACTAAAATCATCATATGGTATTGACATAAATGAAATGCACCGTTAAAATTTTTCTTGTTTGAGAAAAGGATGATATGAAATATTATAGAGGCCTTCTTTTTTGGGGGGGGGGTATGCATGTCCCTAGTCTGGATTTCAAAAGCAACTGTTTTGTGTATTGGGTGATTCCAGAAAATATCCATACCATACCACGGGCGGCATCTTGGAATTCCGAGGGAGAGGGGGAGTTTCTTGGACTGGAATTCCGAAGACGTGGGGGGGTAACGCAGTTTGGAATTCCAAAGGCATGGGGGGGTGTTTCAGCTCTGAATTCAGTGAATTTCCAGGGGAAAGACGGCGAAAGCTCCGCTTGAAATCGCTGACCTGTTAACATTCCCAGTTTGTAAATGAAGCACGAACCGACCACGGAAGAAGTATGCGTTCATGCAGATGGGTAAGCAGATGGTTTGTGCAGCAAGCTCCACATCGAAGAGGCCTTAAAGTTGATGAATTAGTCAACTGATTAATAAAAATATAACCAAGTCGGTGTTTCTCGCCGATTGTCGATCGACGATGTGTTGTTGCGTGCTGAAAACTCGCACCAGTCTCTCGTTTCCAAATAGAACGCCTGACAGATTTTGTATGTCACGCCGATTTTCACGCCAACATGTAGGTAGTAAAATCCGACAGCGTGCCTTTTGATGCGCTGTTTAATTCAAAACTGTTTATGAACAGAATTCTTTTGCAGAGGGAAAAAGTGCAAGTTTCGCGTTCGTTTGAAGATTTAGGCAGACGAACAGGAATTCCAAAGGGTCTGAAACAAAAGTGGAAAATTCCGGAGGAGAGGGGGGGTGAGCGATTTTGGAATTCGGAGGGCAAGGGGGGGATAAGCATTTTGGAATTTCCGAGGGCAAGGGGGGGTTAAAATACTCATGCCACCCGTGGTAGGGTATGGATATTTTCTGGAATCACCCATTGAAGAGGAGTAGGGGCAAATCCATGATTTTTTGATGGGGGGTGGCTGATACCAAACTATACGTGAATTTATTTTAAGTTTTCCTGTGTTTGTCCCAAAACATGGCAATTTAGGAAGAGTAAAAGCTGGTTGGCTTCACAAGGTTTTTGTGACCCACGTATTTCTATATTTTGGGGACTACTCACGTATTTCCGTTTGTTTATCCAAGTATTTATGTGGAATGTTCTAAAGGGGGGTGGCTAGCCACTCAATCCACTACCCCTGGATCCGCGCTTGAGGAGGCAATGTCTCTGTCAGTATTATACGACTGTATTTGCAATGGTGTTTGTCCCCATTTCAAGTGTCTTAATTATGTCGTTGTTTCAAGGTTATCATGTCGTTTGTTTGAATTTTATCCTAACAGGGCTTTGTTATTTTAAAGAATCCTTATGGTGCATGGTGGTAGACCTTAAGAGCTACAAATTTTTTTGAGCTCATCTAAAACAGCAAAACAAGAAAGTTACAAAGTATCGAAATAGCACATAACATAATTTGATTTAAATTTACTCTAAAATTGTGATGTTGAACAAAGAAGTTTCGGAGGACTTGTGAAAAAGGACAAGTGAAAAAGGTACTCCCCTGGCCTGGGTACTGGCATAAAATGAGTTTGAGTTCACGCCTTGGATTCTGAATATGAAACCCAGTGTACATGATTGCCCTATTTCACCCCTTCAGACACCATTTTCATATGTGAGCATGAAAGCATAGATATACAAAGGAGTGGATTGCCTTGGAATTAGAAGTGTGCATGTAGTGACTCAGTGCCCACTTCAGGGTTCAAGTAGAAAGGTCTTAGCTTGATTGAGGGGCATGAATAAAGACTTCACTTGATTCATTTTTTTATTATCCAAATAATGGAATCAATCCCCACACAAGCTATTCTTCCTACTATAAGACTAGCTTGACCTGGCTCTTCTTCTGTCAACAAGATTACAGTTGAGGAAATCCACAAGATTTCCATGAATTGGCACTTCCTGCGCCCCCCACTCCCACCACCACCTCAGGCAAGCAGCATACAGAAAATATGTGGCACTCTGGAAGAATATTAACACTGATTGATGCATAACATGGGCAGATTTAGGGGAGGTGAGACCCCAACCCCCCCCCACCACACCCAAATTTTTTCTGTGAAAATTTTTGTTATATTATTATTAAAAGAATCTTTTTTCTTAAGTATAATGGAAACAGTATCTGCGAGCAAGCTCTCCTATTTTAGCTTGCGAGAAAGTGAGGGGTCCTGGAGCTTGCAACCATCCATTTTGACTCGAAAGCGTGAAAACTTTTGCCGCAGATTGCAAAAGTGACAACCGGAGAATTCAACAGCATCAAGGCAATGTTTTTAATCACTGATATGTTTTTTTTTTTCACGGGACATCGAAGCCGGATAAGAACTCACTACTTTGATTCTTTACTTGTTTACCTTTGAAAAGTCGTCCATACTGCAGTGTAGAAGACTACTCCCCATCGCAATCACCAACAAAAAATTATTTGTCCGTCTGGAACTGGAGAATAGCGTTTTCCTGCACTTGGTTCTCTTAAGGTTTACTCCAGTTGCTTCCAACTCTTTCTCTTTTCCTTCTTTACGGTCAAGCTACACGGCTACACTGTCAAGTACATGTTTCTGAATTTTTCTACCCAGCAGAATTCAATCGGGCGAAGAAACCGATGTTGGAAGACAGCGCTTTAATCACTCTTCACTTTCACTCTGCCGGTTTTCAGAACTAAACAAGGTGCTTAACACAAATGAATACAACTGATGAAGGGTTTTCATTTTCCTTCCACAAGAACTACAAACTCGGCCCGACTTATCCTCGACATGCAATATTCTCTTTGCGAGAATTAACGAGCCCGTCTGCATTGAGGGCTGAAACAAGTTCTCCGTACCAATCTGATCCCCCTGAGAACCAAATTTGACACACAGACGAAGCGAGTGCCAGCTAGGCCTGTTATCAATCAACTTTGATTTCCGGAACGTCATTTTTCAGCCAATGGTATTTCCCTTCGTCTGGGCGAAGTACAAATGAAAATTTGTAAGGGATGGTTGCAAGCTCTCCTTTCCTCTGCCCCTCGCGGCTTCGCCGCTCGCTCGCGCGTTCTCGCGAGACCCGTTTTACTCGCCCAAACAGGAGAGCTTGCTAGCAGGCTAGGGGTGCACTCGTCTCTTGCTCTACTTCAACCCCAATAAACCACATAGTTTTTTTTTTTTGCAGAATACCAGTTGTATTAGAAAACCGCAGGTCATCTCAGGGGGGGTGCGCACCCCCTGCACCCTCCCCCTAGATCCGCCCCTGTGGATCCTCTTCCGCATAAGGAGTATATCACTGTAGTTCCACATATATTCACTTACTTTTGTTCCCTTTTCTGATTTAACAATTTTTTAATGAAAATAACCACATTGCAAAGAAGGATAAGAATTGCGCCTCCAATACTCAGTCCATTTGGGATGACATTTAAAAACATCAACTGGAGGATGAAAGAGAAAACAATTCCAATCGTGCGAACCAATGAAATTACACTGGCTTTTTCTAGTTGACATGCCTTTGTTGACAGTAACTGCGCAAAATAGCCGAGCATACCTGAAACAATGGCATAAACAACATCATGAGTGCCACAGCCAGGGTATTTAAATTCTCCAGAAATCAGTGATGCCAACAGGCTACTGACAGATCCAACAAGAGCATAATAAAATACCACTACTCTTGTGCTAACTTCCTGGGACATCTTCCTTACCATGATAATGGCAAATGCAAACATAATTGCTGAGAGAACTGCAAGAATAGTAGGCAGCCAGACCTTTTCAGAGGTGGAACTTTTCCCCAAAGAGCCAAACAGGAACGAGGGTCTTCCAATTAACACAACGCCTCCTAAACCTGACAACATGGCTATAAAATCAAACTTGCTCACTGATTCTTTCAGGAAGATCCTACCCAAAAGCGTTGTATAAACTGGAGATGTATAAAATATCACCCTCGCATCTGCCAGTGGCATGTGCTTTACCGAATAAACCATCAAACTCATAGCTGTAACTCCAGTCACACCACGGAGGATAAGAAATCTCGTTTTCTTCCACGGATGAATAAACTGGTCCTTCAAAAATATCATGGCTGGGAGAGAGAAAACGAGTTGTAATGTCAATACAGTGGAAACGATCTCCAAGCTAGGGATGTTTTCTGCAAGTTTAACGAGCAAAGAAGATACGGACAATAGAAAAGTGGAAAAAAATTGCAAGTGTGACCCCAAGAAAGTGGAATATTTTTCTCTTCGGAGAACTGCGCGATGGTGCAATCACCGTCACTTTGGTCGCAGCAGTGTTTTTGTTCGATACTCGGGCATCATGGAGGTATTGATCGCTCGTCAATGTTTGATCTCTGTGATGCAGAATGCTGAAATCCAGGCTGAGATCTGCGGTCTCTGCGGAAAGGTTGCCTAAAGGGATTTCTGTGTCGTTTTCTAGCAGACGTTCGCTGTCATAATTCATGTCACTTCTTCGAAATCTGTTTATCAGCGGAGAAAACAACTGACCAGCCATATTCTGTGAACTTTTAGTTTTCAGTTGTAATATTCTTGTCTCAGTAAGGTTACACAATCAAGACAGATAAAGTACGCCACAGCTACAATGCATTGAAGGCCTTTATGTCGCTTGTCACGCATCACATATCGTTTATGCATGGCACTATTCAAATGGACTCACGCGCACGAGGGCTGGGTCAAGCTCCACCCCTGTGACAAAGCAAAAATCGGTCAGACAGCCAAGGAGAAACATCCTCCCTTGAGGAAGCTGCAATCTTGGACAGAATAAAATGGAACAGCAAACCCCCATTCTCCCCAAATCAAGGATGTAGCCGCGCGAAAGCCAAAACGCCCCATTTTCCCATCCTTGATTTGGTGGGAGGGGAGGGGTATAAATTTCCCTTTTATTTTGTCCAAGATTGTAGCCTATGTAATGCCCTGATTGAACACAAGACACGAATAGCACTTATAGCATTTTCAAAAAAAAATCTGCAAGCAACGCGACGCCGAGCGATGGACGAGAAAAAATATTGTAATGTCAACCGAATAAAAGCAATCTCTAAGCTATCTGCAAGTTTAACCAACAGACTATGGTAAAATAATTTACCGTTTCGTTTCTGTTGATGTGGTTTCTCGCCGATATTTATTTGATCGCCGGCATCTGTGGAAAATTAAGTAGCTGAGAAGGACTTCTGTGTCGTTTTCTAGCAGGCGTTCGTTGGCATTCATTCGTCCTTTCGATTCCGAAATCTGTTGATCAGAGAAGACTCTTCTCAACAACTGACCAGCCATATCCTGTAAACAATTAATTCTCGAAGGATCTATTCTTTGCAAACTTCGTTCCTGAAAATTTTTTCGTTTTGAATTTTTTTCAACACTTTGAAACTTTTAGCATCCGGGTTATTTATTTCAATAGGTCACGCGTGAAAAGACAGTCACTCGAGCCTCTTGGAGGAAGAAGGAAAAAACCCTGAAAATGAGTGGGGTGGAGAGAGGGCATGCGTGTGAGTGGAGTATACTTACAAATACGTACAAGACACTAGTCGATTATTATAACTGATAATGCTACCATATTTATCATTCGAAGAGAAAAGAAAGAAAATAATACAATGCTCAAATATCGTAAAGAGATCATGGGATTGAAATCCCCTATTTATCTTGATCGTGAGGGGTTGGTATTTTGAGAGGGATCGAGAGGAGAGGCTCATTTGACAGGCGGTAGGGAAGGGTAATTTTATTTAGCGAAGACGATGGCATCAATTCTCGCCATAAAAATACTAAAACAAAAGTTGAAAAGCTCGGACACATGAAGTTCCCAGGTCATGCAGCTGAAATAAAAAACAAATCTGAAATTCCATCACTTGAAAAATTCATAGGAATGAAGGTGTTACATCGCGTGATCACTTGTACAGTTTATCATTTATAAAAAAGGGGAGGTAAAGGGAGGGGCTTTGAAAAGAAGCGAGGTTTAACAACTTCTTCCCCTTGGGAAGGTTGGGGGTGGCTTATTTGACAGGGGGGGGGCTTAATAGAGGATTTATGGTAAGCACCACACCAAGAAGCCAAAAAAATTTGATAAGCGCCACCACGTTATCCAAAAAAAAAAATGATGTACTCTTTCATTTCTTTAAGGTGATGCCTAGCACATGGGCACCAGCATTAAATGATTTTGTTTTCGCACCTAGGGTAGCAGATTTTTAACTGCGTACATGTTTGCCCAATTTCACCTTATCAGACAGAAATTTGAGCAGACCGGGAAGTCCCAAGGGGGAAGGGGGAGCAACAAAGTTTTATACAGGGAGGCTCACCCTTGTAGACCAACCTCTTATCCCGATTACATGCCGTTTCAGGCAAAAAATGGTTACCCTTTTGAATACTTTCTATTGACAAATGGTACCCCTTTCACATAATGAAATCCCTTCCCTTTCGTATACCTAAAGCCCAAAAGGTACCCCTTTAGGGTGAAGCCTCTCCATGTCGGCCATTATAGGGAGTACCCCCTCCCCCCAAGGGAAAAGTAATGGCTATGCAGTGGTTTGCCATGGAAATAGAAAACTCAAAATGTGCGGATGCAGGGAGCCAGTGCTTACTTTAGAGCCCAGGTAGAAGGTCTTAACCTTGTGCTTGGGCACCAGCACTATGCCCAAATATTGTGGCGTGACGTAGATACCTGAAAAGAAGGGTATGACTCAAGTTGTTACCCAATGAGTAAATACTCCCACACCACACCCAAGTAACAAGTGTGGACACATCATAGTGCAGTGTCTCTTAAAAGCTAAGCATTCGTTTTACAAATCTTGCAAAATTACTGAAAAAAAGGAGGGAAAAGGAAGCTGCTCAGTGGAAAGAAAAGGTCTTGTTGGTGCATCATGAACAAAGACTTCACTTGATTCAGCTTTTATTATCCAAATACGTAATGGAATTAATGAACATGCAAGCTTTTCTTTCAAGAATAGACCTGGCTTTTTTTCTGTCAACAAGTTTACTATCAAAGAAACCTGTGTGGCACTTCCTTGCACCTCCCGGGGCAAGAAACACATAAAAATCTTGAAAAATACCCTAGCTTGGTCTCTGGGGGAATGAACACTGATTGACACATAATATGGCTTGATTTAGGGGTGGGTGGTGGGACCACAGCCCCACCATCTTTCTGCAAAATTTTGTAATATTTGATAATAATTCTACATAAAATAAACAGTATCTATATTAAGCTCGCAAGCTCTCATGGCCCCTGTGGATCCTCCCTGCATAAGGAGTAAGTTCACTGTAGTTTCACCTATATTCACTTAATTTTGTTCCTTTTTATGATTTAACAATTTCTTGATGAAAATAACCACATTACAAAGAAGAATGAGAATTGCGCCTCCAATACTCAGTCCATTTGGAGTGACGTTTAAGAATATTAACTGAAGGATAAAAGAGAAAGCAATTCCAGTTGTGCGAACCAAAGTGACTACACTAGCTTTTTCCAGTTGACATGCCTTGGTTGACAATAACTGCCCAAAATAGCCGAGCGTACCTGCGATAATGACATAAACAACATCATGAGTTCCACAGTCAGGGTATTTAAATTCTCCAGAAATCAGTGATACCAACAGGCTACTGACAGATCCTACAAGAGCAAAATAAAATACAACTACTCTTGTGCTAACTTCCTGAGACATCTTCCGTACCAAAATAATAGCCAGCGAAAAAAATATTGCTGAGAGAACTGCAAGAACAGTGGGCAACCAGATATTGCTAGAGGCGAAACTTTTCCCTAAAGAGCCGAAAAGAAACGATGGCCTTCCAATTAACACAACGCCTACTAAACCAAGCAATGTAGCTATGAAATCAAACTTGCTTACAGATTCTTTGAGGAAGATCCTACCCAAAAGCGCTGTATAAACTGGAGATGTATAAAATATCACCCTCGCATCTGCCAGTGGCATGTGCTTTACCGAATAAACCATCAAACTCATAGCTGTAACTCCAGTCACACCACGGAGGATAAGAAATCTCGTTTTCTTCCACGGATGAATGAACTGGTCCTTCAAAAATATCATGGCTGGGAGAGAGAACACGAGTTGTAATGTTAATCTGATGAAAACGGTTTGCAAGGTAGGAATGCTTTCTGCAAGTTTAATCAACAAAGAAGATACAGACAACAGTAAGGAACTAAAAATTGTCAGTGTGACCCCAAGAAAGTGAAATATTTTTCGCCTCGGAGACTGCAAATGTGTAAATTGCACCGTCATTGCGGGACTTGTAGTCGCAATGTTTTCATTCGATACTCGGTTATCCTCGAGGTGTTGATCACCTACCACTGCGGCATAATTGTTTTCTGTACTGTTAACGTTGCTACTCGTCGATGCGTGATCTCTTTGAGGCAGAAAGGTAAGATTTGTAGAAAAATCGCCAAGAGAGATTTCTGTGCACGTGTCGTCTTCCAGCAGGCGTTCGTTGCCGTTCATTCCTCTTCTTCGAAATCTGTTTATCAGCGGTGAAAACAACCGACCAGCCATATTCTGTGAATATTCAGTTTTCAGCTTTTCTTGTAGACCACAATTTATGTGATGTAGCTCACACGATCAAGAGAGAACAAGTTAAACAGGCCACAAACAGGCAGTAGCCCTTTACAATGCCAGTTGTCATGCTTCAATCATATGACTGTATAATTACTGAAAAATATGGGCCGGACTTGGGACAAAGCCATCGTGTGTCCTTGGAAGAAGCTGAAAATGATCGTAAATTCATGCAGTGAATAAATGAACAGAACGACATTAACTTCTTGGCAACAAAGAGCTTCTAAAAATAAAGAATCGTTTGAAATTTTTGCATCCGGGCTATTTCTTTCATTTCGTCACGCATTTTTGAGAAGTCACGCTGGATGTGGGGGACTGGTGCTAGGTAGAAATGGTCCAAGATGGCGGGTGAATTGAAGGAAGACACCAGGGTTTTGGAAGGATTACTGTCGACAACAGACCAGCTGGAATCCCTAGAATCACTTGACGCAGCTTTTACGACAAATACTGGATCGTTTAGGCAGCGACATGTATCCGAATCGGTAAGTTTGGCGCGTATTTTCCTTTCTATCTTGGCTTAAGCTTACTTTAGTCAGTTTAATTTAGTACAAGTACAAGACCAAATCGCCTTTCACTGACGAAAAAAAGACTTTCGATCAAGTTGGCTTATTTTAATGGTGTAATACCAATGCCAGAAACGTAATAACACCATCATATGAACTGAGACAAGATTCTTAAAACACATTCATGAAGGTGTCTTAGCAGTGTTTTTGTTTTTTTGTTTTTGTTTATTGTTTTGTGTTTTTTTAAAAACAATCTGGTGCGTTGTTGGTCTGGCCAAGATTTCAACCTGTACCTCCCACTCTAGCCCCAGCCTACCAAGCTTGCAAAGAAAGTCGTGTCCAATAGTGCGGGGCTAGTGGATTTTGCTTTCGGGCTAGTGAATTCTGTTCTTAACTTGCCCGACGGGCGAGTGCGTTTTTGGGGGAAATTCAAATTACAGAAGGATTGTAATCAATCCTGCTAATCAAAAAGGGTTTTGGGGCTAGTTGAAATGACATGTGGGCTAGTACATGCTAGCTACAGCTTGCCCGAATGGCAGACTGTAAAACTGACTTTCTTTGCACCCTGCTACATTAGACAAACTGAGTTAATGGGCCATTCTCCAACAGCTGAACAGTGAAATGCAAGTGCTTAATTTGTGGTTTTTGGTTTAAAATTTAGTGTTCCTATGTTTCAGCCTCATTATCATGTATTACCATACCCAAGCTATAGAAGAATTGAGTTTAAACCAAGGGTGAACCTGCACAAAAACACGTACTTGTGTTCCCTTTCAAACTAAGTAAGCATGTAGTAAAAATGAGACTCTCTGTAGGTACTTCTAACAAAATCAAAGTTGCGACAATTGCAATTTTCTTGTTTTCATTGTTGTCATTGTAGTGGTTTGAGCACAACTGTAGCATTTTTATGCAAAACAAATCTTCATATGTGACAATTTCATGGAAAAACCAATGATTTCATGTTTAATGCGCAACAAAAAATACATCTGCAGGTAACCTTAGAGAGGCTCAGTTATATCTGTTGAATGGGTGCTATTTTAAATTAAATTCATTGATTTACAGGTTGATATTGAATTTGACCTCCCAGAAGTAGTCAACATGCCATCATTAGAGAGCATTTTGAATGAGGTATAATGATTTTATTATTTTTACTAAAAAATTAATGACAAAATACCCAGTACTGAATTTTGAAAAACATTTCACACCTTACCTATTCTCCTCATCTCTCTTCGCACTTAGGGTCCTACCCTATGCAGCTCCTACCCTTTGTGTGTTCTTGCTCGAATAAGTTACTTCAAGTCCTGGGATCTAAGCTTAAGTCTTATGGCGATCGAAGATTTTCTATCGCGGGACCTAAACTATGGAACAGCTTACCCACATCTTTAAGAAATGCTGATTCCTTGAATTCTTTCAAAAAACATTTAGAAACATATTGATTTCACCTAGCTTTTTCTTAATTTATAATTAGATTTTTATTTAATTTTCATACTTATATGCTTTGTTAGATTTTTTAGAGTTTTAATACATTTTTGTAAAGTGCCCAGAACAGTTAATGATATAGACCCTATAAAAATGAAGTCTATTATTATTATTTATTATTATTATTAGGATCTTCATGGAGCTTTTTCACCTCTCTCTGTTAGCTGCTACTACTCACACCTCCTCCAAGGAGCTCTAACCCACGTTTCTCCTTGTTTTCCCACTGTCCTCGTCTATGTAGATTTCTTTGATAGTATTAGAGAGCTTCAGATTCAAGGGCGAGGATGACTAGGAGTAAGAAATTTTCTCAATAATGAGTATTGCTCACATGTGAACCAGTGTCATTTTGGCAGGAAAATGTGATAGCCGTCATCTTTCTACTACAAGGTTTAGTAAGAATGTCGTAGTGGTGGGAAAAAGTTATCTAATGTAAGAAGTCTTAATGTCTCAAAGTACCGATCAGTTTTATAAATGATACCCAGAAGAAGCTCTTCAGCTTCCTGTGGAAGAAGTTTTATCATTTTGCCATCGGAAGAGGGCTTAACTTCCTTCGGCATAAATAACCATACTAGCTTTTTTGGTGAAAAGAAGTAAAATGAAGCTTTCTGGGGTGAAATGAAGTAAAATGAAGCTTTCCGGGGTGAAAAACTGCAAGTTAAACTTGAACTTGCACTCATTCTCATCCTCAAATCTAAAGCTCTCTAATAATAATAATAATAATAATAATAATAATAATAATAATAAGAAGAAGAAGAAGAAGAAGAAGAAGAAGAAAGTTTCTTTTATAGATGGCTTATGTTACACAATGTGGTTTTTAATAGGGCACTGCATTTAAAAAATAAAATTTGCTAAAATACAGTACTAAAGATGACAAAACCTAATATTCAACAATCAGATAAGCTAAGAACAGTTTGAAGGACTTGGATATAATCCATTAAAACTTTGTTGTTTTTGTCACCCTATATGATACTAGTCTTGTATCTGTTACAGGTCAAAATTAAATTCTGGTAAATTTTTTAACCCAGGTTGATTCCCAATTTCCTTTGTCATTTAGCACTAATTATTCATGAATTAGGGCTAAGAGACAAGGGAAAATGATAATCAACCTAGGTTAAAAAAAACTTCACCTGAATGTAATTTTGACCTGTAATATTTAGTTTTACACTGTTCATTATAGGTAAAATTTGTTCTCAAGTTAAAGTGATAAATTATTTTCAACTTGGTTTAATTAATTGTTTGTTTATATTTCTAGAAAGAGGAGGATATACTGTCTTTAGAAGATGATCCTGATCTAGCTAATGTACTCAACAGTGAACTGCTATCCTCTGTGCTTGATTTAGATCCAAGGTTAGTGTTTGTTATAATATGTTATTTGTTCTAGATTAGCTCAGTTTTCTATTCTTACTAGTATTCAGTTCTTTATCTTATAAATTCTTTAACTCCCAATAATCTTACTTAGTAACAATGACCGTAAAGCGAAAACCTTACAAAAATCGAAATTGTCTTTTTGCAAAAGTAATTATCATAATAGTAATATGTTTTAACCTATTTTTCCCTGAACTGCCCATAACTATGTGATCGCATTTACCTCCCTTGTACAACTATGTCTTGTTATGTCATCAGTTTTCTAATGGTCAAATATGAGTCTGTCATTTGATTTGTGCAGGGGGAAAAGATCTTTTAAACCAATTTACCAGAATTAGCATGTTTTAGTCACAGAGGATGGAGAAAAGAAGAAAAACCATGTAATGTTGGCCCAAACTGTGTATGAAATTCTTGCTCCACCACCCACCTATCTTTCCTGCCATCTAACCCTACTATCCTGAAAGCTTTCCCATAAAAATGTTTCCCACCAAAATGAAGCCTTGTAAATGCCCAGCAAATGACAAAAAAAATAGCGAGAATCGAGGCAAGGAAAGCGAAAGAAGAGGGAACCAGAGAAAGCAAAGAGTAAAAGTCAAGACTGCTGTGTCACTTTTAACCCAAAAATGAAACTTCACAATTTTGCTTTCTATGCATACCCGGCACACATGGACTATGGGATAAGCTACCATTGCCCAAGGGCAAGTACTCATACACGAAGTTACTTCAGTGTTCTTAAACCAGCATATAAGTTCTCACCACATGTATGAGGGCCCCATTCTGCCCAATTGCACCATGTTGTCATGCTTATTAAAATTTGTACTACTTTGTTACTATAAGAAACCGTTGTTGTAGTCATTATTTTTGATTGATATTATGTTATTTTATAGCAAAGGAAAGAAAGAGAAAAAAACCAAACATGGATCAGTACTTCGTCATGTTGTGTTAAAAAGTGTTTCTGGTCAAATGGTCTCTGCATCTGTAAGTGCAATGCTCTAACAGAACCTTGTGAAGCTTAGGGAAAAGGGCCAACAGTAGGAAATAAAGTAAAAAAATGTCAAGAAAGGAAAATATAAACAGTTAGTTAGTAGGACTTAAAGCTGGGATTGAAATAAAAATAGGGTCAGCAACTTCTATACACTCAATTACAATTGTACATAAAAGTACTAAACACTGAAAATGCCTTTTGAAGTTGATTAAGCCATTTTCTGGTCGCTTTCTGGCCAAAAAGAAGCAAACTACCCAAAACATTGTTTAAAAGTCAAGCACTAGGCTATGGTAAATTACAGCTTCTGAAGTTCGCGAATGTGGGTCTGTTTGATGTGGTTTAAATGTTAGGCAACTAGCAGACACCAGCCTTCATGAAGATTCCACCCCACATTGATTGCATTTTCTGGATGTGAATGACAATGAATTTATAAACTTCACTATGCTGCGGCTGATTTATTTTTAAAAGTGTTGTTAACTTATAGGACTGACTCTCTTGATGTTAGTGAAAATGGATGTTTGATGTGGTTTAAATGTTAGGCAACTAGCAGACACCAGCCTTCATGAAGATTCCACCCACATTGATTGCATTTTCTAGATGTGAATGACACTTAATTTATAAACTTCACTATGCTGCGACTGATTTAATTTTAGAAGTGTTAGGATTGACTCTCTTGATGTTAGTGAAAATGGATAAAATTTCCTTAAGTAATATTAATTTTGAAATTGTTTTAGACAAAAGACACATGTTGTAGTTAATTTTTTATCTCAGGTAATTTTTGTTTTTCTTTTGTTTTTGGGTATGGTAATCTATGCTAATGAAGTTGAAACAAAAGAAAAATAAAAATTACCTGAGATAAAAAATTAACTACAACACATATACACTGTGGTCAAACTTATTATTACTTTAAAGTAAAATGACATGATGTGTTTCTTCCCGCAGGCTAGAGTTGATGCTGGTTTGCCAACTGCTATGGTAAGAATTTCACTGGTATGAAATAGTGTTTGGTATGTGCAACTACCATGCAGCTCTTGGAAGCTAGCAATTTTAGTGGTTACACGTAGGAAGATGCACACTCTGGTGGTTTTTGGTGAAAACAAACTAGCTAACAATAGAGTGACTTTTAAACAAAAGCTGACAAATTCAACTAACAATACAGTTAATACAGTTAATACAATTAGCAGCCTAAAAAGATCAAGTAATGTTTTAGTGCCTGAGGTGTGAATTGGTGCTTTTACAGTAAATTTTGAAGGTCAATTTATGTATTTTTTATAGGCTGTGTCCTCTCTCATTTGCATTGGAACATCTCATGGGGTTGTGTTAGTGTTTGGTAAGAAAACTGTCAATATTAGTACGGACTATAAATTCCTTTTTTTTAGATAATTATTTTAATTAAGCAGTTAGCGAAAATTCTTTTTTTTTTTCAGCGTTGCTTCTCATAATATATTTTCTTTTATCAGATCCTCAGCAAGCACTGAAGCTTGTGCTTGGAAACACTTCAATTGGTATGATCTGAAAGCTTCTTTAAACTTCCTCGTTTAACAGCTGTTATAGATAACATTTCTAAGTGTTGGAATACCATCTCAGCTGTTTGTCTTTCATGTTATACTTTCTATCAAATCCGAATAATGTTTTCACAGGATAGTTTAGTAGTATTTAATGAGTTGTAATAGAAGAAATATACTGGGTAGTTCATTGCCATATCTACTGTGAAGCTCAAAAACATTTCAGGCCCCGGTTGTTCAAATGTTGGGTAGGGCTATCTACCAGATAAATCACTATCCAGTGGATAAGTATTAGGAAAAACAATTGCGTTATCTGCTGGATTGAAATTTATCCAGCAGATAGCGTTATCAACCCTTTGACAGTTGCAGTTTTTTTCCCAACTGTCCAAATTTTGTCCCGTTTTTGCTGTGACATTTAATAGGGGCTGAGTATGGTGCTGTCACAGCTCTTGGAATCAACATGGAATGTACAAGACTTCTCTGTGGACATGCAAGAGGACAGGTGGGTTATAGGAAGTAGGGGGTGAGAAGGGGCATCTTCTCTGGGGGGGAACTCCCATATCAAAGGGGCAGGGATGCTTGTCAGAAATTTTGAATTAAACCCCTAAAGGAGACCAATCTGAGCGTGGCCCAACCTTTTTTTGACCCCTAAAAGCGATCAGTTTAAACTTTGATTTAATACATAAATTGAGTAAATAAAATGAATTGAAAATATATAATTTTTTAATATTTCTTCAAGTGCATCCCTAAAAGAGACCTTTATGGCTAAATATAATGGTGTTTTGCCCAGAACACCCCTAAGCGAGATGATGAGCATCCCTGCCCCTTTCGTGTGGGCCTTCCTCACTATTTCAACAAATCAAATCGGGTAATCAGATAAAAGTGAAGTCTGCAGGGCTAAGAATATTTTGTTTGAGTGAGAACCTCCACCTCACGATCTGGAAGAGTGCCACTACCCCCCTTAACTCATCATCTAGACCTATAAAAAGAGATTAACCCTAAATTCACACCCATAGTGAATGATGGGTTATGAGAGCAGGGGTAAGGCAGTGGTGAGAACACTTGCCTCCCACCAATGATGCCTGGGTTCAAATCCGAGCAGTGATTATTGGGTTGAGTTTGTTGTTGGTTCTCTCCTTTGGTCTGAGAGGTTTTTCTCTGGGTACTCCGGTTTTCCTCTCTTCTTAAAACCAACATTTCCAAATTCCAATTCGACCAGGAATGCTGGATGAAGAACCACTTTGTGGATGTCCTACAAGGCTGTCTTTAAGAGGCAAGGGCAAGGGATTTTCCCCCGCTACTATGAATGTGGTCCCCGGATACTTTCATAAGAAAATAAAAAAAAATAGAACCAAAAGAAATCCCTAGCTATTTGATTCCCTGCCTACTTCTTGCATTTACCTAGCCTCCCCGCAGACATCCTTTGGGGTTCGTTTGTCACGCATTCATTTGGGAGAAATGATTGCGTGACGAACGAACCCCAAAGGACGTCTGCGGGGATGCATGCGTTTACCCGGCAACTTGAAATCTTAGTGACAGCCCTGGTGCTACCTCTAAATCTAGATCGTTTTTTAACAATGGTGTCTTAAAAGCCCCTGGAAAGCAATTTGTGCTATTTGCTGGGAGGGTAATCCAAATGTATCACTTTTCTTTCTCCTTCTTTCGTCCTTCACAGATAACTATGTGGGATTTGCAGTCTGGCAAATTGTTAAGAACAATCATTGATGCTCACCCCCTTGGTAGTGCTGTGCTTCATGTCATGGTATGTAATGAAAGGAGGTTTTATCTTGGAAAATACTACGAAGGACTGTTATTTGAGGGCTGTGCTCTAGCAGAGCCCGGTGGCCCCTGGCGCCTAACTTTTGTCCTTGGGTGACTAGAAAAACTCCGATTTTTCACACAAATCATATGCTGGGCACCCTAGATTTTACAGTTTCAGAGCACTGGGCTCCTTTCAATTTTCCTTAGAGCACAGCCTTGTATTCTAAGCACCCATTGCCAGAAAGTTTTCCTCTTCCTATTCATACTGATACATTGTACTTCCCTACTTCTAGTAGCCTCAGAAAACAGACAACATTTTGTGATGCCACTACTGGTTTCCCTGCAAAATAGAATCTGAGAAAAGAGCGCAAAAATTTCATGCTGATGATGCGTCACTACCTGGATCTGGGTACTGCTACTGATTGGTCGTTTCACTTGTGAAATTTGCTTTGAAACCAATCAGAAGCATTACCTCAGATCTGGGTAGTGACGAGTCATCAGCATGGAATTTCTGTGCTTGTTTCTCATACGTCATTTCATGGGGAAATTGTTAGTGGCACCACAGAATGTCATCTGTTTTCTCAGGCTACGCTTCCAGTACAGCTAGAGTAGGGGGGAATCCCTTATTTGGCCTAACTGAAGATGTCTCACTGAACAGGATGCGGTATTTAAGGTCTTTCGGCTTGAACAGTATACAATTTCATTTTTAAGGAGTCTGTGTGAAGTTTACTAACAAAGGATTCAGCTAGACTGGGTGACAAGGCGTTTCTGCTTGGATGTTATGTTCATTTAGTGACCCAAACCTGCTTTAAATGAATGCCCAGGTGCTTTCTTGGAAAAAAAATACCCTTTTTGTAGTTCATCTGTTCAATGACTTACTTTAGTCAATAACTTGTCATCTTTGGGTGTAAATATTTACAGGCACCACTCTACACATAGGGCACAGACATATATTTCTTTTTTGCAATCCCCTTGACTTTTAAATTAAAGCAGTGTTTTAACATATTGTTCTAATGCAGTTCACAGATGATCCTTCAGTTGCAATCTGCAGTGACAGCGGTGGATCTGTCTTTGTTCTCAGTTTCAAGTAAGAAGACGTAACTGCATTTTATTATACATGTGTATAGTACTTTAAAAATGTGTGGCTAGCTGTCATGATCTTTGTAACTGTTGTTGAGTTAAAGATGAAGTTTTGGTTAAACATTAGTGACGTGTAAGATCAAAAAATGCCGTACCTCATGCGTTGTTGCTTGATAGAGTTAATGCGAAAGATCTATCTGCGAAGTTAACTGCATTCATTTGCGAATCTATTCAGGCGTACACAGAGGACAATCAGTAAGCGTGTTTTTTTCTCCCGTTATTGTTTTCGTTTCAATATTTGATCGATTATTGTTAGGTTTTTTGTGCGCTCGTCTTTTCTTGTATAGTTATGTAATGATTATTGCCTTAGCTTAGCTCCGTTTCATGTCACTTAGACTAGGTTTTCTTGTTTGTATTTTTAGTTTGACGTGTTTGACATCAGATTAAATTGCACTGGAATCACAGTTCGTGTCGGGTGTTGAAATTCAGTGCATCGATGTCCTCTTGACTTGCGACATTCCTACGCTGTTAAACGCCTGCATTTACAATCTTATTTATGTGAACTTTGACTAATGAAGTTTTTACGAAGCCTTATATTTTCCACAGGAGAGTCATTGGAATGCGGACATATGAATCAACATGCTTATTTTCAGGGAGGTACGTGTCTTGAATGCTAGCTACAGTTTAAGCGTATGCATAGGTTCCTTCTGTCCTTAAACCAATTTGTATGGTAGAATCCTTTTATTGGCCATAGACTTTGGAAAACACTTGCAACCCCTTACAGTTGTATTGCTATCTCAAGTAGCTGTTGTAGGGAAACCTGATATCCTCATTCAAAAGCAAAATCATCAATTTCAAGTGCATTCTATTGTAGTCTGAAGGCTGGGGGGTTGTATATCCCTGGGTGCTGCCCCTATCTCTGACCCTGTTTAAGACAAATATGTTGATTTTCCTACCCTGTTTAAGACAGAATTCCAATTTTGATACCCTGTTTAAGACATTTATCCTGTTTAAGACAAAATTTCAAAACCTGATTAAGACAAAAATGATTTTAACCCTGTTTAAGACAAAAATTGAAAAACATTCTATTGTAGTCCTTATAAGGGAGTATCCCCCAGGTCTAAAGGGCCATTAATGCTTGGCTGGATGAACCAACCTTTTCCTTGTTATGTGTAACTGCATGTAACTGACTGCATGTAATTGAATACAGTGGCAGATCCAGATCTTCACAAAAGGGGGGACCAGGTCATCTAGACCCTGAGGTATGGGGGAGAGGCATCTCGAAAAGGTTTTCTTTCAGCTCTTTGGGCCTCAGTTTGGTCTAAAAATAACGCCTGTGGGGTGGGGGGGGGGGGGTGAGGGGCAAGCTCCCTTGGTGCCTCACCTGGATCCGCCACTGGAATGTTAGCTGTAAAGCTAGGGTCCAATATGATTGTTTTCTTTGCTGGTTTTGTTCTTAAGTCGTGGTGAAGTTTGTACGATGGCTCCACTACACATGCATGAAGGAATGAAGGATCATCCTCTTTATGAGCAGTCATTTCTGGCATTAGCTACTCTTGCCAAGGTATGTAGTTTGAAATAAATTTACTTATTTTATTTACACCTTATACTTGTTGATCAGGAGGGAAAGCTCGCTCATAAACCGTATATATCTTTACCATACGGTGGAGATTGGGAGCATTGGATGATTCCAGCATAAGTGGTTGTGAAGGACCCTGTCAGCCAGCTAACTAGTCTCGATCAGTCATTTAGTGGTTTAGAATCTACACGTACATGTGCAATTACCATGTAAATTACAGGTCAAGATTACACTCAGGATAAAATGTGTTAACAATACTCATCAAATTTTGTTGAAGCACCAGTGGTAGACTAAAACTGAGGATTTCTCATGTCATGCCTTCTGGACCAACTGATATTCTTTTCCCTGTGTGTACATTTACTTCTTCTCTCCTTACCCAATGTTGAGATTTGTATTATTTGCAAATGGATAATACAGGAATCAACATTGTTTTGTAGGTTGGTTATCAATTTCCTTTGGCTCCCAGCCCTAATTCATGAATGTATGGTTTGTTAACAGGTCCTTATAGTAACGCTGAAACCAGATCTTGAAGTGCTTTTTACTCACACTCTAAAGGTAGGCAGCTTGTTGCAAATTAGGTTAGTTCACTCCCTGGTAATTTTTGCTGGGTGCAAAAAGAGTCATGCTTTTCTTGAGAAAAACCTGCAAAACATCTATGGAACAGTTATGAAGTATTTTGGTTACAACATTATTATTGTGGGAGACTAGAGGAGCCTGCAATTGCTATTATACATGCGCACATGTAGCCTGCTTCATGTGGACTTCCACTAAGAATGAATGGAATACACAGAACTTAATCCTTAGCTTATCATGCACTTTTGGACCACCTATCACTCATAATCTGATCATGCATGTTTTGACCAAGTATCACTTGAAACTTATTCAAGGCACAACATTGGAACAAAAGACTTTTGACCTTCAATATTGTTGTCTGACTCACACTCTTTAACCTTTGGTTATTACTTGTTGTTTTATACTTTGAACGATTTTAGGGTCCAGTGGATTCCTTGCCCTTGCTGTCATGGCAGTTTGCTATAATACAAGTAGCTGCAGAAAAAGTCATTGATCCGGTAAGCTACATGTTTGTACAATCCAGTGCCTTGATTCCAAAGTGAATGATTGAATCTTGTAAGATGGTGAAAAACTATTGAGTCTGTAAATAAAATCCTGGCGTGTGACCATTGAAGTGAAAGCTACTGAGCAGTGCTTTCCCATGGTACTGTTTATTGTGCTGTACATTCAAGGTGGTTCTAACTTTTGAGTCTGAAAATAAAATCCTATGGTGTGACCACTCAAACAAAAGCTACTGAAAACGACTGAGCAATACTTTCCTGTGGTACAGTTTATTATGCTGTACAAGGTGGTTCTAACTTTTGAGTCTGTGGATGAAATCCTAAAGTGTGACCATTCAAATGAAAGCTACTGAGCAGTACTTTCTTGTGGTACTGTCTCTTATGCTGTACAAGGTGGTTCTTACTTTAAACATGAAAGGTTAAACTGTAGCTGAGAGAACATACACTGTAGGGCTTAACTAAAATGATAATTTTTTTTGTAACTGATTATAGGAAGAAGCATTTAGAACTTATTTCATGGAAACATTTTAACATTGCTTAATTGACATCATAACCATTACCATGGCAACAATATAATCCACTGTTAACAGCCTCAGCTTCCTCAAAATTTTTTCTTTCTAAATTTTAAGCTACCATCTCTGACTACATTTTTTGCGTTCTAATGCTTGTACCTTCTTATTTTTTGTATTTTAATAAATTTATTCTTGGTAGTAGCATTTTAGTTTATTAGTTATGGAGCTTGCAACTATGTCTGTAATTGATTTTGCAAGATAATATATGTACATGTAAATGTAAGTAGATGTAAATGAGCATTACCTACACTGATGCCCTGTCAGTGGTGTTTTGTCTGTCTACTCTTTTTTATTTACAACTTAGAAGGAGTTTTTGTTCCATTCTAGGTTATAGCATTTGCCAGAGGGACTGAAATTTACTTCTACCAGGTGTGATCTGATTACTGTATTAATATTCCCAACACTCTCCCTACAAAAAAACTAACATAAAAGCATTTCTTGATGATTTCATTTGAATAATGATATTTTGCTTCGCTGATTTGAGGACTGAATAATTATTGAGGTGATATACCTTTTCTAGACTAAGTATTGTGTTCAATAGATAATACAAGTTGTATCTTACATGACCAGATATTCAAGTCCAACCATTCCATTGCTTTCTAGGCTCATTCAAGGGCAGAAAAACAAATCAAGTTTGTTTTCCTACAAAGGATTGAGACTTCCTACAAGCTTGTGGCATTAGATGTGAGTTAAATGTTGTTTGAAGAGGATCTAACCCTTATTTCGAGCCATTAGCTTTACAATAATCAATCATTTGGCCCTCTCACCAAATGGCCCCCTGGCAAGATGCCCCTAGAGTTATGTAGCCCACCATTCGGAACATCACTCCCAAAACTTTATTAACCTTTTCGCTTGTAAAAGTGACCAAAGTCAACTTTCACCAAATTTACAGTTTTTTTATAAAATGCTGAAAGACGATGTGTAAGTACCGCCAAAGAGATTTTGTTTGAATGGTCACACCACAGGATTTTGTCCACAAACTTAAAAGTTCAAAACACCTTACAAGAGTCCATCATAAGTGATCATAAGTCATCCTTAGATATTCCTAACAAATTAATTGAAATAGCTGCCCAGCCATTGTCAATACCTTTAACATATATCTATAACCAGTCTATTGAAACTGGAATTGTTCCTGATATTTTAAAAATCTCACAAATTTCCCCAGTGTATAAGGGTGGTGATGCTACAGACCATCCCCCAACTATTCATGGTAAATAGCAACTTACTGAATATTTTAGTAAAGTGCTCGAGCGTCTAGTCTATAATCATATATATTTGTTCATAGATGAACATCAAATCTTGTACAAGTATCAGTTTGGATTTAGGAAAGGATATTCCACTGAACAAGCTATTCTTGAAATTACTGACAATCTGAAGCTAGCTACTGACAAAGGTCAAATGACATGTGTCCTGATTCCAGCATCGCGTATACACAATCATAATAAAAGATTTGTCAGTAATCTGAACTATTTTAGGCCAAGAGTATCCACCAACTTAGGTAAGACGTCCTTTAAATTCTCCGCTCCAAAAATCTGGGAGACTGTACCGCCTGGTCTCAAGTGTCTGCCATATCATAAGTTTAAGAAAGAATGGAAGTCCTGTCTTCTAACCAACCAAATCTGACCTTGTAACCGCACTACTAGTAAAAGTGTGGTGACGCCCTCAATACCTTGTGACTGATTAAATGATGCGAATCATAGAATGTTTGTTTTAATTGCAGTGGTTAAACCCGCAAATTATTGCTACAGTAGACTCACTAGAGAGAGTACATGTTATTGATGTGCGAAGTATGGAAGAACTAGAGGTAAACATTGTATAAGAGCTTAGACGAAAATGGTACAAAATGAAATATTATTTGTAAGGGAACCATCCCTGGGAATAACGATTAATTGCAATTACCACTGCGACGACCATAGCTTGATTGAAATTTGTAGTTCCGCAGTTCACATCATCTTAATTCATGTTCTATTCCTTTCACGGGTTAAGATGAACTCAACAAATTGGCTTGTTCCCAATGTATGGGTCTTCATAGCTCAGTTGGTAGAGCACTGCAGCGCTAACGCAGAGGCCGTGGGTTCGAAGCCTGTTGAAGTCCCGAAATGTTTACGGGTTAATTTGTAATTGCTTAAATTGCAATTACCCCTGCAACGATCATATCTTCATTGAAATATTGTTATCGTTCACTCAGATCGGTAAATATTGATTGTGGTTAAATTTTGTACTTGGTTCGAGTCAGTTAGCTTTGCTTTCAAACCAGTTGTCATACCTAAAATCATTACATTCTGAATTAAACCAAGGATAGAATTGAACTCGAACACTTAAATCTGTTGCAGGTTCTTGATCTGAGTTCAGTTCGGCTTGTGTACAGCAGCAGTTACTTCAAATCGCTCTCTACTGGAGGAAATGTCAGCAAAGCCTTGGTAAATAAATTTCGTAAATCCTCTATTAACCCCCCGGGGGGGGGGGCTTGTTTATTTCAAACACACTTGAGGGGAGGCTTAATAGAGACGGGGGGCTTAACTAATTTAGCAAAGACGATGGTATCAGTTCTCCATAAAGAACTAGAATTCAAAGTGGAAAAGCTCAAGTACAAGAAGTTGGGGGTCATGCAGCCGAGGATCAGAATAAGCCATAGGTGAATAAGCCATCCTGGATCAGTCCAGGCGAAGTTTTACAGTCGTGATTGAGTAATACAGTGTATCATTTATTAGTGAAAAATAATAAGGGGGATGGGAGGGGGGCTTAATAAAGAGGGGGTTTATTAGCTTTCTTCCCCTGAAAAGGGGAGGCTTATTAGAGAGAGGGGGATTATTTGAGGTGGAGGGGGCGCGTAATAGAGGACTTACGGTACTTTAACAGTCAATGATTGGAAATTGTTCTTTTGCGGACTTAATGCCAAAGTTGCAACTTGCTCTTGAACTTAATGAGTGGAGTCTAACTCGTTAACGTAGACGGCTAATCACTTATGACTGATATGATTCAGCCCTCTGGTTGGGCATCTTTCCCCTTTAACGCGAAAGACTCTATTCGTATAAATTGGTCACAGACCTTTCTGTCGTTGGTGGTTGAGTGTGGAAGCAAATTCAACGCGGCAATCGTGAGCTAAGAGAAACTAAAGGATAGATGAGAAGAGGGAGCGGCTGCATTCTAAACAAAAAGAACAACAACAACCACAACAAACACTTCATTTCTGCTGAGAAATAGACTGATTGGATGTTTTGAACACTTCAATAGTTATTGTACCGTTATGTTGCAAAACCGACCAAGAGTATGAAAGCAAACGCATTACTTCAGTCGTTGGTTGTGCCGGTATATATTTTTTGGCACACCCCTGCAAAGTAGCATCTCCATTTTACCCTTGAAGTATAGGAGGCAGCTCTACCATTTAACCAGTCTGTGTTATTAACTGTAGGTGGCTGCCAGTGAACATTCATGTTACCAAACGATTAGAGTTTTTAATGGACAGCAGTTGTTGCTAGGGGTTAAGGTAAGCTATTGGTAAACACGTTGACTTAATGATACAGTGTATTTTAGTTAATTTAGGATTGAAGTGGTTTGGGTTTGAAATAGCGACTAACGCACTGGGTTCGATTACCAGACGCTGTTCGGGAAATGAGTGTTCTGGCTCTCTTTTCATGGACCTAAATGGCTGCAGAAATTAAGGACGCGGCGGCAACGAAAACGTCGCTTAAAAAGTGAACTTGCGTTCTTTCAATCTTTATCGCAATTATTCCTATCCACTTACTTTGTCAAATGTAGGCGAACCCTCATGGAGTTGAATTGCGAGGGACCATATCCAAGTTCAGAGAGAGAAATAAAATTTCGTCGTTGCTTGTTTACGCACTCCATAAAACGTGAAATTAGGGGCAAAGAAATGTACAAAAAAGCGTGATGCACGTGCAAAGTTGTTGTTTTTCTTATAAAAACTATTGTTTTTTTGACGTTCTGGTCGCCGTCCGCGTCATTGGATCTTAAAAGTCCCTAATATTGAGGCTTCTCACTAACTCAAGGGACCACTCCCTTAAGCGACTGCGGCTACTTTTAGGATTGCCCTACTGAACCCTTCCTTTGTTGTTAAGCTCTAGTAAGCGACCACTCAGCGACAACTCAGAGTCTTGTTCATATAAATCAACACTTTAATGAAACTGCACACTGCGGTAATGGTCTAAAAAATTGGATGTAAAGCCGTAGCCTATATCAGATATAAAGACACTGATTTAAACATTTTAAATTTCTCTTGTATTTTCTTTATGAATTATTAATGAGTTTCTAAAGCTCTCGTAAGCGACCACCCTCTATTAATTTTTTTATCATGCGGTCACTTATGAAAGCTCATTCTCGTAAGCGACCATCTCTAGTTACGACCACTATTTCGAATTTCCGAGGTGGTTGCTTACGAAATCTTCGACTGTAAAATCTTTTTTTTTCTTTTTCCAGTCTGTGCACGTGTTGACATTAAGGACATGGCGTGACGTAAGTTCAAATTTATTTTTACTACTTCAACCAACGTTCGGTTCATCACTTTGTCGTCCAGTGACCAGTAAACTTTCAGTCATGAACCCTGCGTGAACCCTTGCTTATGAATTTTGTCTTTTCCATGTCAGACTGTACAGAGCTTCTCAGTAATTTTGATACTCTGTTTCTTTCTCGTTTCAGCGAATTGAAGTTTATGTCAAGCAGAATAATTTTCTTGATGCATTAGAACTGGCGTTGTCATTTTATAATGGCACTGCCATGGCAGTTATAGGTAATAACAGCGAGCCTAACGGTGCTGTGTCACAAGATTTGTCAAAAATTCAAACAGTAGAAACCGCCACCAAACTGAGTGAAACAAAAATAACAGCTCAAAACTTGAAAAAAGATATAGATAACACAGCAAACACAAAAGTAGAGACGGATGGACAAACCTGAAGAAGATTGAAACGGATTGTAATGTGATTTATAAAAGCTTAACAGACTTGTCTACACGAACAATGTCCGCAAATAGGTAAAAAATTCGCCTTTCAAATTTACAAATATCGAAAATGATAACAAAAACGTAATAATATTGACCACTCACGTCACGATCTCATATTCAAATGAACCAATCAGATCTCACCGCAAGTACAGGTGGCGGTCGAAAAGCGCGGGAAAAAGTGCTTGGCGGCAGGTATTTTGTAAAATCTTTACATATTTTTGAAACTGTCATGCCTCTAACATTTAAGGCTTGCGGGCCTGGGATGGACTAATTTTTTGTGCTTTAAGACTATCTTTACTCTTATGTTTTAACGTCATCTGTAGGATTGCTTGGTAGCAAAGAACAGAGGATCGCCGAAATTGCAGCCCAGGTTTGTAATAAGTACCGAAACCAATGTAATGACTGTGGTTTGTCACAAGAAAAGTCATGCACCAGTTTTCACTTGAATGACTGACGCGTCTGTAGTTGGCCTGGGTCAAACTCGGGGAAAGTTCGTGCGAACAATTACTTGTTTGGTTTTGTTTTTACTTCTCATTGGTTGAAGATGTAGCGATAGATTTTCCACTGCGCCAACCACAAATCAACGATAGCATTTTACAGAGTACTCTTAAAGTAAAAAGGAAAAACAAACAAACAAACAAAAAACAAAACAAAACAAAAACAAAAAACGACGGGCGTTTTGCTAAAATTTGTGGCATGCCCCTTTTAAAACCCTCGTCGAGTTTTTGGCCACCCTCTTTGGTTTGCAGAGCCCAACATTGCCTTTTCCTTTTTTGACTCGCCTTTCAGAGCTCGTTGTTCCGTAAACGTTGCAAACAACTTGTGTCCGAAGTAATTTGTTTTTCCTGCCATTTCTGTTAGATCGAGGAACTGTTGCTCGCTTTCGTGGACATAACAGTGTTTGTAAATTGTCCCAGGACCAAGGAAACTAAGGAACTCAGAACCTACTTTAAGGTAATATAAAATAATGTTTTAAGGCCATGAGATTTCAGTATACATTTTGACTTTCAACGGCCTGTTTATATTCTGCAGTAGGTTGTTAGTAAAATATTAAATTGCTGACTTTTTTTCCAAATTAGGAAATCGTTCCAATTTTTATAAAGTACAGCATTGCGATTAACAACATGTGAGTAGAAAAGTTTACCTTTTAGTTTATACTATTAGAGTTAAAGCTGTTAGGGACCTTAAGCAAGGACGACGCCGACGGCAGTGAAAACGTCGGTAAAAAATGAATTTGCGTTCTTTCAAACTTACTCGCGTCTATTTGGACCCGCTCAATATGTCAAATGCAGGCCACTTTTCCCGGAGTTGAATTCTTAAGGATTTTTTTCAGGTTTAAAAAGAGGAAGGAAAATTTGTCGTGGTATGTCCACGTCCTCCATAAAACGGCAAATTAGGAGGTTTCGCGCAGTGACGTCAAAGAAATGAACTAAAAAACGTGATGCACTTGCAGAGCTGCTGTTTTGATCATTAAACCTATTGTTTTTTTTGAAGTCGTCGTTGTGGTCGTCGTCGTAATTGCTTAAGCTCCCTATTTGCTGATTAGACTACGAGTAGTTCTCATTTTTCCTCAGGGATAGTAGAGCGAGCGAAAGGCGAGTGCGTGTGAAAATCACTCCACGCGAGAAAGGCGAGACGCGGTGGGGAGAGAGAAGAATGAGTATGGAATTTCTGTCGCTGAGTCGCAGACGTTCCTTCTCGCGAAACGTCCCCAGCGGCAAGAAGCGAGGAGAAACGGCTGTTTTCGCAGGCTACCACTTCAGAAATTCTTGGGAGAATGGACACTAGCTTTGGGAGTAGTGATTTCTGGGATCGTGTGGGTGGACAAGTTTTAATTCTGATTGGTCGATGATATTCAAGACAACCATTAACCAATCATAAGTAACGCTTGTCCACTCAAACCATCCCAGAAATCGTTGCACCAAAAGCTTGTACCCACTCCCCTTAGGGTTTCTGGAGTGGGGAATTCACCAATTGCACATCTCCCATAATACACCTCGTTTGTCCACTCCCCCCACCGTTGTTAAGGAGTTAGGCGCTTAAATGGGATCATTCTTTGGATATTTGCAATTACCTGTTTAATGTACTGGACTTTGTTGACATCCACAGGGAGCTCTTGTTTAGGGAGATTTACGACAAGTTCAGCGAAGATCCGATTGGGAAAATTGTGTTTTTGGAAAGCCTCGAACCTCACATATTATCAGACAAGTAAGTTGTTGTAACAATGCTGATGAGGTATTTGTGTGCATTTCCGTGGTGCTATTGCTTCTGGGTCTAGGAATTTGTTTGTGGTCATAAATTAAGGCCCTTTCTAGTCCTGCTTTCTCTAAAGCCCTCTTTTAAAAGATTGTAGGATCGTTAAGTATCGACGACAGCCGAAGTAAAATGTTATAGTCGATATGTTTAAAATTTTACTTGGAGATTGCAAATATATCTAATTGTGACGTTTGAATTTTAAAAAAAATTTGTAAAAAATAAAAATGTAAAAACATTTCTACATCGAAGGACCAGCGAATAGGCCATTTCCGAGTTCCAAAATCTCTTACTTTCAAAACAAGACTAAGTGCAAAACCTTTCTTGTGAAAATGAGTTTTATATGTATGAGAATGAAAATTCATTTTCATATCAATGGCTTTGTACGTTATCTTCTCTTTGATACAGAGACTAGACTGCGAGCAGTCTCTCTTTTTCTTCAGGTTTATTAAGGGGAGTGCACGCGCGAAACGAGGGCGGCAGTCCGTGAAGAAAAATATTTTTTCGTGCCTCTCCCATCTCGCGCCATCAGTCACGCGCGTGACCATTTGCGTGTCTCGCGTTTTGCTCGAGGGACTACAGAAACAAGAGAGACTGCTCGTAGCCTATACAGAGACTTGGGGCAACTCGGAATTGACCTATTATATTCGAGTGTAAATTCTGCAGTCCTTGAAGTTTGTAGTCAAAGAGCCAGGATAAGGCAAATACTCAAACTGATAACGAAAAAACATACGGACGTTTATGACATGTCACCTAATACTAGGAAGGATTTTGTCTTGAAATAATCACGCAGGTTCGTACTTAGCCTCCCCTCGGCCATCTTATGGTTGCGCGTGAGACTGGGTGGGCGTTGTATCGAATTGCACTATGGGACTGTTTTGGGAAGGCTATCACTTTCATAAATTTCGTCCCCCAAAACAGTCCCATAATGCAATTTGACCGCCGAATAAGCAGCGATGACAGGCGGCTTCATTCACTGGCTGATACTTACACAATTTATCTTAACCCCAGTGGTGATTAAATCCAAATTTTATCAAAGACATAATACGTATATAATCAACTGGGATTAATTCTCACGATGTTGAAACAAATTCTCACCACTACGTCTATAAGAAACGCATGGGACGAGATATGAGAATTTGTATTTTAATATTGGAGATTAAAAGGTTGAATGATAAAAATGTTTTAGTACTGACATTACTCTACCAATTTTTAGGTTGACGTCCCTGAGCCCTATTGTGATGAAAGAATTCATAGGTAATACCTGGGACACCTAACACCACCTAAAAAATGCATTAGTGGTATTTTCCGCTTTGCCCAATAACAGAGCGATTTAAGCACGCTTGTGCTCGTGGTTTCCTTTGCGTTTTGAGAAAATACAGTCGACTCTCTCGTAACGGAGACCTCGGTAAAACGGACGCCCAGAGTTGATCCGTGCCTTTCTTTACTCCCTTTAATTGATCCTTATTCTCAATTTAGGTTTCTGGGAAACTGCCCACCTACCCCTCCCCTAACCCAACATTTTGTCCTAAGTGAGAAATAAGTGTTAATGTTGACTTAGGGGAGGGGTAGGTGGGCAGTTTCCGAGAAACCTAAATTGATCGTTATTCTCTATAAGACTGACACCACTCTCAGACTTAGACATAGTGCCAGTCAAAAGGGTGCATATGTTAGAGAGAACTGACCGTATAGACTGTAAGACCTTAGACAAGAATGACCTCGACCAGGTTGTGGCGTCCAGCGGTTTTACTGAAAACAAGTTTGGGTGGGCTCCTCAGCCTCCCGGGTTCATAAAACCTAGTCTCGGTCATTCTTATTAAAGGATTTTCGTAGAGACCGTGGAAAAATATTGTCAATTTGTTATACAGTTTAAAACTCTGTCTAAGACGGATACCTTTGAGACCCGCACTAATATCCGTCTTATAGAGAGTCGAATAAAGGGAGGTGAGAAAGCCAAGGAACAACTCTTGGTGTCCGTCTCATAGAGGTGTCCGTTAAGGAAGAGTCAATTAACAAATCGACCACAATTTTCCATGGTCTACGCTCTTATAGACCATAGATATGACGTCATAAAATGTTCAAAACTCAAGTGGAACCACAAGCCGCGGGTGAGTGGTTTCATTGCAAAGTTTTGAACATTTTATGGCGCCATTTCTATGGTTTATAAGAATGTGGACGATAGAAAATTGTGGTCGATTTGTTCTTTACAATAACATTTATTTTCTTACGAAAAACCAAAAACAAAACAACCGGCACTGTGTCACATGTTACGTCATTTATATGGTCTATACTCTCATTGACCATAGCTCTCAACCAATCTGCGCGTGAGGATTCGTTCAGTTATTGTAAAACTGTATATAACTTAGTTGTTGTTTCTCCTTCACGTTAATTTTAAGTTGGTCTTTGTTTGCCACAGAACATTACCAACAGCAAGACAAACTCAAAGAAGTCGAATCCTGTCTACTGCATCTCGACGTCACCAATTTGGATATTCATCAAGTAAGTGTTGCGTGACCGGTCTAGGATTATGCAATTTTAGGTGACAGTTAATCAGTCACATTGCTTACCAGTTGATTTCTAGCAAAGCGATGGCTGATGTAGAAGCAAGTAAAAAACTGATTATCTTTTTAATGATAAGAGCACTCGATAAAAGCTAGTTTTAAATTAAATTAGAGAAAAAGTGTTTTTTAGAAGTTAGTTAGATTGGAGTTTCCATTTCATAGCATTTATATATTACCAACGCCAATTATGCATTTAACATCTTGGCAAGGTTATAAACCACACCAAATTACAATCTTATAAAATGAGAATGACATCTTAAGTTGAAATCTTCTTTTTTTATTTGTTTCAGTCTACTTGTAAATATATCTTACCGTTTTGTACTCCCCCGGGGTGACCGGTCGTTTCGCTAACTTCCGGTTCGCTAAGGGTTAATTTCCACTGTGGGGTAATTTTTCCGTGCGAACGCACGTTTAAATTACGTGCGTAAATAAAATTGAGGCAATGTATGAAAGGCCACCCGTAAAAGTAAAAGTTGAGCGAGGTTCGACTTCAACGTATACGCGTGATCTGCCATACAATGTCTCTATTTCATTTACGCGCGTACGCACGAAAAACTTACTCGACAGTGGAAATCCACCTTAACGTCTTATGTCGTTCCGCTAGGGAGGGAGACGAGCGCTGCGCATGTGTATGCGTCGTTCTTTCAGCCATGATACAAAAAAGTGCGATACGCATGTCTATACTTCGTTCTTTCGGCCACTGATCAGGCGAAAGCAGTTAGGTAACTGACCCAACATTTACGCGAAACGACTTCAGAAGTTAGCGAACAGGCCGTCGTCGGCTGTGCTACAGGGGGCTGCCATCATTGTAACATGTTACTGATAGTCTGGAATATAAAAGATGTTGTTATTATTTCCTTAGATGGTAAAGCTTTGCTGGGCGCACGGTTTATACGACGCTATTTTCTATGTGTACAACAGAGGAATGAGAGATTATACCACCCCTCTAGAGGTACTGTCGGTAGCCTAATAAAGCCTAATACAGTCAGCTCTCTAAATAACTCCCCCCCCCCAAGGCTGTATATTCATTCTTGACTCTTTTTTATAGGAGCTGATCAACGTTTTAAAGAGTACATTGCAATCTAGAGCTTTACTTTTAGGTGAGATTTGTTTTTTGTATTTTAAAGAATCCTTGAATCTTGGACCTGAATCATTCTCGTTACGGTCTTGTAAAGTTAAGTCCTGCGTAATAGGCTGTCGTGGGTAACTTTAGCCTGTTCCAGTCTCCAAGATAGTCGGGTCTGCGACATTGGGAAAGCGCGAACTCGAAACTAAAACGGGAGGAAAACTAAAACGGAAACAAATTGGGAGAGGAAAGGCGGCCTTCCTTTTTCCCGCCACCGCCCCTTTTTTCAAGATCACGTGCTCACACACTTTTTCGCGTGCCTTTCAGTTATTACACGTCATCCCTACTATCTAAGAGCCTGGAACAGGCTAGGGTAACTTCTTGTGACTTAATACTTACGTATGACAACCATGTTTGGTTTTAGATTCAGATTTATCGTTGGGAAACAAGCTCTTGGTGTACATCAGCTGCTGTCTGGCTGGTCAGGCTTATCCTGTAGGGTCCATTCCTGAGGACCTCCGCCAAGATGTGAAGAAAGAGGTTTGTTATTTGGAATATGTAACTATGATGAAGTCACTTGAGTTGATTTAACAGCTTTATTTACGTCATTTTTTTTTTCCTTTTGTAGGTTTTCAACTGTATCACAAGCCAAAATACAAAAGATGGTTTCGAAAGTAAGTGACTCTTTTTCTTTGACTTGATTAAGCAGGACACCATCTGTGACCTAATAGTTATCAAAGCATCTTTCATTATTTATCACCACACAGGATGCTTTTGACATTAGGGAGTTTGGGACAGAATATGAGCAATGTATTTTTAAATGCTGCGAAGTCACTTTTTAAGTGACGTGTTTGCTTCTGTTGTCGTGGTAACTGCTCCCCTTCAACCCGATAAATGTTTACGAATTTTCCTCAAGTTGACTTTTTATTGACCGCATCTATGTTCAAAAGAAGAAAGAGGAAATCTTCGCTTTGTGATTACTTCCTCCATAAAACGCGAAATTAGGATCTTTGTAAATGGTAAAGAACCAGCGTGTGAGCGACTGGCGCAGTGCTTTTCGCTTTGTTTTCATTGGCCGAGCAAAATTGGCGGGAACATGTTTTTTTTTTTAGTGCCATGGATAGCGTATTAATGCAAAGCCAAAGAAATCTCACCACTCTCTGTCACACCCGCTCTAAGATGATCTATTTTTTTTCTCTCATTTCAGCTGAACTTTCTTATCCGCGTCTGCGAGTACTATTGCACTTTGACACTCAAGAGTTTTTGAACGTTCTCTCCATGGTGAGTCGGTTCAATTAAATTTAATGAAGGCGATTCGCCACTTTAGAAACGAGACGGAAACTGGGTCGAGTTTTGCGAAGACTTCTGGGATCGTTTCTTCTGACGTGCTGGTCAGCTATTGGCCAGTTTTTCCACTGTCCCCAGTAACCGTCCCAGAAGTCCTTGCGAAAGTGAACTCGACCTAATTTCCGCCTCGTTTCTAAACTGGCGAATTAGTTCTCTGAATCTTGCTGGACTGTATTGGACTACGACAATTAGACGGAAATAGCAATCCAAAAGTTTGTTCCAGGCTTTGATGGCTAAGATAGTCAACCAGTT